CGACAAAATTTGAAAATATTTCATAGGCGGCATTCGCGAATACTAATTTGTCAAACATTTTTTATGGTTTTTCTCAATAAATCAAAATTTCGATAGGTTATTAAATGTATTATAAAATGTAATGTTAAATGATCAAAGTGTTATATGAAAAATATTTTTAATTATAATAAATCTTTTTTACTTATACCTGTACGGCTATACATATATCTTATTCGAATGATTACAATATTAACGCGCATTAATGTGTAAACACAGTCGAGACTCGACGTACGAAGATATTGCTTGTACGCCTGTACAGTTGCAGTAAACACTAAGTATAAATAATAATATGTATCGACCCTATTAACTATAAATAGTTTATAGTTCTCATTAACGTCATACATTCATATCTATAATGAGGCGGCAAAATACGCGTACCCCCGACGGCATTACAACTTAACATGGCACTGTTTAGATGTAGGAGCTCCCAGTAATCTATTACTAATCTATAAGAAAATAATTTAGAGCATGATATATGTGAAATCGCAATGGCGCTGTCGTTTATAACACTTGTACGTTACATCACTGAAGTTTACGTTGGGAAAATACGTATTAATGAACCGAAATGAAATACGGCCAAAACCATACGGTTAAATATCAAATGAATAACTCATAATATACGATACATAGCCTATAGGATGAATAATAGTTTATCTTTCTATTTATAAAAAAAATAAATTACTTTATAGACACTAAAATGTATAAATATATGTAAGCTAAACTCACGATAACGATGAATGTGCATCCGTAATGTATAACGTATCATTATTTCACTGCAATTAACTTCACACCGCATCATAATATCATATGGCTTTTAAGCTGAAATCGAAACTTCGTAGTGATTTCTTGGAGTTGTGGCTCTGATTAATGCGTTGTGCGATCATTGTATATTTACGAATCAAATCAAATATTCCAGAAGTCGTTTGTATAATTCAGAAGATTGAAACAAAACGATAAAAACCAAATATTTACAACCAGATTACCAACTGGTACGGTTTTTCTCGAGATAACATTTTAATCCGATCTGAACCGCAGCGCACACTGTTTGTTTTTTGAATTCATATGTTGAACCGCCCACGATTATCCAACGCAAATCTGTACAAATAACGCAAATGAAAAACGACACTCGCGTTAATCATGACGTGTCAATACAAACAAATATGCTTTTAAATTGTATCGCACCATTTGAAAAATAGATGTTTCCGGAATTGCCAGTAAATACACGGAAAAATGCACGAGTGCGTAAAATAGTATAATAATAAACATTAACATTATTATAATATTAAACAGTGTTCGGAACGTTGACTCGAAAAATTGAACTCGTTCACGTTCATGTTAATTCTTGTTATAAAGTGAACACGTACGCGTTCATTTAGTCGTTCGTTTAAATTTTTTTATTTTAATTTTAAGAAACACATACCTGCATGCTGTATAATTGGGACTTTTACAAAATGTATTAGGTATATTTTACTTAATGATCAAAATCTATACTTAAACATATTATAATCAACATTTATTATTTATATATACATTTTTAAAATGGTAAATACATTTGAACGCCCCGAAACCCGTTCAAATTCATTAAAAATATAAACGTCGTTCACGTTCTATTTGAAAAAAAGCGAGCGACAGTCGCGTGCCGTTCACAAAATATGAACGTAAACGCGTGAACGTACGTTTACGATCGATGTTCTTTCCGAACACCGATATTAAAAAGTATGATGTATAGATAATACATATATACACGCATTATGGCACATATAAACTACGTTTATTCTCATTGAAAACAAAATACTTTCCAAATTTGTTTTACTTCTCACGTCACTCGAAACATTATTGAGTATATAGTATCGACATTTGTACAGTAATTATATTATTACCAATACACTGCCGGTACTCTCTCGATAATTGCTAAGTGGTAGGTGTAATATTGATTATCTGTCTACGTGACGGACGGATGTTTCATGACGACAAAGCAAATTTAAACTAGTCCAATTAGCCGAATATGTAATAACGTTTATTTTTTCTCCAACAAGGTTGACGACAATAATTTGTTATTGGATTGCTTTTTTTTTTAAAAAAAAATCAAAAGAAATCATTATTTTTTCTTTTACTTACCAATAAAATGCTTTAGAAAACATTAACTAATCACATTCAGCTGCTGATCACCCCATATTTGTTTACTCATTGTGTTAATAATACTCAAGGATGTGCAATCACCTTGTATTTTATTTAAACATAAAATATGATCGTAAAAAATAAGTGACATTGGCATAGCACACTTTTTTGAGATATTTATCGACCAAATGGAATATTTTTATTTACATTTGCTAAGGAGTTTCGGCGATTTCACATAGAAGTTTTGTTTAATATTAGTAGATGCTCTTTTTAAATCGCTTGTAGTTGACGCTTATACACATAGATCAAAACGTTTGACACGGTTAACATTGAAATTAAATTATTTAAATTAGCCACCTTAAATTGTTTTAAATCATATTTAAACGATCATTATCAACAAGCTTAATTCAATGGTCATTTATCCTCTAAGTTGCTAATCTTTACTAGAGTCATGAGATGAACACTTATATCCCTGATTGATTTTAATATTTTTAATGAACATCGATTCTTGTTTTAACTTTTTACAGACAATTTTAAGCTTTAATACACAATTACTAATAAAATGGATTACCTTCTTCCTAAAAGCTATAATATTAAATATTAATTATTATAAAGAATGTTATTATAATATTAAAAATATTAAATAAAATTAAATAATTTAACCAAATGGAGTGAAGTTAACAAATTTTAATGTTTCTAAATGTCGTACTATCGAACAAAAAAATTAATTCAATTTTATTTATAATATTGAAAATTTTTTTTTACCTTGAGTATGAACTTTTCAATATAATCAATCTCATATTTTCTAGTCATAAAGACCAAATTAGTTAAAAATCCATAAGAATGTTAGGGGTTTTAGTTAGATCTACTTCAACCTTTAATGATATATGTTAAAAAATAAAAATTTAAAAAGTTAAAAAAATTATTTATTGTACTTTGGTTCGTCTTTTAATATAATACAGATCGGTAATATGGTACCTCTTTTCTACTTGTCTAATTGAAAAATTAGAAAGAATGCAAAGAAAATTTTTTTGCTATAATGGCTATAAAATCAAAAAATCAAAAAATCTTATGATTGAAACTTTAATATCTTAAATTATATTTCGAATTTCTCAATCTCAAATCTTTATATACACTTATAAAAAAATTTAGACATTATCTTTCTAAATAAATGGCTCAGTAATATGTTCCTCTTTACCAGAACATATTTCTTTCCACATACCACAATATAATTCTAGATAATGCCCTTTTTTTCATATCAAAACCCAACAAACTAATAATGTTCAAAATAAACCCTTCGACAAAATTATAAAGTTGGGAAATGAATCCGGTTTGATCTTTTTCCTTTAATAATCAAACAAGAATAATTTTTAATAATTTATTATTATTAAGTTATATTTTAAATTACCTATTTAGTATTCCAAAGTCTGTATAAATTGGAAAAAATAGAACATTTCAAATTTAATAAAAAATATGTAATAGACATAAAAATAATATACATTAACCGATTTTTCAAGGTTGTTGTAGATGAACCTCACACCTTACTTACAATATTACAATTGTCAAATTATAAGACACGTTTATAAAAATATATAAGTATAAAACTCTTGCTGGCCAAAATTTAAAATGATTTTATCAATATTATTTTATTTATTTTTTTAATTATTATTATTATTTTTATTCTTATGAAATATTACTTGAGACTGTATAGTGTCATGGTAATATTTTGTTAAAAATAAAAAAAATTATCAATGTTAATCAACCAATACATTTAAAATTTTGCTCAAAAATGTAAAATCGTAGGAAAGGGACAAGAGATTAGAAACAACATCTTCTTCTTCTTCTTCTTCTTTTTCCATGGCTTCGACCTTCAAGACCATGTCATCCATCAAATTTGCCTCCAAGTTTCCCTATCTAAAGCTAACTCCATCCAAACCATTCCTGGTCTCACCTTCTCTATGTCTTCTTTGATCCCATCTTCCCAGCGTAACCTCGGCCTTCCAAGTGGTCGTTTTCCTTGTGGTACATTCTCTTGTACTAGTTTTATCAATGACCCTGTTTTTCTCCAAGAATAACCTACCCAATTCAATCTTCTTTTAGTAATATCATCTTTAATGCTTGGTTTTTTATACAAGTCCTGAAGGTCCTTGTTTTTACGTATTCTCCATTCACCTGTAGGTTCGTCTAAACATGGTCCATAAATTTTCCTCAACACCATTCTTTCAAACACTAATAGGGCATTTTCATCTATTTTCCTCAAGATCCAAGTTTCCGAACCATATATTACCACTGGCTTAATAAGTTTCTGGCATATTTGGGACTTCAGTTTTTTTTGAGATTACTCTAGATCTTAATCTTAATCTTCTTTTGGAAGCCACATTAATAAAATAATACAATTTTTCAATACATAAAATGTATAACATGTACATATAATAAAGATGATTCAAAAATAGTAATTATAGAACTAATATGAATCATTTTTTATTTCACATAAGAATATAAATTGCTTTATTGTTAACAAAACTGATTGAATTTAGAGTCTTTTCAAAACACTATAAGATAATGTAGTAATCAATTGCAATTTCTATTCTTTACAAAGAAACAGTTCTTAATCATATATACACAATATCATATATATATATATATATATACCTATATAAGTACAAAAACATTTTTACAATCAAAAAACAAAATCTATTTACAAATACACTATAATATATTCAACAATAATAATACAATATAAACAAAACTAACAATTTATAGGTTTAATATTTTATTTTTAACAGGACACAGCCAAAATTTACTAAATTAAAATTCGTCAGTTTTCAAAAATTAAAAAGGATTTTTAAAAAGATATAACCAACCAAAAACAATAAAAAACTTAATTATTTAAGTGGGTTGGATATGATTTTTTCAATATCTGCTATTTCTTTAGGACAATCTTCACTTAATACCTCTATACTATTTTCAGTCACTAATACATCATCTTCTATTCGTATACCCAATCCCAGAAATTCATTGTGAACTTGTATATTATTTTTGCTAACATAAACACCTGCAATATATATTCATAAAATATATAAAATAATTTAAGAAAAATTAACATCTAAAAAAAATTATTACTAACCCGGTTCCACTGTTATTATAAAACCAGGTTCAGTCTTAATATTTTTTTTAACAGTACTAATATCATGTACATCCATTCCCAAATAATGACTAACATGATGAGGGCACAGCATACGGGCAAACTAAAATTTTTGATTGATAATTGAGTTAAAAAGAAATTAAACAACCAATAAAATAATTCAATATTTACCAGATTTAATTCTGAAGAGTCAACATTTTTTTTAAATACATGGGCTTCAGCCAAGACTTTTCCTAATTTAAAACACATTGCTTCATACAATGTATCCAATGATGGACGTGCTTGACACATGTCAATCAATTCTTTTTGAACACTGAGTGTCGCTTCATACAATGTCTTTTGAGCATCAGAAAACCATCCATTAGCTGGCCAAGTCCGAGATATATCGCTTGAGTATCCATGATATTCACAGCCTAAAGAATGATAATGATATTAGTATTAGTGTTGATCATAATATATACTATTAGTATTAAGTGCCAAGATTATATCAATATTGCAACCAATAGATTTAACATTGTTTATCGTATTTAAACATTCATTTTATCCTACCAGCATCTACAAGAATTAAATCTCCATCTTTGATCTGTTGTTTGTTGTCAATATAATGTAATGTATTAGCATTATTTCCAGTAGCAACTACTGGAGGATATGCAAGATATTCAGCACCTCCCATTCGGCATTCATAATCTAATCTGGCATAAAGTTCATGTTCTGTTGATCCAGGTTTTGTAGATGCCATCGCATTAATAAATGCTTTAGAAGCTATTTGACAACTTTGACGCATTAACTTTTGTTCCGCTGGAGACTTATATAAACGCAATTGATGAGAGTGAATGTTTAAAGTATCATCTATCTGCAAATGTTTAAATACTATTAAATAATATTACTCAGAGATAACTAAATCCATAAAAAAAAAAAAAAAAAAAAAAAAAAATTAATGAAATTTGTAAAACACAATACCAATAATGACAATAAGAACAATATAAATAATAAAGTAATATCAGTAATTATTAGTTACCTAATGTTAACTCACATAAATTGAATTTTCTGCAGCAATATTATTTACTGTCTTGTCAACAACACTTTGGATTTTTTGCTTTTGATTGTACCACAATACACAATTTTTATGATCTTTAAGTTCAGAGATTAAAAATTCTGAAAGTTGTGGCAAAGTTTTACCATCATCAACACCAAAAATAAATGGTGCATACTCAGATCCTAAAAAAATATTGTAATATCATAGTTGTAGACAATTAGATGAACCAAAAAACTTATAACAATTACATACGTGTACTGGGTCCATTCCACAGCTCAGACTGAGGATCATATGACTTGAGAAACAAGGTTGATGTAAAATTATCAATAGAATTACCACATATCACTAAAGCGCAATCAGTTTCTTGACATCCACTAAAATACAAGAAGTCCGTATTTTGTCTAAACGGATAAGGAATATGGTCAGACATGTATTGTCTAACAGCCGATGGTATTACAATTATATGATAGAAATCTTTTCTTGTGTTCAGAACGGATTCCATGAGCTTATGTCTTCTGATTATAAATTCTTTTTTTTGAATTCCGGGAACCAGCTGAAATGTAATATGTATATTTTAACAAAATCGCTTGATACAGTTTGTTTAGTGAAATTCATATTTACTCACTTCACCTTTCTTCATTAAATGAGGATGAGTTTCGTCCGTAGGTTGACCGCATATCAGTGGAGTCTTCAAGATTTTTCTAACGTTCATTTGGTGTATGCATCGTCTGCTGTTAGACCAGAATTCGGTCAGTTTCCCTGAATGAAAATATCAAACACATCGTTAACCCAATTAATCGTAAAAGGAGTTGAAAAACGATTTTTACCTGTATAATTGCTTGTGCACAATAAACGCGGTTGAAGATACATGATTGACAAACGTAATGATATTAACAAACAAAATAATGGTACTACAATAATGATATTATGTACAGAAAAAATATTAAGGTGGCATCAAAAAATCAGTAAAATGTTTGAAAGTGATTCTTTTAAAAAATCATATTGCCAGCGTGTAGTGTGTCCAAATCGGTAAAAATATTACCGTACGAACGAATTGAAAACCAACGCGCACGGTCTTCATCAACATTGATGAAGACGTCGTTCGAAGTCGGTGATCTTAAGAATATTTTCGATGGATGTGCACGGCAAGGACGCCGATAAACCGACGGCTCGGACAATCGGTAAGGCCGCGGAACGAATAATTATCGGATACTATTGTTTGCTATCGACAACGTTCGAAAATCAAATCGATACTGCCATGGTACACATTATTATTGCTTTTCGTATTGTTATTGCTATGCGCGGTTGCGTACAATTATCGTTCACTGACGAACTGGAGACCCTGGCACGTTGAACACGTGAGACAATTATTGGTTATACGGGCACACATTGTAAATAAAGAACGGAACGTTTTGATAACAGGATATTCGAAATATACAAGTTGTAACCATAATGCGTTTTGCTTTTTCGTTTTGGGGTTTTATCAAATTTTCAATTTGACGTTTTATCGTGCGACGAGTGTAAAAACCGAACGTCCTCAACGATATTTAACTGACCGTGCCATGGCTACTGCTACGGCGGTGGCCGACTTGAAAAAACAGTTCAACACATTTTTACGGGAAAACAAATGTCCAACGGGAGAAATCGTGAAGAAGAAATATTATTTCCCCGTCAATCGGTTAAAGGTGAGCATTGTTTAAATTACACACCTGGTGGACGCTTAGCTTCTAACGGATGATTTGTGTTTTATAGACAATTTACATGTCTATGCTTTCCGCTACTGATGTACAATGGTCGCAGTTGCAAGTCATGTTAACCGATCACGTTGAAAACTTGGATTTTTGCTACTACTCGTGGGAATGTTTTGCATCAATTGCACTGCAATTAGACGTAAAAACAATGAATGTCTACATATTCACAAATCTTTTAGGGCTGACTAAAATTCCAAATGAAAAAAAAGAGGACGATAAACTACTATTTCACAGTTTAAGTATGTACTGATGTTTGATTATTTTTTAAAAAATTAATGCTATTGGTAATGTGCAGGGTATTTTTAATTTGTGCGATAGCTAACAACTCAATTAATAATTAAATTAGAAAGAATTATGTGTGTATAAAAATGGAAATTAATAAAACCATAGGCTTAACTTGGAAATTTATTGGGAAGGGGGTATAAATATAATTACTAATGAAAAGATTGTCCGAGGCTAAACACCGCTTTACTACCTACATATTATTGTATAAAACTATTCATTTTCTAACTTAATGTTAGATAAGCGAAAATTTAAAATTAAATTTAAAAAAAAAAATGTTATAGTAATAGCTATAAGCAGCTGTTTTGTACTTATTTTAAAACAAAGTATGTTGAATATCAGAATGGGCACTGTCCCTCCTTATTTTTTTCTAGGGGGAAATTGCCCCCTTAGTCCCCCCAGTTTACGCCTATAAATAAAACGATGAAATATGTTGTCATTCAATTTTTTTCTTATTTAATCAAAAATTATCTATCTATAAAGTTTTTATACTCGCACTGCTTTTTTTTAAATTAAAAAAACCATTGTATACTTACAATAAATAAATTTGCTTGTAATTTTACATATACATAGCCAAAATCATGTGTATTTGATTCTTTATAAATAATAGATAAATTAAAAATATTTGTATGAATTTGTGTTAAGAACGCCCTAAGTTTAAATACAATTCAGAACAAATAAAAACATGGGTAACAACAGTTTGGGAAGGAATGAAACCATTTATGTTGTCAAATTCCAAAATTAGACGTGAAATGTTAACATTATTAATTGAAAAAATGCTAATGCATTTGAAAAATCCTCTTGTAACCGCAGATTTTCTCATGAACTCAATGGATACCCGTAAGTTTTATTTTTTATATTTTTTAAATGACAATTTTATCTTTTTTATTAAATTTTTTTTAATTTATTTTATTAAATGACAATTATAAATCCAAAATTTTTTTTTTTTTCCTATAGCTGGTCCTATTTCAATCTTAGGACTTCAAGGAATATTTATATTGGTTAAAGATTATAACTTGTAAGTAAATATTTAATAACGGTGCCAAATTGTTTATTATGATATTTATTAATAGGAATCAACTATTCATAGTTTTCTAAGAACAGACTAATGTTTATCATTATATATTTCATTATTATTATTTTCTTATTTTTATCATTATTACCTAGTTGGTTATTTATTTTAATTTTATCCTTTATATCAGCGGTCGCCAACCTTTTGGACCTCACGAACCTTTAAGTATATACTCTAAATTGTACTGACCTTTTAGCTTAAAATGGCTTTTTACATAAATACCATTAAATAAATCAATGCGGTATTTTTTTTCGGTCATGTTTAATTTTTTATTTTAATTGTTTGCTGTAAATGGATCTATTATCCACATAATACCATGTCTAGGATTTTATTTTTTGGGAAAATAACGACAAATAGATTCTGTAAGTAACGTTTAAATTTTTCTGCAGACCATCTAAATTTTCTCGCGGACCATCGGTTGGTGACCACTGCTTTATATAATTTCATTGAATACAAAAAACTTTTAGTCTTTAACCTACTACAATATATATACTTGTATATATTTCAAAAGTGTTACACATTATTAAACTATTTAGGAATTTTAATAATAGTTACTTATTTGATTATTTACAACAGATTCTAATTATCCTTATCAGTAATCATATTCACAGTGCTTGAAAGGAACTCATTCCTCTGATTTTGTTTAGTTTTTAGAAACTTAACGAGAACATAGTTCCTACTCATGTGAAGGAACATATAGTAATTTCATTCATTTCTTTAAAGGAACATGAACAATTTTTTTGTTTCTTTCTCGGTTAATTTATTATTAGATCATTTATAGAAATAAAAGAATACACATTTATAGATTTTCTTTTGAAATTCAGCTACCATAAAAACAATGAAGCAATGGACTTATATTTATATTTAACTAAGTGTTCTTTTTTTTTTTTTTTTTTATAAATAATAATAAAAAAATAATACAAAAAATACATGCATACTAAATAAAATCTTTGTCATCTTCTATTTTGCTGGCTCGAGTTTTTTGAGGGGCAATGTTCCGTATTTTACCAATATGTACGACTTCTATTGCATTTGTCACCTCTTGTACTTCAAACCAATTGATGCACTTTGATAACATTGCTTCTGCTTCTGAATAGGTAATTGCTAGTTTTAAGTTAAGTACTGATTCTTCACAATGTTATCAACTCCATCAACGTCGATGACATTCTAAATAATTTGATCATCATTCAAATCTACCAGTCTGTTTATCACTTTCTTACCAATCCGATACTTCTTTCACTTCTTTCATTGATAATGTTTCACTTTTCAATCTATTGTTGCAAAATTACACGATTTTGTCTACACTAACAGACTCAGTTTCTTTAGATTTATAAAGTATTATTTCAGACCATAGTTTATTCCACCTACTCCTCCAAATGGAACCACCACGGCTATAGATAATTATTTATTAAAATTATTAAAATTATCTATAGCCATGGGTTCATCATTGTCAAATCAACCCATACATTGGATGTATTGAAAATAGCTTCCTTCATATTATAGCTTTTTCAAACACTTTAAAATCGATAATATTGTCAGATGACTGCAAACTTTTGATTTAAATAAAGTTGCTTAAGTAAAAAGATTTGTATAATTCTACTTGTTTATGATAAAATTGACATTTTTTTTGTACAATGTTAAGTCGGTTGTGGTCTTATTAGTGTGACTTCCTTAGAGTCTAAAAAAAAAAAATTTAACTATAAATTATATTAATTAAACTATGAAATTATTGAGATATTAAAAATGTTCCTTATTTAGGACTGAGAATAGGCCTTTCTTTAAACCAGATTCGGAATAGGATTTACTTCTTTGTATATAAGAACTTTCCAATCATTACAAATTCAAAAGTAAAATAACTTTTGAGAGTTGTATTACATTTTATGTGTTACATAAAAATTAATACAGTCAACTCGCGATATAACGAATTTCAAGGGACCGAGCAAAAAGTTTGTTACATCGAAATTCATTATATCAAAAGCATAAATCAACAAAATTTGTTTAAACGATATTTAAAAGAAAATTTAAATTTCATTAGATTTTTATAATTACATACCTACATACAATATGAGATTATTATTAAATATTTTATTAGATACATTCATACATTTTTTGTTTATTACATACATACATATTTATTTTTTAAAAAAATAGGATTTTTTTTTTGTTTGTATCCATTTGCGCTTACGCGATTAATAGTGTTGTTCAAATTTAGAATATTATAAAATACACTGTCGTCAATATCATGTCTTTGTAAAAAACTTAAGACGGCACGGAGACCTAATTTTGCTTCATTCGAGCTTACGGGGGGCTCTTCGTCATCAGCTTTATTCAAAATCTCATCGCCATTGAGAACTTCACAGACAACCAAACCTTTGTCGATAGCAACAAATTTTTATTTATATTTAATACAATTTACATTTAACAGACGTGTATCATATAAACGATACATGAACATTATCTTATCGCATAAGAATGGCCGAAACAAATTCATAAAATGTGCTGTATCAATCTCCAAAATTGTAAAAATTCGTTACATTGCGTGAACTTTAGCCAAAAAATCTTCGTTATATCGAGGGGACCAAAATACATTTGATTTTTCGTTATAGCACGAGGTTTTCAAGGGTCCGACAGTTTTATACGTTATATCGAGATTTTCGTTATATCGAACTTCGTTATACCGCGAGTTGACTGTACAAACTATAAAACAAAAATATTACTGTTTTTATTTCTTATTTTATATCTTTCTATAATTTTCAATAATTTATAAAATATTACTATGTACGATTCTTAATCATTATATTATTGTTTATTCCTAATTTTAAAAACACATTTTCAAAGCCTAGTGGCTAGTAGAATTGATAAAAATGTTTTTTTTTTTTTTTTTAATTTTATATGATATTTATATTAAAAAATTGTATTCAATTATAATATTTTTATTTACTTGTACTTATTATAATTATATTTATTTATTTATTTTTTTTTTTTTTTTAGAGAATGTCCAAATATTTATGGAAAACTTTATAATTTTTTTACTACAGATATGTTTAATTATCGATATAAAACGAGATTATTTTATTTGGCTGATATATTTCTTCGTTCAACGTAAGTAGTACTACTTAATAACTATGAATATTAACTAAATGAAATAGTATATTTTTCACATTTATTTAAATAAAAAAAATATATTATCATTCTTATTAAGAAACTTTAATTACCCACTGGATTATTTTCATTTTATTTATTATAAATAATAAAAAAAACAATAAAGATTTCAAACACAAATTATTAACACTCGTTACTCATGTTCAGGCGTTTCTAATGTGAGGCGCCTTCATATCTCTCACAGTTATTTTTTATATTATTAAGTACAACACATAACATTCAATTTAATTTATTACTAGCATATGGCTCCTGCAAACATTTAATTATTATAGATACATGTCTGTATATATTACAAATTAATTACCTAATTACAATTTAGAACAAAAATAAAAAAAATGGTTTTACATGAAAAATTTTATTTAGTAAAATAATATTAAATCATTTAACTATACTGAAAAATATATCATAATTACTTTTTAATGTAGAAAAAAAGTACTTATATTAAAACATAAGAATATTCAACAGTTTTATAGAACAATTTTTTTATTGCAATTTAGACATGTATATCTCAATTTTGGGTCCTACAACCTACATGCAACTTTAATTTTTCTTTAATGTCTTAAGTATTTAGTTTAATTTTATACATAACAGCAGTTAATAACTTATATTTATTGTAGTCATTTGCCAGAGCTACTAGTAGCTGCATTCATCAAACGTATGGCAAGGCTGTCATTGATAGCCCCACCTACAGACATAAAAATCATGGTTGCATTTATAGGAAATTTATTAATTAGACATCCACCTTTAAAAGTGTTGATCCAAAATGATTCTGTTGGTAAGTTTAACTTTCTAAAAGTATTAAGTATAAGACAAACTTAATAAAATATATAATATATAAATTATATATAAATATATAATTATATTTTAGTTGGGTCAGATCCTTACATTTTTGATGAAAAAGATCCACTAAAATCAAATGCATTGAATAGCTCACTATGGGAACTCGTGTCTTTAAAACAACATATCCTACCAAAAGTGAGCAAATCTGTAAACTTTATATTTAAAAAGTTGCCACAAGTTGAGTGGGACGTAAGTGAACTCCTTAATGACTCATATGAAAATGTAAGTATATATCATGAATTTTAATTCTTACTCAGAGGCGCATGCAACTGTATATTGATTATGATTAAGTTTCCCTATTTTACTTCACATAACAAATTTTTATTAATATATAAATAAATAATTAAGTAAATGCTTAGCTAGCCTAGAATATTATTATATTTGTAGTGTATGACTGGTTTCAAATTAAAAATTCATTGTCAAGTCACATACAAAGTCAATAAAATCATGACTCAATTTTATTTTTAATTTTCTTCTTTTCCCTTGCCTCTCCCAATTATTTGGAGTCGACCCTTGTCCTAAAACTCCATTTGTCTCGATTTTCTACATCCCTTACTCACATACCAACAGCCCTCATATCATTCTCATTGGTACCAGCCAATCTTCTTGGTCTTCCTTTTTTTCTTTTCCCTTCAATATTCAGTTTCATAACAACTTACTGCTTTTGTTTCCTCTAGGCTAACATGTCCAAATCATCTCAGTCTATTTTCTCTCATCCACCATAGACCCTACACCAATACTATCTCTTACATATTCATTCTTTATTCTATCTTCTCTTATCACTCCACTCACATCTAAGAATTCTCATTTTTGCAACACTTGTACTCTATTCTATTCTTCTATCAACTACCCAATACTCCAAACTATATAACATGGGAGGGAGCTGCAGCCCCACCCCTGGCTATGCCACTGGTCACGGTAGACATTGTTCCTGATTCATATGATCAATCAATACAGAGAATTTTATTTTATGTACTTACAAATGAAAATTATTTTCCAATGTTTCAATAATATTTTAAAACCGTACTTCACACATCTTTAATTTAGACAAGGAAAGGCCAATTAAATATTGAATCTTTTTCAAGTTACAGCCATTACTAAATAAACAATAATGAAGAAAAAATTAATTAAAATGTTGACTTAGAAAAAAACTCAGTTTATTTTTAAAAAACATAGTTAACATAATAACATAGTTAATGCGTTCATTTGAAAAAATACCATTATTTATAATTATTAATTTTTTAATTTTTTTAGATGATTGATGAAGAATTTAAGACTGAGTTCCAGAAAGTGAGCTTAACATATGAAAAACCCACATCATATGCTGTACCATTATCCAATCATTTCGATGATTTGTGGACTTTGGATTAATAATTTTTTTTTATACATGTTATATCATATGTATTCCAAGAATGTAACAAATCCAATCCTTAGTTCTGCCTATAATTTAAATGGATTCAAATAGTTATAAAAATTTGAATATTGGACTACAGTAGTTTAATTAATTTATATCAGAAATATGTGTTCTGATAATAAATACAATAACCTTTTTAGGTGTCTAATCAAATGTTGCATAATAAACAAGAAGACTTAATCATCTAGGCATACTTCCAGCCAAATAAAAATAAATGTATTCAAATTATGCGTAGTAAAAATAGAAACCTTTTTTAAAATTGACAAAATACATAACTCCTTTATTTAGCATATTGCATTTTTTAATATTTTTTTTATTTTAAAAATATAAGTTTGACACTACATTGACATAACATAAATCTGATTAAATTTAATATCAAGTAAAATTGTGATTTAGAATATGCCTAGTGTTCAATAGGTTATTATAAACAATAATCTATGTATACATCGCTTAACAATCAGAGAAAAGAAAAACAATAATTGACAAAAAATATAATGTCTTTTCTTAAGTGAGGTACACATTGTGAAAATAAAAAATATATTATCTTAAAAATTAATATTTTTTTTTTTAAAAAAAAAAAGCAAACTTTATACTTCAATAGCCCCTAAAATAAAGTATCACTGATTGTATAATCATCAAAAAGCAGCTCAAGATTATTGTTAAACAAATAATAATTATATTAAAAAAAAAAAAAAAAAAAAAAACTTAAATATTTAATAATATTTGATATGGTTTATGAACATACTTCCCAGTGCTATCTCATTTGTTTTTTTGTTTTTTGAAGTTATACAAAAAAATATTATTTCTTGTTCAACAAAAATATCAATAATGAAAACAATAATATAATTAAAAATAAAAACATAGGAATCAAAAAAATTAAACATAACTAATTGAAAGACATTTATGGTCCGCATACAAAGTTATATGTTATCAACGCGCTCATACGATAAAAATTTGAATTGCTCATAATTAACTTAATAATTAATTATCATGTATTATACTTCCCAATGAACATTTATAGTATCATCTTATTTTCATATAACATACAATTTACTTAATAGTTGCATAACCACAAATGCCGATCAAACTATTTATATGTACATCACTAAATAGGATTCGATACTTTATTTAGGGACTAGTTATCTCTTAATTATCAAAACTCAATTATTGATGTTTGTCATGGCAAAAAACAAAAAACAAATCAAACAGTCCGTGCAAGTGCAGCCATAAAAACTCCGTAACTACTGCGATCTGATTTAATATGCTGTATTTGGTGCATAGTAAGTAAACATTTACTTATGAATCGTTTATCACAAATAACACAGACATATTGATAATTTAAATCCATATTTTCCCTAGATTCGTAGTTCTGAAGGCTTTGAGCTGAGCTCGTTGACTGGTTGTCTGAAGATACCGAAGATATGTCACCATTCCATTCTGTTTTAATAGTTAGCGTCTGATTGTCTTGAGGTAGATTTGGAGTAATAGTTTTTGTACTACTTGGAATGTCTTTAACAACAATGTTGTTGTTGAATAATTTTGGTTTCATTTCTTCAACACTTTCATCACTACTAATACAGTTTTCAAGAGTTTCTTTCTTAGTCTTGACTGTTTTATCAGAACTCGTGGAACCAGAGTCTGATACAGATTTTGAAATGTTATTCACTACTACTCTAGTATTGGTATAACATCTTAAAAAAAAAAAAGTTTTTAAATTATTTTACTCTACATAAATTTAAGACCATTTAAAACTACTACCTTTTTCTTGTTTTGCGAGTGTTCAGAGTTTCAAGATCCATAAGTTGAGCAGCACTTAAACTGTCATTAATTTTTTTCTTAGTCTTAGCTTTCCTCAATTTGTATTTTTTATAAACATCATTATAAGTATTAAGCTTATAGTTAGTTTCAGTTGTGTGACATGACAGTGTATTAAAATGTTTTCTAAAATTTAGCCATGTTGTAAAACTCTTATAACAACCACGGCATATCACTTTTGCACTATCATCATAGTAATAAAAACTTACTCTTTCACAAATCTAAAATATTAAATATTATCAATTTTTTAAATAATGTGCAGAATTAATCATTATGTCAAAACCAAACTCCATACTTACAGTACTTCCATCTTCTTGATCAGCATTTCTAAAAATTATAATTAAAATGAATGAAATAGGATCAGTTATATTAAATAAAAACATTAATACCTTGTACTCTTATTTGGTTGGAGGCCAAAATTCTTTAAAAATTTTTGTTTGCGAAAACGTTCCTTCATTATTAGCTTCTAACCTGAAAAATAATTCAAATATTTTAAACATTTTAATGGCTAATTACTACATGTAAAGAATCAATTGACTTAGGAATAGATGATTTTTTAAAAAATAACTAAAATCTAGACTTCATTTAGTATTTGTGGTAGTTATTCATTACAATTGTCATATTTCAACAACAAAATTAATGATTATTAGAAACACTTAATGAAATTTTATATTTTTACTAATTTAACTACATTCTGCCTATAAGATCAATTATAATTTTTAATAATAATTAGTTATCCTAAGATCTCTTAAATTATTTCATTTGTAATATTAAATGATATGAAACTAATAGTCACAATCAAAAATTACATTATAATCAGAGTCATATTTAGAGAAAGCAACAGGAAACTGTTGCTCTGGGCTGGTAAATTTAAGGACAGCTAGTTTTTATTTATTTTCAATTTGTTAATCCTATCACATTTGTTTTTTTTTCTTTTGCCTCAAGGCAACAAATTCTTAATGGCCTTTTTTATAATACAAATAAATCTATAACCATGTAACTATAAATAATTTCTAAAATCCCTGCTTCATTGTTAACTATACCCAATAATAGTATTGTATATTTATAGGTTTTAATTATCAAACAATACAATCATATTTTAATACATATGTTCATTAAAACTGTATAAACTTAAGTAATTATAAAGATGAAAATGTTTAACAGTTGAATATTTTTTTATGTATATGCAGGTACATAAAAACTTCTTTATCCTTATCAACAAATACACTGGGTGATTCATTATATTTCCTCACTACTTTCAGGTGGGGTGATTAAAACAACACTTTCCTTGAATGCATAAACGTGTACTCATATAAGTAGTGTACTAGAATTTTATTTTGCATTAGCCTTGTTATATGATGAATAATATAAATTATTTCCAACTTGATTAAATCAAATGAAAGTTAAAAAATTTACTTTTATCCGACGTCGATGATTGTAAGTTTTGTTGCTGTACCGATAGCACAGTATTTCTAACAGAAACTTTTAGACAGGCTCGAAACTTGGTCTAGAAAACTTCGATTTTTGATATCGGTTGCAGAATCAGTGAACATCGGAAAATTCCACAAAAAAAATTGTCCATCAGAAACGAAGCATGTAAAACGATTTCGGAAAATTTTTATTAAAAAAGCAAAACATCGGGATACGCTTACGGACAACAAAAACTTTTTCGTGACACTTAACACGCGGCACCCCGTGAGTCACGAACACGAGACTAGGTGGTAGACAAACCGTACAAGTCAGAAGTCTTCGGGTCGGCTAAGGAGTTTTTCCGAAGAGGAACCGCAAGAGCCAGTACTGGGTGTGCGACAGAGACCGCGGTCACACGTACGCCACATGCCGTCATCAAAACTACCCCCTCCCCGCACTTCGCCGTGCACGACGAGGTGCCAAGTGCCCGCCGACAGTATTCGCACGAGCGGGGGCACGTGCGTCGACTCGGAAACCGCGAGAAGAACGACGACGTTCGGTGTCGTCGGATCGGAGGCAGTAAAAGCGGAAGAAAAAAAAATCCCCTCGAGAATAAGAACCGAAAAAGATTTCCTGGGTTCAACGAAACGAAATGAAATCAACGAAAACAATAATGTTTACAAAAATAATAAAACAATAGTTATATACTTACGAACCACGGCGCAACGGGCTCAGTGGTAGCAGGTTGGTACCGCGGACCGGATGACGGTGGTGGACGCACGGTCTCGACGCTCGTCCTCTCGGTCGTGCGGAACAGACGCGTCCAAGAACGACAACTACCCAAGTCCAAGTGGATGGTCCGGAAAAGGAATGTGCCCATGCACACTCGGCGCGGCGGCGGCAGGAGGAGATAGTGTTTACTGTGTTTATTATGGTGACATCGGGGAGCTCGTGCCCGGCCACCAGTGTTGCCGGTTGCCGGGGATAAAAACGGCGAGGCGCGTTCCTACGACGTTTGCACGTACATGGTACGTAAATTACGTAACGAGAAAACGTGGTACGGTTTCCGAGGAAAATTTCTTGCGTTCGATCTTCCGAATATGCGCCGATGGCGACAATAATTAGTAATAGTAATACAATAAATAATAATCACGACCGCTTCATTTGTGTTTTTACATCGTCCACAATACGCAGCGGGAGGGTATTTTTTTCTGAATGGATCGCACGGCACCACTTCACTATCTTACTCGTCGACGGACCGTTCGCTTCCAAATCTTTATCGACGGAACCGCAACGGAAAAATCGATCCTTACAATCAACGACTCGCAGTAGTGTTACGCACACCGTGTTGTCACGAGAAGTTTACCGCGCTTCACTCTAGTCTACCAAAATCAGACTCGTTCGCTTTTTTTCAGCCGGTACAATGTGTTCGCAATCACCGGATTGATCCTATCTCCGTTCGGGTCAACCATTCTGTCATCGATCCGAGATACCTCTTCTCGACCGGGTCCGGATAACGTAGTTGTGCGTGTCGAAACGCACTTAGAATTCACTCTGCGGTAGACGGCCGAGCCAATTACTGAGGTTAATGTTGAGATGCTTACTGTTGATACTACGTCAACATCCCTTTCGGTCTTAAATTATCGAGACCGTAGCACTCAGAAAAATCAAATTGCTTTCTATACCATATATACGTGTAATTTAACGTAGTCCTGCAGAAGGTATAGAGTAATATCTAACCTAACCATAAGTGGTGTTCTCATTGGGTATTTACTCATAGGCGTGCGCACGGAGTGTGCCCAGGTACCCCCGAAATTTTGTAATTTGAACCATAACATTTTAGACTAAAAGTAAATGGCACGTATTTAAATTGATATTTCTCAAATTAAATGTAATTATATTACAAAATATTTAGTAAAAATGAATGATATTTCGTAATAGAAAAGCTAAAACTAAATTTTCATAATTTTCTTGCAAAAACTCATTATGATAATATAACAGCTACAATTGACTACAAAAGTACAAGTCATAAATAATTGAAGTTATCAGAGAAAACTACACGAGATTCAAGGAAAATATATTCATTGGGACAAATATACCACAATATTAAATAAAAAATTTAATTTATGATTATTTAATTATTTATATATTTAATTTATTAAATATACCTCACGTTTTGTAAAGATAAGGCCCAAAAATATTGTAGGCACCCACTTAATTACAGGTCTTCACACGCCTATGGTTATACTACTAATGGAGGCTCATGTGAGTTTCACATAGGAGCAGGAATGGATCCACAGTTGGAGAACTGTGGGTTAGGCTATTTCAGGCCACTTATAAGGACTGAAACTGAACTATAAGTATATACCTTGTTATAAAAAAAAAAAAAACACTATGCCAATATAATATGTTTTCAAGTTTATTCATAGTTATTATTGAAAAAATTAACATTTATTATATTTTGTGGAGTCTCACATGAGGTACGGCATAATAGTTATTTACTGTACTATACAATTAAACAAGTGACTATATTTAGGGGAAGGGGTGGAAACTGGGGCATTCGGCCCAGTATGGTATTTACTTCGCGGTGTTATATGAGAAGTCTTCAAGAGACCAATTTGTCGACAACTATTAACTGTTGGTCAGCTGACCTGAACCCACCCATAGATCCGACCCTGCATAGAGGTGCGACTAAATTTTCCAAACTTAGAGGGGGTCTTCCAAAAAATGAAAAAAAAGTTGTGTTTATTTATCTGAACTAAAATATGTACTCGTATTAAATCTGTTATACCAGCCTTACTCCATGATAAATCACCTCCAAAACAAACAAACTAACTAACTAACCTAACTATCTTAAAATGTTTAAAAGATGTATTTGCATGCTGTATAATCACTTTTAAACACTGAGAACCGAGAGGCGTTTAGCTTCATCATGTGTGCGAAATAGATATAAATGTCAATGTACGTTTTTATACTTGATATGGTATAAAGACATGCATTGATAAGCGAATTGCTCTATCGCATCATAGTATCCTACCGTCTACAGATCAACTGTCACTTAATTTTTACATTTCTATGATTTTCTAACTAGAGTGTAAATGCATTCATCCTAAATATCCCACACCCACCCAAACACCAGAGTTAAATGAAGGAGCGAACTGTCCCATAAAAGTACGTGTTCGGTGCCACTGGTGACAACGTTAAGCCATTTGTCCATATTAATATTATCATTGAAATTTTCATTGTAATTATCATCAAATTAACCGGCATAGTTACACAATTAAACCAGAATGTACAAATTTTTTTATACATAAATTAAAAAATAAAAAACCTTTTGTCCTTCAAAAATCACCATTTTCATACAGAAATCGAGATTACTCTAAATAATGCCTTATAATAAGCTTATTATTTTTATTTTATTAGTTATTCTATCGAATAATTCCTAGAATACTAAAAAGTTTTGTTTTCATATATTCCATGATTGAAAAGTAGTACTTTATTAAATATGATTAATGATTTCCTTAAAATTCTCAGAATCGTTTCATCGATCGTAAATAGTTTATCGATTTTTAACAATAAGGATTCATTAAAAATCCTTTAGTATCACAACTTATGTCATTATTATTGTTAATTTGTTCCTAAAAATTGTTATTGTCCGTAATTCTGGACTCAGACTTTTGCTTCTACGAATAAATAATACTTTATAAGTCTAACAATGTACTATAATACGTCAGACTGTGTTGTAACTTTCATTAGTTATTTATATTTAATATTTGCTTATAAAACAACTATAGTAAGTAACATAATATAATAAAACCCACTATATACCTATACTTAGGGCTGGGCAGTATCTTAGATACTAGTATTTGAGATACGTATCTGAGATACAATTGTACCTTGTATCTGGTATCGTGGATTTAAATACTTTTTAAACTTGTATTTAGTATTTTTTTATGATTAAAGGCTAGATACAATCTATTGTTATGTAATAATAATTATTAATAATTTAGATTAAAGTTTTTCACGTCAAAGGCATTCACTTGATAAATGAACAATATATATAATATTTGCTCATAATAAAGATTATATTACATATAATCTTTATTATGAGCAAATTTTGTAATCAGGAAGTTATATAAATCCAGTTTATCGGCAGAATGTTTTCTTAATTTTATCGTGCTAAACATTTATTTTAGACTGTGTGATTGTGCGGTGACCGGTTCATATTTTCTGTCTACGCGAGGTTTGTGTAGTCTCGTCCGATTTTAAGTATCTATTACTAAAAATATGGATAATAATGTAATTGTTAATATTCCAAAATCATTAGATGGAACATTCTATACAATATTAAATTTTGATGAAATAATTAATGTGAATTGAAAATTGAAATTAGTCTCTTCAAAAGGTAACCAGGAATTTATTTTAAAACATGGGATATAAGATATAAAAAACTATTATTATAATACTACAAATCATTTTTTTTTCAAATTTAAACATTTAATAGTTAATGTAAATAATGTAAATGAATAAACAAATAAATAAATATTAATAAATGTATAAAGTATCTTATATGTATCTCAGCTACCTTTATCTAATATTTTTAAAAATATCGAAGTATCTTGTATCTTGTATTTAGATACTTTTTTTTAGATATCTTGCCCAGCCCTGCCTATGCTAAATATATTTTGTCTTTGAGTTAGATTCATGTTTGCGTAGGTACTATTTTAATGTATTATATTATGTTCTGATATATATATAATATTTACTGTCCCAAAAATAAGTGAATCCTGCACATAGCTCACCGCAGGTGATGTCATTATGTTGGATGCTAAACGCAATTCCTCGTAAAAATCAGTGTATATTGTAAGGCGCTGTTGAGCATTGATTGCGATATCGAGAACATTTTTTGCGATTTTAGAAGTACATTTTTATGTTGTTGATAATGTTATAATGATAATATTACGGGTGAGAAGGTTGGTGAACTCAGTCGTGTTAGTACGTGTAGCTAGCTATTTCAAAAGAGGGGTGTTATTCAAAATTATACACAACAAAATAAATACTTTATGTATACTTTATTGTACAAGGATACAAACACATTAGTACATTACACATGAATATCTATTCATGTGTAATATACTATTGTATAAGAAAGTATTTAAATATTTTATCATATTAAAATTTCAAATGTACATTTTTGTCATATGTATCTATTTTAAATCGCGCATGATACGACTAAAACCACGGCTTTGGTTTATTAGACAAAACAATGTAATGAGAAGCTGGATCTCGGCTTTACATTATTGTTATGTATATATTTCGTTATGATAAATATGTTTTCATCATGGTTTATGATCAATTTTTACCTTTATTAGACTTCAATATAATGTTAACGCGATTAAGGGAGGTGTTACTACACCTGTAAACCATGGCTACGGGCCTGGGTAAAATGGTTTGAAAATTATATTTTTGAAAAACCACCGATATCATAATTTTGTGGAAATTACGCATATTTTAGTGAAGTGATTTTCAAATTTTTAATATTACATGTTAAATTATTTTACCAGTTATATGTATTATTTTAAAGATTATTTTTCGGAAGTCGATTACCTTATCAGCACTAGCCTACGCCGAACATAGACGTAGTTTCTTAATTGTACTTGTTTGATTTAGTATTATGTATATTGTATACATTATTTATATGCGTTATGAATATAACATTATAATAGGTATGCGAGCCTTGATTTGTTTCGATTCAGTTCCAGTAATTCCACCAATAATTATTTTACAAATCGTCGGCTTTCTATTTATTGCACTGGTATAATGTACCTATTCATATTTGAAGTACAGTATTAGTTTGAGAGTGCACCTAATATCTAGCGTAGTGTTTATTCATATAAAAAATTATATTTAGTATACTTAGTTAAGAGTAGAGTTATAAATGTGACTTTTGATAGAAGGGTAGAAGGAATTTAATGCGTTGTTGACAAAAATTATTAGAATAGACCCTGGTAAAAATAATAGGCACACTCTGTGTTCTGTGAGAACGTTCCCTATTCGGCTATATTGTATTATGCATACATGTATATCTGCGATATGATTAAAATAACATAAGCCATAGTAACGTACAATTAGATATCCATTACAATATGTCCAATGACAAGTGTTGAATCTTAAACGAATTTTTGATTGAGCTCTCTTACGCGTTATTAATTTGGATAACAAAGCTATGCCCCCCCCTATGTCCATAGGCGTAACTAAGGGGGTAGTTGAGGGGTTAAGCCCCACCCCAATATGAATTTTAGCCTTCTTGCCATAATTTTTAGTCTTGCTAACGGTAGCTACATTTTTAATTTTAATTAAATTAACCCTAAGGCCAACTATATTACCAAATCGATTTTCCAAGTTAGCATTCATAGCAATTGAAAGAGATTTGTCAAACATCCTAAACAAAGAAGACATTTTGAATTAATTTGCCAATACTGAGCGGAAGCTTAAGCTGCAATAGCTATAAAATTCTTTTAAGTTTTTAATTTTTAAGAAAATTTAACTTGTATCTAAAATAATAATAATAATATTAATAATTAATATAGGATAAATATGTAAAAAAAAAATACATATATATATCATCACAGCGGGTCTCGTCGCTGTACATAATTGTTTAAAAAAAAAAAATAGAATAAATTGGATTGAAAATTGAATTGTCAAAAAAAATACAATTGGCCATATGACACTATTTTGCAAATTAAGTGCCAACAAACTAAATGATTTAAAAAATGATTTGCGAAAGTCGATATCAGATTTTCATAATTTATTTTGTAGAATTTAATTCTTGTCAATTAGTGACTGACAAATGATTTGATCCATCGGATTTTTTGTACTACCTAACGGATTTAATCTCTTTTTTTCACAACACAAGAATTTACCAGCGAAAAATTGAAAAAAAAAACGAAATTGATTCTTCAAAGACCAAATCCACTTAAAAGTACGCTTGTGTATGGTAGACTAATATGTTGAATGGTACTTCGTGTATATTCTTAAACTAAGCTAAAACTCAATAATAAGACTACATCGATATTATTATTTGTGCCACTAAAAATAACAAAGAATTTTATTTGTTGAACGTTTACATTTTTAAATTTAACTTTTAAAATGTTACCTATATAGTTTCATGTAATGATGAACCAATTTAAAACAAAAATATATGTAACAGATGTATAAGTATATTTGATTTTATGTGACCAGTTAGACGTAAATAGGTACATATTGAGTAATTTTTTATATAAACACGAAAGGGTAGTGTATTAAAAATAATTTTATATCCATAGAATTCATTAAGCAGCGGTGCACACAATAGGCCGGAAGGGTTAGTACCATCTTTAGTGCTATTCTCATTTTAAAAAGGTGCTTATTTAGTAGATGGTAAGTGATGGGTATAAGTTTACTAATTCTGCTCAAATTTCAATGTGTGCTACTTAAATTAAGTCTAGAATCGTATAAACAATATAAATTGATTTTCTAGAAAAATTATAAATTAACAAGAAAATTTGTGAAATAATTTTTCTGGATAATCGTATCTATATATTATTATATTATTATATTTATGCCATAATATTTTTTTAACTAAGAAAAATAGTAAAACTGCCGCTACGCTAACAGACCTACGGCCTTCTTGATTATCATAATATTATCAACAGTTATATAATAATATTGACTACATGTAGTGTTTCATAAATCATGACCTAAGACCTAATATTAGTATATTAATACCTATTACGAGATAGATTCTTTTTGATCCAGCAATTGTATTCTATATTCGAGACATTTACGATCAACTTCTAAAGTATGAGCTTTGTGTTTGAGTTCCTCTTCTACTGCATTTACTAGTTCCACGAGAATATTATGTTTATCTCTGCGAACAAAAAACTGTTACAATTGTTTTATTGTTGTAGAGTTGTACAAACAGAGCTGGATTAGTATTATATATTTCGATAATTCATGGAGTCTAAACCTATATATTTTGATATTACTATATGATTTTTACTTTTATACATTGTATCCTACTACACTACAAGCTTGCTTTTGGAAGCATCATCTAAAATATGCTATAAATTAAATTAATTTCCTTTAAAAAAACATAACAAATATATTATTTTCTTCAGGAGAAGTTAAGGTTTAACAGTGAAAAACAATATCGAGCATATGACCCTCCCTACTAGTCCTACAGGCGATTATTCTTTCCATAAAATTTACTATCACTGGATAACACATTTCCCCATCGAATTCGTTGAGAACACGACGAATTTCTGGCTTAAGTTCCAAGACATTTCAAACTTTGTCCTGGTAAACTCGTGACTCTCTATAAGAAAAAATCACATGGCGTAAAGTTTCAAGATCGAAGTGGGTAATTTTGGCCACGCAACGAGATGAGTCTGCCCCAGAACTTCTCACGAAGCAGAGGAATTGTTTCTCTTGAAATGTTGCAAGTTTTGACTTCTAGTTGTAACTATACCTACTGAGCTCAGTAATTTTATTTGGCTTCATTTGTACCAAATGAATATGAAAAATGTATGGTTTTGACTTGTCACACTTCAAGAAAAAAATCACAATGCTGCGTGAGAAGTTCCTGGACAGACTAATCTCGTTACATGGAGACCAAAGCAACCCATTTCGATCTTGCGACTTGACGCCGTATGATTTTTCCTTATGGGGATACACTAAGTCACGAGTTTACCAGAACAAAGTCCGAAATGTCTTGGAATTTAAGCGAGAAATTTGTCGTGTCCTCAACGAACTAAATAGGGCAATGTATGATCGAATGATGATAAATTTTATGGAAAGAATAATCGCCTGTAGGGCTAATAGGAAAGGTCATATGCCCGATATTGTTTTTCACTGTTAAACCTTAACTTCTCTTGAAGAAAATTATATATTTGATATGTTTTTTTAAAAGAAATTAATTTAATTTATAGCAGATTTTAATCCTGCGTTCTTTTTGAGACACCCTTTTGATTTGATTTGTTCATAGCTAAGAAAAATATTGTTTTATTTTGTAATTGAGAGTAATTCAACTTTTTTGGGAGATAAGACATTTTCCTAAATCCAGCCCTGAATATTTCATTCTTATCATACTTTGTTTGATTTAGCTTATTTGTTAAAATTTGAATAGTGTTATCAAGTTCAAGTTGTTCTTTGTGCAATTCAATTGTAGTTTTATCTAGGCATAATTCAGCACCGATTCTGTACAATCTCTCTTCGCAACGTGTTTCAACCAACTTTTTAGAATACAACTTTTTATCTAAAGCATTTTCTAAGTTTTCAATTTCTTTTAGAAACTTTTCTTTGTCAGCCAATATCTTAAAAATAAATTATGTTTATGGTAGCAAAATAACATATATAAACATTGTATTTGTCTCACGTTCGATTTTTGCCATTCTAATTCATATTTAAGCTTATCTGTATCATAAATACGTCTTCTCAGAGCATAATTTACTCTGCCATTTTGACCTCGAAGATCATTTCTAGCTTTATTTCGTGGCAAAAACATAGTTTCACGCAATTTTTTTGAAGAGGTCAATTTTTTTTGAATACTTTGTTTTATGTTATTACACTGTTGGAGCCATTTTTCGTATGTACCAAAACTAAATTTTTACATTTATATAAGTAAGTATACTAAATATTTACACAAGTTTTTTAATATTAAGAACATTAAATATTCTTTAGGTAAATTTAGTTCTTAAAATAATTTTTAAATAATTTGCTAAAATATAATTATACATTAAGGAAAATAAATTATTTTATTCTCATAATAAATTTAAAGATTTTATTTTATTTTATATGAGAACATTTTTAATTTCATATTTTGAAGTAGAATATATTTTTAAAAAATATTATATATAAAAATAAATTAAAGCACTACCTAATTAATAACTTATATATATTTAAAACTAAGGTGAGTGGAGTAATGCATTTATATTTTATAAAATAATCTCTCTCTTTCTACTCCACTTGTCATACATTTAAATAAAAATGGTGTAATAAGATGAGTATGCATCTTAAAAAATTAAAACTGTCATTTGTGACTATAATAACTTCAAGTTATGAGAAAAATCTCTTTTAGATACACAAATTGAAGGTCAACTGTAACCTTATAACAGTGGAAACAATGTATTAATAAATTAATTTTTGTTAAAAATATAAAAAAATGTTGTTAATTACAAAAATTACATACATTTTCCAAATTACTTCATACTTACTGTTCAGGAAATCTTAGCGGATCTGGTTTAAGAGATATATTCGTAGAATCTTTTGTCATTCCCAACAATCTAGTATCTATACAGATTGTATTATTTTTATTATTCAAGTCTTCTTCAACATTAATTCGTAACTCCTCTAATTCATTTATTTGTTCCCATGCAACTTGGCAAATTTCAGTCAACATTTTTTTTAGATTTTCTAAAGTCAATTGTTCCTAAACAAACATTATTAGTTTTAAAAAGTATTTATTATACAATACATACAGTATTTAGTTCAGCAGATGCAATATCATAGCAAAAATCTGCTCCACCTCGTTCATCTCTTATGCTTAAGCAATGATTAGTTACTGTAAAATTTAAATTCAAATGATCAAGAACTTCTTCAGTTTTTTTTTTATCATTTTTTATATCCTCTATTTCTTTTTCTAAATCTTTGTAAAGTATTTCAATCTGATATTTCCAACGTATTATTTCATTACGTCTGAAAAGTATAATTTTGATGTTTAAAATTTAGAGAAGTAAAATTGATACAGTTACATTACTGTACTCCTACCCATTGGGGTGTTTGTTATTTATTGATTTTTTTATTGCAATAAATAAATTATAATAATTATTATTATTATTATTATTAAAAGTATAGAAGTGCATACCGGTTTAGGATAGCAGAATTGGTATGATGTGTATTCCAATAAGTAGTAATATCTGTATTATTCCTTATCTGGTGTGATTCATTTCTTAATTCAAATACATTACGTCTATGGTCATTACATGATTCTTTTAATTCTGATATTTTATAATACCAATCTGTTTCTGCTACTCTAGTCACAGGCTTCTCAAATGTAACTATAGACATTTTGTATTAGTTTGTAATTCTTATAAATATTTCTTAGTAGAAAATTACTTTACAGATAATTAATATAAGAAAATAAAATTGCAACATAAATCTAATATAAAAAACAAATATACATATATATATATATATTAATAGCTAGATAGCTTAAATAAATAATAGCATATATTATTGATGCGGAGAATTGTTATTGAACACACAGTGTACTACATAGTATCAATTGGTTACTATACCAACAACTATAGTAGTAATATTGAAATAAACAAAACCATGGGTTTATTCTTTATTTAATTAAACTTATAATAAAACTTCTTATCCATGTTTTGGGGCTTGCCTGTAATTATGAATAAAATAAATAAAATAAAATAAAATAAAACAAAAAAATGCAGTTGTTACACAGTACACTATTGTAAATATATATTATGTATAAGTATACATACATACAATTTATTATTAAAAATACATTTATTTTTAGTTTAAAAGCTTAAATTTGATTTTTTTAAAGATATTGATAAATATAGCAATAGATTATACTATTCAGTATTTTAGATAAATTTCTGTACAAACTACACAATGACTTATATTTAAACTTAACTAAAAATAGTAGGAAATATTATGTATTAATATAATTATCTAATATTATTATTATTATTATTAATAATTAGTTTAATTAAAATTTAATGAAAGACAATTTTAATATTACAAAATGCATATAAATTTAATGATACTTGATTTTCTAAAATAAAAATGAGTCTTAAAAATTCCATATTGAGTTAAGGCGTATACACACAAGTGCAACACATAGTTGTTAAGCACGCATATTTGTAATTAATTGTTTTGATATTTTAAACAAATACTGTAAATTTGTAAACGAATCCCTGGTAACCAAAAATCACAAATATGACAGCTAATTTTGTTTTTACTGATTTTGGTTCCCTCATATTCGTTGTTTGTTTCATTACTTTTGGACCAACTAAATTGATGAAAAATTGTAAATCTGATTATGACATCCTAGTAAAATTTTTAAGATGGCCAGTTTTCATAATGGAATTCTGAGTAGCTACGGACTAGCATTTATGCTCAACTACCATAAGTCACACAATTTGATCTCGTGTATATGCGCCTTTACATTAAATTATACATTAGGTAGTTTCAAATAAAAATATTTTTTTATATTTATTATTAGCTTAGCACTTATTATAAATATAATTTTTGTATCAGTCTTAATTATCAGACCTTATAAAATGTATAACAGTCAGTGAGTATATAAGACATTCGAAAAATTTATAAAAATGTAATAGTTATTGATTATGTACATCTATATATAATATGTATATAATTTTGTTCATTAAAAGTATAGTATAAAATATAATTGATACTAATAAGATAAAGATTAAATAAAACAAATTAAACCGTCATTTTTGATTGTAGAAAATGTTAACTTCAGTAAATGAGATACATATAAACCAAAACAATACAATATATTTCTTATTATAGTGACCAGTTAAGATTATACTCATAGTAAAAATAAAAAATGAAGGAAAAAAAAGTAGAAAACTTGTATCAAAGTAAATTAATACATATATAAGTGTCTAAGCAAGAAGAGATCCATACTTATTATTACAATAAATGATAAGGTTTTATTTTAAAAACATATTTTGTAATACGTAATAATTTATAGTTTATAACTTAATTATAAGTATCTCACTTAATCAATAATTCAGTCAAGTACACATACTGTTTACAACACATTAATAGGTTCTTTATATCTACGATTAGTCAAAAGGATTTCTGGTTCAGCTTCATCTACATGATTATCAGGACTATATTGGTTTTTCATGGAAATATCTTTTAAGTATGGATACATTGAATGTAAAAAGAAAATTAAATGTAAAATATTTTTCATCATAAATATTGAAGCATTTTCACTGAACACAAACCACATATACAATCGTACGGCTAAAAATGGCATTTGAATTAACATTAAATGCAAAAAATTATAGCATACTGGTTGAGGCAGACCCATTGGCTTGGTATCAATATCTGGCTGAGACACACTATATAGTATCCACAATGGCAGCATGAAGTTTAATAAGGCTGTGGCGTAGATCAAATATTCTATGTACCCGATCTTAGCAGTTGTAGATATAACAATAGATAACATTTCAACTGAATCAAATATCTCGATGATCCACGAATTGGTTGGCCACCTTTCACGGTCCACTTGGCGTCCTACACATTCAGCACTGACCAATAAATAAAACAAAATGCCAGAGATGCCGATCAGTAGCTGAAAGCAAAAATAAAAATATAAAATGTCCACATTATGAGAACAATGGTTAACACACCTTGAGCATTTGTGGTCCCATGAAGTCATAGTTACCGACTAACGAAACAACACCGTTTGAGAAAATCAAAACGATCTTGCTGAACAACAAAACTACATACGAGATCCAAGTAATGCAGTTGAGGTACACGGGATACTTGGTCTTACTTTGGACCGCATTCGCGGTCCTCTTGTTGCGCTCGTATTTGTACTCCTTGTAACAGTTAACGAAAGTGTGGTAGAACAGCAATGTCAGTACGATGTTGAGCACCACGAATAGTACGTTCGGATACCTAGAATACCAAGTGTCCTCGAACACGATCATCACGTAATAGTCGAGACCCAGCAACTGCAGCAGCAGCAGCGTGAACAGCGCACCCGCGTCCAGCACGAAAATCGTTCGCATTTTGTTCATAGTCCCGGCTAAACCGTCTTGGGTCGATGATGAATTAATCGGTAATCCTGATAAATCCAAACTATTGGAGCGCCGCGATGTGATCTCTCGAGAGAAATAGACTGATGATTATAAGGATGAAACCTAAATGTACGGTTATGTATACAATTCAGAAGATTCTTTGAATACGGTTGTTACGTACAGCGAACTAGACAACTAGAGGAACACTAAAACAAAGTCACAATGTGACCCAACATGATAATATTAAAATGTTAACAAACGATTATTACGTTATATCCTATGGTTAAACAGCCTCGGTATTGTCATTGATGAAATTACGTTAAATAGTAAACAATGGCCATTGTTATCAGTGCGCGTCGTGTGTCGTGTTTGTGTTTATTATCAAACGGTCCGCGTGATCTCTCCTTCCATCGCCATCGCACGGTGTTTCGTTGACTCGTGCACGGACCGCGACCGTCTCCTCATCACTTATCCACTGACCGTCGTGTCCTTGACCACTGATCGAGTATTTATTAGTCTGAGCCGAGTTCGCATCTAGGTCAAAACTATTTATAATCGTCTTACCCATTCGTCTATGATTTGATTTGCGTTCCCGACACGACAGGATTTAAATCAAGGGCGTATTTAGACTTACTTCTAGGGGGGGGGCGACTCAATTTTTATTTTTAATTCAAGCTCAACATTTACAAATCAAATTTTGGTAATATTTAAATCGGGTGAATCCTTAATATTTGTGGTTATTTTTTTACACCTGTCTGTGTTTTGAAAGTTACGCTTGTCTTTTATTTGATTTTTCACTAAATATAAACCCGACAAAAACCCCAATTCAGTATTCATCGCCCCCCTCCTAAAATAAGCCCCCGATTCAAATCAACTGTTCTGTGTCCATGATATACCGGTATCAATAATCCCAATGATCGCTCTTTTACAATAAATAGTTATGAAACATACTACACCTCAATTTCAGCATTCTAGGATTGGACAGAGTTTTAGTACCTACATTGTGGACTATTATATTTATTATTAGGAACATTGATTTTTAATTTATAAATTTATCTGAACCACAAGTTTCTAATTATTATATCAAAACTGTGTACACTGACTATTAGTAAGAATATGTACATATTTTTTCCATTGGTAGTAATAGGTAATAGGTAAATTCAAATAAATAAATTGTACCAGTTGAAAATAATGTGAAATATTAGTAGATACTGATCTCTATGGAATTTGAGCTTACCAACTTGAGCACTTATTATTTGGCCAACACAAAATTGCACATTTTAAAATATAAATTTTCTGGGTGTTTAACAAATGCTTTGACGATATTGAATTATTAATAAAATTATAAATTGTTTATTTTGACAGCAAAGTTTATAACATTTTAAGGGAAATACAATATCTTTGAGCTGTACCCTTTCAAATTCAGTCTAATAAATTATCGTTCACTATTTAAGTTACTATACCATTCATGTATTTAACACAATAATGCAGAATACAAGAATAAGGTGTTCTTCCTGATGTTAAATATGAATATTCTTGTTTTAATTATTTTTTTTAATGCATTACCTTCAGCTTAAAAAACTTACAAACATATTTATATTTCTTAAAAATGCTTAACTATTTTTAAACTGGTAAATTAGATAATAGGTACTTAATAACACAAGTAATAACTATTACTATATTAATAATGGTATAATAATTAACTATTCATCTATTTTGTAGATAAAATACATACATTTTAACCGACATAATATTTTGATTTATTGATTTTATTATCTAATAATATAATTTTAGAAATACAAAATCTTGATGTTAAATTAAAATTTCTAATTATAATAGGTATACATTTTTATTTTTTGATCTATTGTTTTTTTTTTTTACTAAATATATTTAGGTATAAATTGAACACATTTTTTTTTTTTTTAAAAAAAACATTTTTAAATATAAAATATATCAACAATTTTTATTACAATAACAAAATTATGTTTTATTCAGTTTAACAACATGTAACAATATACAAAAATATAACAGTTTAAATATGGTAAGTAACAGAATCAGTACAGTACATTAAAAAGTAAGTGTATTGCAAAGTATATGAAAAAAAGGTTACAAACTCAGTTACAATAACTGTTTTGATCAGTTTTAATGTGTAAATTGTACTGTTAAGAACATACTTTGATAGTATATTTTTTCAAAAACTTATCAGTATCTTCGCTTTCTTTTTTTGATTTATGCTGAGTATCAATATTATTTACATCTTTTATATTTGGACTTTCTTGTTTAATTTTACTATGTGTATTAATATGGTTTAAATAGTTTTTAAATATTTTAAACTTCAGACCACATATTTTACACAAGCAATTTTTATTTTCTAATAAAGCCAAATGTTCAGAACGATGCATTTTCCACTCAGCAATTGATACAAAACAACTTCCACAAATTTTACACCCCAAAATAGGGTTATACATATAATTTAAATCATCATTATTTAAATCGCTATGATCTAAACTGGAACTATTTTGATTTATATCATTAGTTAAAGTTTCTAGATTTTCTTCAAAGCTATCCTTGCTAATCAAATCATCTACATTTAAATACTCAATTGTCATATCTTCTTCAAAATGTTCATCATTTACATACTCAATAGTCAAATTATCATTAAAATGCTCTTCTTCTATATACTCATTGGTCTTAATGGTCTCACAACCATCATTCATTATAATAGATATAGTAGGGGCAACTTGATCCCTCATATCATTATTTAACCATTTACCTATACATTTTTCATCATCATCAATAATTTCATTCACATCTACCAGAGTTTCATCATTAATATTTTCGATCAAACAATGATCAATATTTTCTTTTCCTTTATTAGTCATTAAGTTATTTTCCATATCATTTTTTTTCAGTTCATTATAATTAAATTCACTATATTTTTCCTCAAGTTTTGACAGCATTGATTCCAATTGACTTTTATAACGTTTATTCTTACCTTGTAATAATTGTTCACGAAGAAGTTTCAAATCATTTTTTAGTCCTTCTAGGTTTAAATAAATATCTTTTACAATAGAAGAATCATTTTTCTCTTTAGGTAATTCCATTGGATTATGATGTCCAAAAGATTTTTCATTTCCTTCAATATCATGTTTCCAATCAGTATTAAAAATTTTCCAAAACTTTTCAGTAACATTTTTCATACTAACAGACAACGTTTCTTTCCTACCAACTTTAACATTACTATTAGAAGGTTCATCAATATTACTAACCAATAATGGGGTTTTAAATAAAGTCTCATCATTGGCTATTTGTGCTTTTATTTTTTTTGGTCTGCCTCGCTTTTTAGGCTCAGCAGCAATGTTCTTTTTAGGCCGTCCTCTTGGTTTTTTCACAAGAGGCTCATCATTATCTTTAGAACTATTTCCACGTTTTGCTCTAACAATTTTAGGTGGACTTAATACATAGTCCGAATAACATTTATTACGTGTCTGTAAGGTATTTAACATTTCATGATTTAATAAATTTTTTTTTAAATCATAGCTATGTATATCTTCCATAGACTTTTTTTTATTTTTTTTACGTACTTGTCTACATTTTCGTTGTTTTTTGGTTTTCAAATACATCAGATTTTGTTCTTTACAAGGTTTGACACAAATATCAGTACCAACATGAGCTATGTATGACAATCTTGAGTCAAATTGTTGATAACAATTTTGACAAACAACATTTTTATCAATAAAATCAAAGTCTTTAGTTGGATACAGTTTTACATTGTCTTTTTCCAAACAAAAATTTTCATATCCAGTTACTATACTGTTATTTTTTACAGAGAGATCAGTGCATGAATTTGATGAAATCAACATATGGTTTTCTAAAACCTAAAAACAAATTAAACATTTTTTTTTTTTTTAAGATAGTTTAAAATCTTAAAGCAAAATTATTTGTTTTTAATTGTCATAGCTAAACTAAGAGGCTAAATTTCAGCATCCTTGTAATGTTAGATATTTTATACAATGGATACTGGGTTTAATGATAACACCTGATATTAAATAAGCAATAACATAAGGCTTAAGTTTTATGCAATTAAATAAAAAAAATTGTTCGTATTATAATATAGATACATACGGTAAAGGCTTCGAAATAACATTATTGATTTAGTTTTAGATTTTTTATACCTAAACGACATAATTTTACCTTTATAGATGTGTATAAATATATAGCCTGTTTAGAAGAGTTTGCCATTTTATAGTACTTTATACATTGCATTATATAATAAGGTAAATCAAAATTTATCACTAAAAAAAAGTTTTTATATGAAATAATATCAAATCAAGACTTTATTGAAGAATAATTTATTATTATATTCAATAATTTAAATTATTATGTTTAAATGAATTATTATTTTAATTATTTTAATTGTCAGATAAAATGTACAATGCAAAAAATCTAATGAAATTATTTGATATTATAATAATAATTAAAAGACATGTATTATACAGTATATTAACTCTTATTTAGTATGAGATTTGAGATTCAACTAAAACTGTAAAATAAAGTAAAAAAGAGAAGTAAATATAAATCAGATATAATGTAGGAATATATTAGTAAATAACCATTTATAATTGATGAATATTTCATCTAGTTTTATAAAAAAAACTATAATTATATCATAAAAAAAACATAAAAAATGTCTTTTATGAAAAATAGATGTGGGTAATAGAAAATTGATTATAAAATAAAAATATACAGGTACTTAAAATATTTCAGTAGAAGAAATAGTTTGTTTTGAAAATTCTGGTAAGAATTATTCATAAATATTAATTGATATTACAAAAAAAATTATCAAAAAGATTTTAGTAGACTATCTACATAATTATTTAATTTATTTTTTTTTTTTTTTAATAGTTTATTCTGCATATTTCAATCAACATAATGATTATTAAATTATCTACTTTGCAATTACCTTGGGTGATTTATTTTCATGTACTAGTGGTACAACTGGCACAAGATTTAATTGTCTCATAAATGCAATTTTATCTAAATCTTGTTCAATCATTTTGAAACTAAAACAAAAAATCAATAAATTCATAAGGATTATTCAAAATTGAAATATAAATAAATATTTATTATCAACTGATACCAAAAATAAATAAACAATTAAACAAAAATATAATTGACTATTAAAAAAAATAATTTACATATTATATCAAATTAATCTCAATAAAACATTTTTTTAAATTAAATTAATTCAAAATTCTATAAAACATATATTAATCATGTATGTGTATTTATTATTGTTAATCCAACAATTATGCAGTATAATTGTTAATATTTATTTCAATAATTCAATACCATTCTCATTTAAATTATTTAAATTTTAATTGAAAAATAAAACAACATTTTTTAAATTCTTAACTATGTATTTTAAATAATAAGGTTAACATAAATTACATTTAAAATAAATTTATTCAATTAGTTATAATAAATTTAACTATTAATTACTACTATTTTTTAACATTAACCATCTAAAATAATATAGAACATAATTAGAATATAAAATATACAATAAGTAGAAGGTCACAATTAATAAATAATTAATTAATTTATAATTACTTATATTTTATAACTATTTTTTTCAAAAATAAATTATTTAATTTTAATAGAATAAAAAATTATATTAAATAATTCACTTACATAGGTATTTTATAAAACATTGATTGAAAACTGAAAAATATAAAGGTAATTATTTTGGATAACCAAAATGAAATTTTTGAAATAGTTAAAAAAATTACAATAATCAAATAATAAAATTAAAAATAAAATAAAATTTAAAAAATAAATAAATATAACAAGACAGTTGCAGTAATCCTGTAGCAGTCTTATACAACTGACACTACACAATCGCATTCCGTGTGTACTATCGATAGTAATATCGTTATATCGATAACTACTAGTTTCCTTATATCGTATACAATGTTGTAAAACTTTTTATGTTATTAAATAATTATACTTATAACTTATACGAGTGAAATTTTAGTGAAATTAAAAAAAAATTGCTTTTTAAGATATTAAAAAACCCAGGTTGTTAATTTAAAAAAAAAAAAAAAACACTTGTTAAATGTTACAAAAACATGATAATAATTTCTAATTCATATGTAATAAATGGAAAACACGCTTAAATTAAAAACAGAATAATCGACGTATATGACGATTGACGAAAATGTAAAATTGTCTGAGTGTCACTGAATATCTATTACTACTACCCTATGATTCTGCAAGCAGTGTGACCATTACAATATTAATTACATTTCTAATCCATTAGTATCAGAAATTTTTATTTGTGTAAAACAATTATTTCTTCACGATTTAAAAAAAAAAGTAAATACCATATATATGATACGTCGAATATATTATCAGAACATATTGCATTTGTTCTCTCTTTGTTGGTCCCGAAATTGCGTTCCTAAATGTATATAATTTTAATGATAAATGTAATGACTAAACATTTAATCCTACAAGACAAATTTATACATTTTTATTTTAACCATTTTCATATATTACCTGATGATTATTTTATTTTATTTAAAAAATATTTTTTCTTAATGTAATTGATACATTTCGAAATTATTTTAAAATTCAGGTTCTATTTAATTCGGATTAATGAAATAAATAAAAAAAGAAACATTTTAGATTTAATTGTTGGTTTCAGATTTGAGTTTCAATGGTTTCATGCTAACTATTTTATGACATTGTTATAATTCGTTTTTAGATAACTCTATTCTTTACTATTTACATTTAACCTAGTTCACAACATTTAAAATATTGGTTTTTTTATTTAATAAAAACTATATGTTATAAGAATAATATGAATTATTTATACTTTATCAATTAATTTTTAATAATTTATGATATATTTACTTATTGACGACTAGGGAAAAAATGTAAAAATATGATAATCATTAATTATTATATTTTTAAGTTTTCATAAAATATCAACTCACCTACACGTTCCAATTATACACATATTATATAATTTTATGTACATATAACATATATCTACTAATAACATATTATCTATCTAGTTATTTGGTTACCAATATATTAATTAATATTATACTTAAATTATTATAATAAACATTTACATTCATAAAAATGTACCTACTAACTTTTATTGTTAAAAAAAATTGTTCAATTCGTAGGTAAATAAAATATAAATGAAACGATAAGAAGTTTCGTCAATAAAACAATATATTCAAACAACATAGATGAAACTTAATTAAACGACTAAAATAATTTTATCACCAGCAATAGACTTTAGTTTGTCAATAAACCCAATTGTAGATAATTCGTTTTTCTTTACACATTTAATCTATCGACCATGATGAAAATTAATTTGCTTCTATTACATAATTTACAAAATAAAATACAGTTGGGATAGATGATTTATACATTAATTTTGCAATTCTTAAATACCTTAAAATATAAAAAATGAGCAAAATTACTATATAATAGAATGAGATAAATATTATCTCGTACGAATAATTATAGAAGTATAAAATATTATTATCCTTATAATTGCTTATTCGTAAAACGATTAGTAGGCTGTAATTTTTAAATTTGAATTAATATACCTAATTCCAAACCATAAAGGTATCATTAATAATAACATTATTAATAAAACAAATACTGATGTATTTATTTTCTTAGATTATTTATTATTATTATTATACGGTTACATTGGGTACAATTGAATTATTTGTTGTAAATATTTAATTATAATTCGTGACGTCACTTATTTTCAAATCTCATACTCATTATAATATAAATATCATAAATCTTTTTTGACTTTTTTATCTATAATTATTTGATTAATTTTTTTAAGACCAATTCAAGAATATTCAAGATTTTATACAAAACAATAATTCATATATGTAAAATATTTTAATTTAAAAAAAAAAAAATGTAAAGCACCAAGGAGTATAATTAAATATCCTTTTCGCCCCCTTATTTTTTTTTTTAATTCCATCCCACATAGATACCAGAGATACCAACATCTACTGCATATCTAATGTTATACCATTGAAAAATTTTTATATGAAAATTAATAATATTATTTTATAATTATTAGTTACTTAATAAACGAATAAGTTATTTATTTTTTTTTTTTTTAATTAAATATTATTTAAGAAAAAAATTACCTCAGAACTCTTCAATTCAGTACGATAATTTTTAACATTAAAAATACAATAAAAATTAATTTTAAATTGAACACAATTAAAAGAATGTATGTTTAAAAAGTTAAAACAAGGCCAGCAGTAACAAATTTCTATATGGTATGGCAGTATATAAAATAATAAATGAAATGGCATGTAAAATTACTAGATCGAGACATCCAGTGTAGCCATTTAAATAAAAAGAAAAATTTTAATAAATAAAATTAAAGCCACTTACGATTTACATAATATCCTTATTACAGGTAAAATGTGCAAGAAATCAAGTATAATTTTGCGAAAACCATGCAAACACACTATGTGTTTAAATTTGCATGAAAATAATATTTAATAAAACGTGTTTTCACGTTTTCGTATTATAATTTTTTTTGTATTTATCAGAAATTCTGAACGAGATATAGGTACGTCGGTACATGGTAGATACTTGTAATTTATAAACACACTTATTAATATTCATTAGTAATTACACATATAAAATAGTATTGTTTCATGTGTATAACTTTTTAACGTACTGAGAAAGACTTTTTATATGGGTCGTATCGTAAGAAAGATTTCTTCCTGTAATGATTATTTTAAATCATTATTGGAGCCATATGTGTTTCTTTTATCATCAACTGAAGAATTATCTACTTTACATAAATATAATAGGTCAATAATATTTGTGTTTATTAATTTATTTTAATAATGATTATAATCAAGGATATAAGGCCATATAATTATTCCTTTGCTCTCCATAATTGTGTATTTTATTTTTATGTGAAATATTATTATATATTTATATCTATAATAAATAATAGCCTACTATAGACAAATACTTAACAGTCACACTCGTATATACAAGCTGCAATACACACATGATACCTATATTAGAATTATTTGGATTATTATATAGACATATGCAATGCTGGTAGTGTTACAAATTTAGCCATCCCCTCTCACTGAAATAAAATTCAGGCAGTAAAACTAGATTACCGCTCTGACGGCGCACATGTATTTGTGTTCAATGCGTATCTGAATGATATATTAATATCATAGTAAACCAACGGTCGATCAGTGGATAATGCTACTAAAATAATGTTACCAAGGAAAAAACATGAAATAGAATATTTTGAAATTCATATACGGTACCATTACCTTTAATCAAAACATTTTAACGATTTAGAACATTTTTTCGTATTAGATACGTATAAAAATTATTAGATATTTACCCTATTCTTTATTAAGGGATGATGACAAAATTAATAGGTACCTAAAATATCATAAATGTATTATAAATAACCATGCTATATTATATTTAATAGTGTTACAAATGCTGAACATATTAAATTATAAGGCAGATACATTTAATTGTAAAATGTATTATATATTTAAATTTATTTTTTATATTGCTACTATTATTGTTATAATTTCTATTATAATTATTCAGCATGAGGAGCAAACGCAGAAAAAAATTTCTTTAAAAAATTGCTTTATTACTTATCATCAGGGCTAGGATTTGTATGCAACAGCATGTTTTTTTTGCGACTTATGATTATTGGTTTTGTCAGTTATGTTCACGAATCATCTCATGATGAGATAAATGGTAGTATTTTTATTTTGCATGTTTTTGCATATTTTGGTAAATAAAATGCATATTTTACAATTTTTTTATTACATACAAATCCTAGCCCTGCTTATTAAACTCGTTTTATAATAAAATAGTATAATAATATATAATATAATATTTATTATATTAAATAATAGTATATATATTTATATATTTTATTTGCAAGTCTCGTGGGAAATTTTGAAATAGGGGAGAATGGGAGAATGCTGGTCAGTGGGTAATACTGGTCATCGATGTTTCTAGACAATTTTTTATATTTGAGGGTTTATTAACTTTGTGGTGAAATAAATATTGATAACGTAATTTAATATAAGTGTTCCCAAGATTATTAAATATTTATAACGCCACCTAAAATTTGTTACAACTTCTAATCATATTTTACTCTAATAAATTAAAAATTTCACCTACAATTTAAGGTGAGAGTATAAGTGTAATAAAATTAAAAATATATATTTAATATATGTTTTTGTACTAAAAATAGTTGTTGAGTAACAAAATCATACTTAATTTTGAAAATATGTACACGAGGGGGTAATACCGGTAACATTTATAGGATACCATTTTTCGTTTTAATATTTAAATACTAAATGTAATTATAGATGAATCGTGGTATAGATGCACTCGATATGGTTCATGGGTGCATTCATATTGTAGGGAACTGATACAATAGTTAATTACATCTGTGATATTTGTTTAAGGTTAGGTTGAAAAATATTTTTCATGGGATAAATTAAATGTATTAAATGTTTTTTTTTACACAAATCACACTATTACGAGTATGTTTAAAATATAGTATACAAAGTACATAATTACGATTACATAGTTTAATAAAATTCAATAAAATAATTCATTTGATTATTTATTGTTGTTGTTATTTAATTAAAAATAAAAAATTGTATAAGCTATAATTTTACTTGGAGTTTTGAAATAATTCATATAGCCCCCGACATAGGGGCAGGGCTGGGCAATATATTAGATACTAGTATTTAAGATACGTATCTGAGATACAATTGTACATTGTATCGAGATACATTATTTTAATGTATCTGGTATCGTGGATTTAAATACTTTTTTAACTTGTATCTAGTATCTTTTTATAATTAAAGATACTAGATACGATCTATTGTTATGTAATAATAATTATAATTAATTTAGATTAATGTTTTTCACGTTGAAGGCATTGACTTGATAAATAAACAATATATACAATATTTGCTCATAATAAAGTTAAATATAATCTTTATTATGAGCAAATTTTGTAATCAGTAAGTTATATAAATCCAGTTTATCGGCAGAATGTTTTCTTAATTGTATTGCGCAAAAAATATATTTTAGACTATGTGATTGTGCGGTGACCGGTTCATATTTTCTGTCTACACGGGGTTTGTGTAGTGTTGTCCGATTTTAAGTATCTATATTTTTAAATTTAAACATTTAATAATTAATGCAAATAATGTAAACGAATAAATAAATAAATATTAATAAATGAATAAAGTATCTTATATGTATCTCAGCTACCTGTATCTAGTATCTTTAAAAGTATCGAAGTATCTTGTATCTTGTATTTAGATACTTTTTTTTAGGTATCTTGCCCATCCCTGCATAGGGGGCACATTGGTGATTTCCGGGTTTTTAAAAAACTTTTTCCTTAGGAAAATATTATTCTTTAAAATGTATTCAGTGAATACTCTTCACTAATTGACACTACTCTAATTTTAATCACAATGTAGCTAACAATTTAATGATTCTATATCGATGTAATAATAAAGATTTGATTATTAATTTCAAGGGAACTAGATTTCTTGCTTAGGTGACCCGTATTCCCCCATTATCCCCTACCTATTAAATTTGTAGGTCAGGTCATTTTTTATAACATTTTTTTTTTGATAGATATTGCGGGAGGGGTATGAAACTTACCTTGTCCCATGCGTTTGCGCCTGTTCAGCATACATGCAAATACTTATTAATTATTTAAAAATATATATATTGGTATATAATAATCCTTATATAATCATGTAATATATTATACGTACTAAAAACACATACTGAATATTGTATTTCTATAAAATATATAATACGCTCATATAAAATATTATGATTTAATAATGATTTTAACCCTTTGGAATACATTTTTTCTTATTATCTTCCTACTTCGTCAAGAAAATACGTGCTTAAATAAAATTAAAACACTATTTTTAAGGACTCGTTTAAATTCATTTTTCAAAATCATGTACATGGATATTATGGTTATTAAAAATATATGTATACTTAAGAACAAATGCGTAAAATAAAATAAAATAAGTAAGAACAAATTACGAACAATTAATACTTACTTAATGATTGTTTATACTTAGGTACATACGAGAATACGAGTATTCTAATAATACGGTGATCCTGTGAATACAAATTGATTCGAAGATCGATACAGAAGAACAGATTTTCCACAAAAAAGCGTAAAACCAAACTAACGGAGTTAATGTTTTAACCCAGATTCGTAGTTAGGACCAATTAATGTCCTTGGTAACGGATTACATTTGAGCCGAAATTAATTTTTTCTTGCTGTGGGATAATATTTTATTTAATAATTCGGATATTTAATAAAATATTTAGCCTTTCACTATTTAAATGCACGTTTCATAATACAGCGACCATTAATCTTTATGTTGATCTTTGAGGCATACTAACAAGGTTTTATTAAATTCAGTTTATTGTTTGTTTTTAATTTTAAGCGAATTATAAAATATTTATCTTTGAAAATAGATGAAATTTATATCTAAAAATCTTATTTGAAGATTAATTTATTGATATTTTGTATTCATATTTAGCATGATAAGTAGGTATTCTATGTATTCGAATTTTGTTTTGTACTCTTATTACGGTTTCTTAAACTTATGATATATTATATTATATGATATTCAATCACATCACTCGATATCGGCCACTAAAGTATACATAATAATAAATTACAGTATTTACTATTATTATTTAAAATGGAAAAATACATTAACTAATTACTAATTTAAAATTGTAATTAATATAAAAACTTATACCTATATAATTACCTTTCTAAACGTGTAAATTCATAGTAATGGTAATGGTTTTGTTTATAGAGTATCACAATTTATTTACTAAAATTACAAATAATTATTTGAGTAATATATTGGCATAAGCCATAAAAGCATAATACCAACATAACATGATTTATTCATCAATGTATAATATATTTTTTCAAATGAATAAAACAATTGAAATAATTGATTAGAATTTATAACTAATATGGAAGTCAGGAGGCTTAACATTATTGTTAATAAATGATCTTAAAATCTAATGTGTACTTACTATATAAATACGAATCCCATGATAATATAATACAAATAACATTTTTTTATACTCAACAAATATATTATATAAAATTATGCAAATTACCTAGTATTTTTTTTTAAATTTTAACCTTTGAGATTATTAATTTATCAAATATATCTTTACATTGGATAATTAAAAATTAATTAAATCAAATCCATCATCAATTCGTATCAATAACTTCCTAGGTATAATTTATTACAGTATTTATAAAATCATTGATTGGTCTAAATTATTAATTTTAAAACATGGTTTAACAATTTTTTAATATTATTAAAAATAAAAATATATTCTCAAAATACTTTTGTGGATGAAATGGCTAATTTATTATTTTTGAGCATTGTATAAAATAAAAAGTTACATCCAAGAATGGAATATTAAAAAAAAAACTTATTTGTTATAATTATTTACTATAATCTAGTCATCTTAGGATATCTATAGAACTTAATCAATCTGAATTATATCAATCAATCAAATCAATCTGATTTACATCTAAATACATTATTAGTATGAAACTGTTTTGTAACAATTATGTTTATTTATCAACCGCTATATATCTATTTTATAAGTAGGTATCTACTTCACAACTAGGTTCGTGACACTGACTACATATAAAATGTGTTGATAATAATTTTAACTTATTCTTAATAAAAATGATCACACAGACAAATAATTAGTTTATTATAATGAAATAATATTAGTCATTCAATTTTCATTCATTGAATTATAAAACTAAAAATACAACAGTAACACATTTCCATATGAATTTACAATGACATTACGTAAAAATATTTTATTACGAATTATGTTCCTCTATTTTTTTTTCTTAATCTTAAGAGATTTAAAATAGCTCCTAAATAGATTTAATTTACAATAATTCAGTATACATTTCTAAGTAATTTTATTAATTTTGTAATCTTAAATAATTTTGATATCAACATTAAAAGGATTTGCACACAGTTTACGTTATAAGGATTGTTAAATTAAAAAAAATAATTAAGTCTGTCGTAATAAGTAAAATATTTAGCTTTTTTAAATATTATAAAAATTTATAATTCTAATTAAATTAAATCATTAAAACCGTAAAAATATATTGCATACATTTATGTATACATTGTATAATTAAATATAATTAACAACAGTGGTCAAAGTTTGGGATACTACCTTGCTATTATTTAGTTTTTTAGTTTACGTTATTTTCAGTTTTTCTACAGTAAAATTGGTTATTTAAGAAAAATAATAACGATGTATTAAGTATAAACACAATTGATTTAGTCTTCAAAAATTATTTATCTGTATATATTTATATATATAGTGATTTATAAGATAACATGTAAAGTATTTATGACGTTTGAACATATCTTCACTTATTTATAGCCACTTCAACCACTCAGAGACGGATTTTCATAAGTGACGTCCATAGGTAAATTTATTTTGATGCCACTAGTCAACGTGTGTTGCTTTTTTTATGTTATACGATTAATATAAATTATCAGAAATAACGGTTTATAAGATAAGGCTGGTGATTATTTCGAACAAACGGTCGAATATAAATTGATGACTTGAAAAGAGGAAAAAATCAAAAAAAGTATATCTTATCAATAAGAGAAATTTTCTGTCATGGGCATAATTTGCCTGATGTTAAAACCATCTCAATGACCGCAACTAAGTGGACACTAGTAATGGTAAAAATCCGGATTTGTCGAAGTTTGTAAATCCGGATTTTATTCTAAACTCGGATTCCGGATTCGAAAATCTGAAAATCCAGATTCTGAAATCCGAAAATTCAGAATTTGAAATTTGAAAATCCTAAACTAACAACAAATTAACAATAAATAAACTGACAACAACTAACTATAAATATTATTAATACATTATATATAATATATTTTATTAACTTTGTATAATTATTTAAATATTGATGACAAATTTTAAAATTAAGATGGTTTTATATATATATTGATTGTAATTAGAATAAGTTAACTAGATATTTAACAGATTAGTTATATAGTATAAAGTGAAATAGTTTAGGTTTTATAAAAATAATGTAATATTCTAATTAGAATTTTATAACCCGAAATTTGGATTCTAAGGTCCAAAAATCTAAATTTTGAATTTTAAAATCCGAAATCATTATATCAGCAAAAATTGTTTGAGATTAAACAATTCTCAATTCGATTGTGTGTTAAGTATTGTTTAATTAATTAATGGTATAAATAGAAAGATAAATATATAATACTAAGGGATGATCATAAATAATCATCCTTTGAACTGTTTTTTATTGAATGCACAAGTTTAAGTAGATTTATTTATTAAACAATAAATAAAATAACAAAATACAAGGGTTCACAATATGCATGTACCTAATCAACGAACAACGAATTCTTAATTAACTTTTATGAATAGTTTAATTTTATATACTAAGTAATGATCTATAACTACTGAGCGTCTGAGAATTTCAAATGTAAATAAACTTTAAATATGTCTGTGAATTATTCGCGTACTTTTTCGAAATCGAAAAAATACTATAATTATCAAAGACGTGAATAGACATTTTTTTCGACGGTGATTCAATATTTTTACTATCACGTATTTCAAATGTATTTATTTTATAATATAATCATTTTGGTAATAATTCAATTTATGGTATTAGATAGATCGATAACGGATTATATAAATAACCTTGGTGAATAATTATAATATTAAAATTAAATTGTATACAAATATTAAGCAATATTTATTTTTTTAAATTCGTCAAAAGTTCGTCAGGACGGGGTTGAACGAGGGTGCACTAACTATAGGCATTCTCCTGATTATTATTATTATTATTATTAGATCATAATATGATCTAGGTATATTATACCTAATAGCATTAGTTATATAAATACTAGTATTTATAATCAATGTTAATACTAAACGAATTAGATAGCCGTGATCCTGGCCATGTTTATCAATATAATATCAGTTAGGAATTTCATTGATAAGAGATATCTGATAAGTGATAATAACCAAAACACACTCACGTTGTTTACACTCCTTAAAATGTTCGAATTTTTTAAAAAGATTAAATATATTACTATATTTACGTGGTTTCTAGTAAATACGTTTGTGCTCCAAGTCTTAATTTAGCAATCACCAGCGGTTTATTAAATGGTTTGTGCATATTTTTCTTAGGTTTGTTGGTTTTCTTTTTCGAAATAGCACGTGTTTATAAACGAATAAATATGACTACTTACATCGAATGGAAAACGCTGTTATGACGATCCTTTACTGTACCTTTATACATTCATTGATAAGATTTTGAAGTTACGAACCATGAACCATGCTAGTAATTGGATTGAAATATGCGACGAGCAAGCCAGAATCAATGCCGAACGGCTAGTTTCATCATTTTCATCTCAGCCATCGACTCGACAAGAAGTGTTAGGACATTACATTAAAGTATTTGCTGCTCATTTTAAACGCGAGTGTGATAGGTATAATTGGCCAGATAATGATTCTGGTAACAGTGATTCGGATACAGAATCGATGATAACAGTGAAAAAAAAACCTTTCTTCAGGTATGTTAAAATTGAGTTAATTATAACTTTTTTGCTATACCTAATATTTCTATGATAAAAGCAAATTATAGATTAAGTATAAAAACATAACTTTTACAGTTAATACGTCCTGCTATGTCATATGGTACCAACTGTGGGAACTTCAAAACCTTCCAAACTAAATATATTATTAATAAATAAAATCTATTCAAAAATTCTCCTGGTAAATATGTCATCAGACATTATACCAGGATCTAACATTCAATGATACAAGCACTTGTTTCTTACTATTATAATAAATTACATAAAACATTCATTAATCACTTAAGTCCTTATTTCCTGTATAGTACCCTACACATTAATTCAAATATAATTGGAAATGTGACCTTAATAACAATAAGACGTTAACTGGAACTAATACTATTTTTATGGGTTCATGATTTGGAGTGGTGTTAAGGGATATTCCTCTCATTCTGTCACATCTAGTTTTTAAATAGTTTCTGCTTTTGCTTATTGTATTTTTGTATACTGACTGAAATTTCACTTTGTAAAAAAAAAAAAACTGTTATATTGTTTTAATATTTATTGTTTATTATTTATCTTTTGTTTTAGACGAATGTCATTTAGAGCCCTTCGACCATTGTTTCATAAACAGCATTCTGATGAAGTAGAACTTGATGCTGCATCCATAGTATCACAAAGACCTATGAAATGTAAGAAAAAGTTAGCCAAAATTGTTGTAGAATGTCGCAAGGAAGGTATAGTCAATTACCGATTAGGTGAGACGATTGATGGTGGTGAACCCAAATGGGAAAAAGCTAGATTAGCTTTGGTTAAAAATACAGATGGATATACTCTAGAATTTTATTGCCCTCCTAAGGTATAATTTTAGTTTCCATATAATTTACTTATAAATAATATTATTTAATATTATCAAACCTTGAGTTTTAACTATTTAAATAAAAATATCTTTATTAAGTTTAGTTATTTTTAAATAGTTGTTATCTCCATAGTTTAGATTAAAAGCATTTACTTGATGTTATTTATATTTTATATGCCTTATGATCTTTAAATATGTTTGATATTAATTATTTATATTTGCTTGTACTATGTGTAGTCTTTAAAACCAAAGCATGGAGTATTCTGTTTTTTGATACAAGATGCAAGGGAAACCAAAGAAATTGAAATGCCTGAAAGATATACTAATACATTTGTATTAAAAGTAATTGTTTTTAAACATATTTCCTACTACAGTTTTTAATTAAACATTAAGAAAATATGAAACCAAATTAAAATTGGTCTTTTTTTTTTTTATGTATTCAGGATGAAAATAATGTTGAGTATATAATTGATGCATTAAGTCCAGAAGAAATGCGTCAATGGCTTGCAACTGTTAAATACTGCATGCGTAAACGTGATGGTTTGCATGATGATATTAGGTTAATATTTATTTTTTATTTTTATCATAAACTATTGAATGTTTATTTAAAAAAAAATTATTTTGTATAGCATTATTGGCAATATTGATGGTATGTTGGATTCATCAACTGCACATTCAAGTGAAACACTATTAAACTCACCTCAAAGTTCCACTAATAATTTAGATATTATTGTGAATAATGATATTGGTAAGTTATTTATTTGAATTGATAATAATTGAAGTATCAATAATATATTTGATTATTGATTTTTTTTTTTTATAGAAAATGATATTTCGACTTCTCTTCGCCTTTATCCATGGTTTCATGGTATGCTGGCCAGATCTGATGCTACAAACTTGGTATCACATTTAGGCATTGATGGACATGGAATGTTTCTAGTCAGACAGTCCGAAACCCGAAAGGGTGAATATGTATTGACATTTAATTTTAAAGGAAAACCAAAGGTAAATTATGAAATTTAAATTTAACTATTACAAATTCTATAAATACAAAAAACATTTTATTAATAGCATTTACGAATGACACTAAATGACCAAGGACACTGTCGTGTTCAGCATCTATCATTCCCTAGTATACAAGATATGCTTGAACATTTTCAAACACATTTAATTCCTTTGGAAAATGGTGGACCAGGAGATGTGACTCTCAGAGAATACATACTAAACACACCAATTAAATATGGTATGCTTCCGAGTAATTCCAATATTAATTTTATTGTTATTACACGGGATCCAAATGTTCCATTAACTCAGAATTTGGAACATGGATTAAGACCTTCAGCTCCTCAATTATATAGAGAAGTAATTATATATTATGAGAAATTATTTCTTGAAAATATTTATTAAACATTGTTGTTATAATTGTATTTTAGTTTAAGACCATGTTAGCTCCTATTAGAACCAAAACAAAAGACTTACAAACAGACTTTACTAATCGGTCAACACCAGAACCAGGGGTTGGCAATGTTATAAGAGCAGTCAACAACCAGTATACTTTAAGATAATTATATGGAAATTCCACATGTATAAATATGTTCAGTATTAAGCATGTAAACATTTTATTATTATTATTATTATTATTGTTATAAAATATCTTATTATTTTTTTTTGAGTTAAACCTCATATTTTGTGTGTTTTTTTCTTTTTGCTTTAAAATACAATACAAATGATTGTATAAAATATTGTACTTACATTTTCTTGTATTAAATTATTCAATCAAGTATTATTTGATCAATCGAGTTTAATTAACAATTGGAAATATTTATCTATTATCAATATATACCATATTTATAACAACATTTTAATTTCAAAAATTACTTTGTATATTTAAAATTGCTTCTTGTAGTGTAAAAGTTGCCAATTATTAGTCAAATTTGGTTCCATACCATTGTTTTTTTTATGTATTCATTAATTATAGTTATGTAGTAGATAGTAAAAGAGTACCTAATAACAATTACAAAATATTTTATTGTATTATTTTTTAACTTGAGTTATTATCAACATGTATTATTGAAACCAATATTTCTTAAAATTAATATAGAAATATGTAAAAAGAAATAACTTATGCATTTTTTTTTTTTTTTGTTTTTGTTAACTTATACATATATTAAATTTATGTGTTTAATCAATGATTTGTATATTAAAACTTATTTAAATTACAAGGTCTGAGAAAAAGGTGACAACAAGAATATCAAGTTAATTCTAAAATCTAATTGTGCTTTCTATAGAATTTTCTATTAATCCTATTCTCAAAGTACTCAATGTTCTGAATGTCAGTGTGATCATTTATTCTACATAGGCCATCATACTATTATATTTCTTCTAAAAAAAAAAATAATAATAATATATATATATATAATATAGTATATAAATATAATAATATATAATTACATATAATATAATTACACACACATATATATATATATATATATATATATATATATTAGTATACTTAGTTGCAAGTTATTAAACATATCTTTTTAAATGTCTCTCATGTTAGTACTCAAATATCATAGTCATGAACCTTATATGCTTTTACTTACCTCCAAAATAACAGCAGGATCGTTCTAATTATTACAATTCTAATTACTTTTAACTTAACAAAATTTTCTGTTTACTTCAATGACAACTTAACCAAGTTGAAAACTTTATTAAAAACATAATTAATTCATAAATTATAAAAATGATTAGATTATTGCAGTATTCCCGTACGGTACCAACCTCCCACCAACCTCTATAACCAACAAATTCCTTCCATACAACACACATGCTTGTATATTATGGCCTTAGTTTCTGAAGCTTCCTTGCAAAAGTATTAATAAGAATCATATGTTATTTGTGTACCATTATTTAAGATATACTACAGTATATCATTGTTCCATAAACATATATTTTTATTACTCTTTTATAGATTTAATTTAGACCCAAAAACAATTTATTTTATTTTAATTTTTTTATCGCCCAATTTAATTTTTAATTGTCAATTTTCAATAAAATATTTTTAGTAAAATGTTTGGTATTTATTACAATTTTTTTTTGTCCTAATCAAATTACTTTTTAAAACTACTCAGATTATAACACTAATTACTTTTTGTATAAATCATTAAATTACTATTAACAAAACATAAGTAACAATTACAATATAGGTATATCATTCATAACAAAATAATGAAAAATAAAATAAAAGTTAGGTATAAAGATATACCATATTGGAAGTAAGTTGTAACCCAAATTTTTACTATTACAAAATTACTGTATATTTTATTTAAAGTAAATTTATTCATAACCCATTTTTTTCATATCATTTGAAAATAATTGAACATTGTTGAATTATATTGCTAAGGGACAAGTGTTTTATAGTTATTTTTAGATTTATAACTAACTTTATAATAAATATTGTTATTTATGCATATTATATTAATATGGTCGTTAAATAAATTATACAGTTTAATATTCCAACAAATATAAGCAATTCACCCACCTAGAAATGCCGTTAAACAGTGCTTCAGGTAGCGATTCAGGCTAATAAGGTGTTTTTGTAAATATCGTCATGATAATCATTTTTAAGAATTACAATTGATATAAGTTTAGGATTGCCAATAAAAATGTTATAATAATCATATTAATTTAACACTACTTTTTAATCATATCATAATGAAAGGGCAGCTCAAAATTTTGGTGACATAGGGGATTGAAGCCATAGGTCAGAGGCCTATGATAAAATGTAAAATCTAACAAATAAATTCTATTAACCTATTTCCATAACATTATATGCTTATTTATCATAAGTATTTCAAGTACGAAAAGACAATGATACATCTCAAATACTCAAAATAAAAATTCGATTTCCACAAGGATCAGTTCTTGGTGCCATATTATTCAATGTTCTGTCATGATACTCCGAAATCACAAAAATAGCCACTAGCAATTTATGCCAGTTATATTTCTATTATAACACAAAATAAAATCTTAGAAGCTCAACATATATATATATATATATATATATATATATATATATATATATATAAGCCAATATAAAGGTTAATAAATATGCAGGCGTAGATAAAAAGAGGGGCTATAGGGGCTGTAGTCCCCTCCACTAAGTCATTAGGTAGAACCATATCGGACGTAGGTACGTAAAATATTTAAAAAACTAGACGTAAGAAAGACTTAGTACAAATCGACATTGGCGTAATTTCACTATAATTCAGGGGTTGCAAAACTAATCAGGAAAGTTACAAACTTTCAACAAATTGTTCAAATCCTTAACTTTGCAAATTTATTTACCACTTTTAATTTAATTCTAGTTCCTCGATCAAAATTGTATACAGTATACATAATTTAGTACCTATTATCATTAATATGAATTAAGTAAATTTTATGATATAAATAAATAAAAATTAGTTAACACCTTATAATTTATTTTTACTCTCATTCGTTTATTATACTCTGATTATCAACTGATAATGTTTGTCTATCATTATCGTAAATTCAAAACAACAATCATATTTCCGTTAAGTTAAAAGATATAAAAAATAAATATTTTTATTTGTATAATAATGGTTATATTTTTTTTGATGTACATCACTTCATTATAAACCCTCGACGCACCATTGTACTAGTTATACATTATAAATATAGACAATTTAGGGAGAGTGCAATTTTACAGTTTTTCACCCTTTCAAAAAAACCAGGGGGTGGAAGTGCACCCCTTTGCACTCTCGAAATTACGCCTATGCAAATCGACATGCACAACGAATTATTGCAGTAACTGACTTTACTAGCCCACCCCTTTTTTCATTTCTAGATCCGTGCCTGTAAATATGTAACATTTTTAATTTTATTAGCAAATAATGAATATATAATAATACAATAATAATTCAAAACAATTAATATCTACTTTAGTAATGTATGAAAAGTAATAATACAATACATAAACTAAATTTAAATACTTATATTAAAAAAATTTAAAAAAAAATTTATATAATAACTTTCAATTGATTTTTTTTTTGTTACTGGTTAACTCAGTGGTTCTCAATCTGAGGAGCGCATCCCCTAGGAAGACGTGATATAATTTCAAGGAGGGAGGGCGTGAAAATGTTGAAAAAAAAACATGAAAAATGAAAACGTCGTTTTTTACACCATGCCTTGCCGCTGTGTTGGTCGCCGCTTCGGTCAATTTTTTTTTTTTATGTAAATAAATTAATTTAATATAAAAAAAACTTCATTTAAGTTGTTTTCTTTTTATTCCAATAACCAACGTTAAAGCAGGGACTGATACCTTTAAATTTTTATCGTTCCTGTTCTTAATTATTTTATTAAAAGGTTCGGGTTCATGTTCTAAATAAAATATTTTAAAATTAATTTCGTAGTATTTTTTTATGCATATTTAAAAATTACATAAATGTTACCGATATTATGGCATTATACTAATCAATATGGTATAATATACTCATATAAGTCACAACACGTCTCACTTCAACTAATTTATATATATTGTAGTATACGGGGGTACAATATTTAATAATTTAATTAATAATTAAATAAATAACTCGGCCACCAGTATCCTGCCACTATCAGGATCACCTGGCGCATATGTATACAAAAATAACACTCTTAAATATTGAATATATAATATTAATAATAATAATAATAATAATATAAAACAAAGGCGACCGCGGAACAGTACCTCACGGGAGTACTTCACTACGACGACTAATCGCCATCCGCTATCGAGATAACAAACAAAATAGTAATAATAATAATGACACAATTGTAACAAGTAACAATGGCCGTTCGGGATATTCCGCTACAATATATATATATATATATCGCAATAAGTTTTTTTAACAGCTATATAGTAATGTATAATATTATAGTATTATAATAAAGCAAATAAATAAAAACATAAGCAAAATAATATTTCATTTTTGAACTCATTATATGTGATTCAAATTTGTATCTATAATAATAAATAATAATAATTTATTTGTCCACAGAGTTTGTACATGTCGAAGAACAGTAATATGTATAAATTAAATTTAGTTTTAACTATACATAATAGGATATGATGCACAATTCACCACAAATATAACTATCGTATTGGAGAAATTGTAGTAGGTAGTTTAGTTTTTAGTCGTCCGTCTGTCAGCACATAATATTAAAAATTAAGATTAAGAATAACATTTTAAAAAAGCTTATATCTCAGAAATTGATTTATGCTTTGACATTTTAAGAATAAAAATATAATTTATAATGTTTGTTACATCTGATATTTTTCATTTTATAATAAGGGTTCCAGTTCGGTTCTGGTTATTTGATTATGTGAAAATTCGGTTCCGGTTCGGTTTCGATTCCTAATATTTTAAGGATTCTTGGATTTCAGAACCGGTTCTTTTGGGCTTGGTTCCAGCCTCTGCATTATAGTATAGTTTACATATAAATATTTTGTATACATCAATCTTATAGTAGTGAGGGGGTGGGGCGTGAGCTCATAAAATAATTTTAAAGGGGGCGCGGACCTTAAAAGGTTGAGAACCCATGTGTTAACTAATTAATTTAACAAATTTAAATGCATAAATTAATTCCTAAAAAATATTTGCATTGGAAAAACTTGTTACTCATTAAAAAAATATACTTGTTCGAATGTTGTTGACTTAAATTTTCCAACATAAGTTGAAGGATAGTTATAAATTAGTTCATTTTTCAATGCAGTAATGTTAGTGTATGCATGTTTATTTTTACGACATTCATCGACAAACCAATCATAAAAATAACGAACTGTATGTATAGCGGACAAACTGTGGGGGTAATTTCTTTCCCATTCGAAAGCATTTTTCTCTGGATGAAATTGTAATCCCACAAATGGATAACGCTGAGCTTCTATTGTGGATATAAATGTTAAATTATTAACATTATTTATTGTTATAGAATTCCAAAATTGGTTCAAATGCATTGACGTGAAGTTCTTAGGTGTTATACATTTACTGTGAAAAATAACAAAAATAGCAGTTGATTAGCTTATTACATTTTTTATTTGAATACATCAATAAATTATCTTATCCCCTCTAGTTACAAAAATATGACTGAATAGCCATCTTTAAAATAAATGGTTAATATTTTTCATATTAAAAGTATACAGGTATTAACCTTATTATTATTTGTTACATATAAATAATAATGTTGTTTAAAATACTTTTCAAAATACAAATATATTCAAAAAATATTTCAAATACTTTTAAATACATTTTTTTAAGCTTTGTTGTTGTCAGATTTTTAATTCTAAAACATTACGACAAAATTGCATTGATTTCTAGTGAATAGTGACTAGTAACTAATTTAATAAATTAATTTTAGCGATTTTAACGAATAAAGAGTGTCAGAGCAGGGGCGATTCCAGGTAGGCTAGGGGCCACCTCCCAAGCCCGTACCGTATTTATAAAAAAATTCATACTGTTAATAAAAAATGCATATTATAATATGGACTATCTAATACGACACGCACAAGTATGTAGATAGAGCCTGAGGTATAATGGTTGAATGGAGTTTCTACACACTTCGGAGACTAAAAACCTGGCTTCGTTCAAGGATGATTGAAGATAGACTATCAGCATTATGTCTAACTAATGTATATCATAAAGTATATATTCTAGAATAAATAGATCATATTATTGATATTTTTGCCAATTTTAAAAATAGGCGACTTGAATTTGTGTTGTAAAAATTTGTTGTTTTCTTTTTGTTACAAGATTTAGTAAAATTATAATTTGGCCTCCTCTAACCAAGGCCCTGGAGCCACCCCTACAGGTTAGCTTCTATAGATTTCAATTCTCTTAAGCCATGTTGATTATCAATAAAAAAGTATGTTTAAATATATATTTGTTCTACTAGTTACATAACAGTAGATTTAACAAGTGTCGATGACAACATTTTTGTTATTATTATATCTTCAAAAAAACTTTCAAAAAGTAAAAAAACGCCAAGTTCAAAATTAGAACTATTATATTCTTGCAACGAAAATTCTTGGCGGCTGATTTTAATATTGTTACTTGTCTAATATGTATTTTAAATAATTACATTTATATATCAGCCACCAAGAATTGGATAGTGATATTGAAACAAAACAGGTACAAAGATAATATTCATAACTAAGGAGAAAAGAGAGAAATTTAGAGAAATAGTTAAATTAATTCGTAAATTAAAAGCTTGAATAATGTTGATATCGGTGCATTTATTTGGTCAGGTTTTTTTTTTCGTTGCAAAAATAATACTCGTACTTGAAAACATTTAATAATTTAAAAAGAAAACCTCAACAAATAAAACAAAGTTTTATACTTGGTTTATACATATTATATATATATATATAAATCGTACTCAGTATTCCCTTTTGATTAAATGTATCACAATTAATGTGATTAATTAATATTGCGGAAACTACTAAATAAATAACATCAGAAGAAAATAATAACGTGTATTAAAATACTCCATGTAAATGATAACGAGAAAAATAAACTATGAAGTGTCATACTCGATTAACATTATCGATTAATATTATGTAAATTTGGGAATGGTAAATTAATGATTCTAATTCATTATTTGTTATATCAAAAAAAAAAAATTAGCAAATAATTCACCAACCTCTAATAATTCTAAAATATAACGTGTTAGAATGTATTAATCTGTTTATCTTCAAGAAAACATATTTTTTAGATCTAACATTTTTTTTTAAGTTTTTAACGAAAGAGTTATAAAATATTCTTGAATTTGTGTTGTAAAAATTGTTTTTTTATTTTAGTTATAAGATTTTGTAAAATTATAACTTGCCCCCCCCCCCTTAACCAAGGCTCTGGAGCCGCCTCTGTGTCAGAGTATGTGAGATACTGGGATTCGGGGTGTCGCTGTGCTACGATACAATAAAATCTAAATAGCCAAATATACAGTTATACGATACACGGAAAATATTATTATTTCAGTAATATTTTTAAATATTTTTTATCGATAATAGCATTTATAGTCGTCACTTCGTCTCGTCGACAATAAGTACAATAAGCACCATTCCAGTTTTAAAATAGAGTTGCCAAATTTTTTACCAGGCCACATTTTTCTACCGCCAGACCTCAGTTATAACTATGAAAATTGAAATGTAGTTATTACGCTATGTTGGAGCTATTTCTTACCTCACTATTATGGATGAATAATAAATCTGCAAATACAAAATAGCTAATAGAAAAATAAACTGCAAAATTAAAATAAAACCCTATACTTCCAATAGAACTTGTACTTCCTTTTGATTTATAATAGTTATTAGCAAGTAACTTTTTTTGTATTTAATATGCCGTTATGTAATCTAGATTACACTGTCATATATAAGCCCAATTCAAACATTAATTAATTCAATTTAACTCTAATACATAGGCATCGATACATAATATTTAAATATTTATCAAGTATTCGTATAAATATATTATGTTAAGCAGTGGCGTATATAGGTTTTCATTTCGAAGGGGGCCGATTATGTATTTGATTTTTGGGTGAAAAGAAAGGAGGAAGCAAACTATTACGAAAAAAATTACTTTAGCACTACAAGACTTCTCGACAATCTACACCATCAAAAAAATAAAAAACTCAACTTTTTTAATGATTTATTATTTTTTAAAAGTATAAAAACTACATTGTAATAAACAAATTTTTTATTAGAGTCACTCAAAATTCACCAAATATTTTCTTAAAAGAATAAGCATATTTTATAAATATAAAATTTTAAATTATCGCATAAGAGCAACATTCTCAGTGTCGTGACAAATTTTTGGAAACCCCCAGCATTAAGACATATCCAAGTTAAAAATAACAATCATTAACAATGGTGTTTTTCATTTCGGAGGGGGCCCAGGCCCCCTCGCCCCACCATAAATACGCCACTTATGTTAAGTGTTTTAATTTAATTTAATTTTTTCTAATATTAAACATGCTATCTTCTTTTTTTATTTATCTTTTTTTTTAATTTAAAATAAAAAAAATATATAATATAATTATCATGAATACTGAATACAAACCCATGACTGTTTACCGTAACTGGTTCTGTCAGTAATATTTTCCGAATATCCTTAGGCATATTTTGAAATAACACGCTTTTTTCTTCCATGTTTGGTATTAGTTCTAAGGGTAAACTTATGTTGTATGCATGACAATTTACAAAAGGATATTTTCCGTTAATGGATGCCATTAAAAGAAGTTCAAACCCAAGACAAACTCCAAGTACCGGAAAGTGATCATGTATATTATTCATCTGAAAAATAAGTTTTCTTTATATAAAATTGTATTTTTTTTTAAATGCAATTTTTCGAAAACTTTACTCTATATTTTTTTTTAAATTATTATTAATAATTACAATTTACACCATAATAATTTATCCAATGACGAATCTACCTGAGTTTTTAATTTCATGTATATTGTGTATCCTTACAATCCTTACAATCTTAATTAGATCTTCGTTACTTTTCCATGAACTACCCCCTATCCAAGAGCCCTATCTTCAAGCTGCTATTATTTCTATCAAACTAAATAATATTCCTCTAATTATCTCGTCAACCTATTGTCCTTCTGGCCAACACATTACGGAAAATAATATTCAATCATATTTCCATAAATTTGGCAACAATTTTGTCTCTGGTGGTGATTTCAACGCCAAGCACACGGCTTGGGGTAGTAGTATCATTAATACTCGTGGGAGATCCTTCTATAAAGTAGCAATTTTTAAAAAGCTTTCATTTATACATCCTGATTCACCAACTTACTGGCCATCCCATGCAAATAGGCAATCTGACATCCTAGATTTCTTCTTTTCATCCATCCCAAGCAATATGAACATATCTATCAACAGTTTCAACGACTTGTTACGTGACCACTCTCCCCTACTCTTACTGATTGGAGGTTCTCCATCCATTAACTGTAGGCCTTCAATAACTCATGGCCCTATCAACTGGACTTCATTTACTCAAAAAGTCGATGAGTTACTGTCTTTAAATTCTCCACTTAAAAATAAAATAGACGTAGATAATTCAATCCAAGTACTAACCAAAGTAATCGTTAATGTAGCTCGTAGTGCCTTGACCCTCCAAAATGTACCAAATTCCAAAAAATATCATGCTCTTCCTCTTCATCTAGTCGAACTACTCAAAGCCAAACGCCAAGCTAGATCTATATGTCAAAGAACAAATCATCCCCAAGACAAAACCACCTTCAACAAACTAGTAAACGCACTTAAATTTCAGTTAGCTAATTTTAAAAATGAAAAATTCAAAACTCATCTTAAATCATTAAATACAAATAATGGTTCTCTCTAGAAAATGACAAAAACTCTGTGCAACCAAAGGGTAACAATACCTACCTTATTTCACCTTAATGATTCCACGCCAAACAATCGAGCCATCCCAACCTCCTCATCAAAAATATGTCTTCTTCCCTAATATATATATACCCTTCCCGGTAATTTTCAGCGACGTCTAAAACGTAATTGACAAAGAGATTTACTAATTTTTAACTAAAAAAAAAAAAACGCTAACAATCTTATAGTAAAATTCTGAGGTGTCGTTAGTGAACGGCTCGCTCCTCAAATCATTTAAGTATATTTATTTTTATCCCTGCTTGGTAGCCGATGGAACAATATGCAACTTCGCAACATCCCAACACCAACACAATAATAGCGCGTAATACGTAACACGTAACAGTAGAGAGTTATGATACGATGACTGATTGCTTTGAGCCCAGGGACGGATTTAAGAAAGGATTAGGTCAGCTGACCCACAATTAATATTTGTTGACAAAATTGGGCTCTTAAAGACTACTCTTGAAGACTTTTTATATTTTTTAAGTGCCGAATATAAGTTGAAGTTAAAATTAAATTGGAAAATGCCCCATTTTTTACCCCCCCCCCACACACGCACACAAATGATTCCACTGGTTTAATTGCCTAGTAAATAAAACATATCTATGCCAGATCCCATGTCAGGTTTTATAAAATAAGATAAATGCTTACAATGATAATTATGAATAAATTAAAAAAATAAATATTATATGATAATTTTGTTTTATTATTACAAGGAATAAATTTAAAATTCACTTTTAGCCCTAATAAGTGGTTTCTTGAAATAATGTGACCCACAGTTCTTTAACCATGGATCTACCCCTGGTTGGGCACCTATTTTAAGAATAAATCTCAGGACCCCCGGCGATAGTCGTGTATTCGGATGGGCCAGACCGATACTGGTAGTATCTATAAACTGTTTAAATGGAAACGTTCATTAATCATTAAACCGCTTTTGACGCCGAGCTAACGCTTGAAAATTGTAAACGTGCGCTTACAACATGCACAGGTCTGTCATAAGATACTCACAAGAACGGCGTTTTTTGTGGCGTTTCAATTCCACATTTCTAGCTCAATGATACATTCAATAAGAGGCGTTATTTCAACTTTTTGAAAGGTATGCTAAAAACTAGGCAGGCCATATATATTACACCAGAATTTAAATTAAAATAAAGCAATTAAATGAACAACTAAATATATTCTGAAAATAACAAAATATGCATTACAATACATTTTTTATATAGTTGAAACTTAACATGTTTGTATGACTGATTAAACCATACACAAATGAATTACCTATAAACAGCTAAATCATGATGGTTTTTATTTTTTAGTATGTAATGACTTATTAATTTGAAAAAAATCAGTTTACAACTTTATAATATTGTGTACCTAATAATATCTACGAAATACCAAATTAAACAATTACATTTTATTATATATATATACATACATATAACCCAAAAACGCCTTTTCGTTTACTTAAAATCATGATCAAAATTTACGAAAACTCGAAATATGTAGTTACCCGACTACACGTGGCACACATAAAAGTTAAAACACAAAAAAATACATACTGCTGACTAAATCACTAAATAATAATGTATACTGTATAGATAAACAATGTTATTTTTGATTTGATAATTTGATTATCATTGGTTGTCCTAATTTTATCAATTATAATATCATAGAGCACATTTTTACATGGTACAGTAATGCCACAGAGTATACTCTGTGCAAAATGCTAATATTAAATCTATTTATAAAATTAATGTCGGTTATCTTTGTTTACCATGGTGAATATCTAACAGTGCTGCAGCCTGCTACAGTCGACCAGCTGTTTGTGGTTGGGGGGGATGACTGGTTAAGGAAAACCGAAATCGTTATCACTTTCGTAACCATAATAAAATATATGTGGAAAAATATATACAATTATAATTAGGGCTACCATACGTCCGGATTTCGTCCGGACAGTCCGAATTTCAAACATCTGTCCGGATTGGCGTCCGGATTTGAAAAATGTCCGGATTTTACAAACATAATCGTTTAACATGGATATATTGATATAAAATGTTATATCAGGTGATAGATTTTCGTGTTTACTCTGTATAAATGTACAATATGTAATTTTTTTTTTTTTTTATATATCATATTTGTATTGGTTCAACATATTTAACCTAATAACTCTTATGTAGACATTTTATTCATAGATCTAAGTAAAATTGTATTAATGAAATAACAATATTGTTTATTTTCAATTTTTATCCCCCCCTCCCCCGCGAATCGGAACTGATGTCCGGATTTCGTCTAAAAATATTATGGTAACCCTAATTATAATTGATTATTGATTATTACATATTAGGTAATAATATGTAATAGAAAAATTGAAACCAGGATCACAGGATTCCATTTGCTGATACGGCGCAGAAAAATTGGATTCAGGCTAAAATACAGTGTTTGGAAATTTTGGTTATGCACTGGCATACCCTGCATACCTTAAATGACGCCCCTGCATTCAATTATCAAACAAAATTACAAAGTACATTCACGCAGTGGCGCCGATCATTATATGCGGATGCAATACCTAATTTCGGTAGGTGGTCCCGTGGTGAACAGAGGTACATACGGTACTAAGATGACAAAACTGATAGCAATTCGCATTTTGGATATAAAAATTTGACCATGTTTCAAAATTGCAGTTACAACGCAATATACTCAGTATTTATTGTAGTCATATTCAGATTTTATTTTTTTGCAACTTCATACGAAACAGACACGGTGCCTTTGTATTGACGTATTTTGTAAAAATGGAAGAAGCATCGTTCAACACAGAGCTATTTACTGACAAAGTAGAAAAACTTCTTTGAAAAAAAATGATTTTAATGCCTGTTAAAAATCATTCATAATTATGATTCTAAGTATAATATATAGTGTCTTATATTTATGCTAAAATAAAAAAAAATATATAAAAAAGTTGAATTTATACAAATATATAAATTATACCTACATGTTCAGCAATTTTAAAAATTGTATTTGTTGATCCACCAATCCCAAAGGTCATGTTAAATGAACATCCTCCTCCAGGAACTAAAATACCATTAACTTTACTTGCTACTTCCCTATAACATGAGGTATTATCGTATTTTATTATAAAATATGTATAACAACATGAATGTATTAATTCTTGTGGGTGTTATTTACTACGTACATATAATAATGAATAAATACTACGTACATATAATACTTAGAAGTCCTGTTGGTAAAAACTGGAACAACTCGTCCTCCAGAAGATTCAATTGCTTTAACATAAGATGCAGCTATATATGTTTTATATGGAAGTAAATGATCTCTAAAACTGGACCAATATATTTCTTGTGTAAGTATTCCGATTATTGGTTTGTCATTAGAAGTTATTTTTTTTATCATAAGAAACAAAATAAAAGTTAAACAAATTGATGAATTCATTTTCATTAACTAATTTAATACTTATATGTGTATATATAATTGAAAAATGAAAAACAGATGTATACACCTGATGCAAAAATAAAACTAAAATTATTTTTGTTAATACTGAAGGTCACAAAAACACTTATCAACAAAAAAACTTAATAATTGATTTTAAAAATTAAATATTATTTTTCATCATTATCTATGCAAATACACTTAAGACATCTACTTATATCGTTTAATTATTGAATCATTTATACAAATAATAAAAATAGTATTTTAGATTAATAATCACGTATTCTTTTTCTGATAAGTAGTTTATGTTATTGTTTTGGATATTTAAAAATTGAACTGCACAAATTTAAAAATGGTAAGTTTCTTTAAAAAAAATATGTTTAATAGAGGCTCCGGTGCATTGAATAAAACTGTGGAGAAAATTGTATAGAAACGAATTGCATGCATCAACACATACCTAATTGATAAGATAATATATACTAGTATATGCTTCCTACGCACACACAACTAAAATAACGATGAATTAAAAAAACTAGTTTGTTTTAGTAAAATATTTATTAATAATTACACCATAAATTATTTATCAATTTTATGACATTATACTTGCAGATATGGAATTAATAATTTTTATATAATATAAATTGTTTTGTTATTATAAAGGTACAATGATAAAATATATTTAATAAATATGAATTATCAAAACTAACATATTCACGTTAATTCACATCAAACCTTTTGATTGACTGATCTAAAAATAATATAAAATCATAATATTAAAATTTAGAGAGTCATAATAAAACATGTAATAACACGTCCAGTCAATGGCTTGGCAGTGCATTTTATAACGAATTTTCACTGAGCGACAAAAAATGTTTTTCTCAAAATAATCAATGTAATACCATAGTACGATTATAGTATTAAACGTTTGTTTGGCATTATTTCACCCAATATTTCAAAATATTGTTGACAGGGTATAATCACTGGGCGACATTTGTGTCGCCTAGTTAACTAGTTAAAAAATGCACTGTGGTTTGGTGAAGAATATCTAGAGGAGCGGTCGCTCCTAAAAAATTTGAGGTGGGTGGTTATTAATATTTAATATGTTATGCGTACTGTATGTACTGTATGGGCCGGATTTAAAGAGAGGCCCACGGGGCACAGGCCCCGGGGTCCCCATAAGATTCAATTAATAAGAGGCCCCAACAAAATAATTACCTTTTTTTTTTTAATTTTTCTAGTAATTTACAAAAAAATATTCAATTTTTTTCATTAAGTTTGGCAAGTGGTGCTATTAGTACTGGGTAATATATTAGTATATATTAGTAGTACTACTAGTACTACTACTAATAATAATAATAATAATAATAATAATAATTTATGGTCTAAACCTTAAAAGCATAATTAACAAATAATATACTTCTCAATGTACATGAATACATCATATTGTCACAATTTGTGATTTTTTTCCACAATTTTAGTGTTGGGAATGTAGCTCGATTTAAGGAAGAATAAAGTTCAAGTGGAATATCACAAATAACGTGCCCTCTCATAAAATCTCGTTCACCAAGGACATAACGATAACGTTATTAGTAGGGAACGGATATGTAAATGCATATTTTTATTAAAACAACATAATTAATATTCGATAAGAAATGTTCATGATTTAAATCATTCCTATTAAAATGATGCTACTTTTATTTTACATATTTTTATATATTTCATTAATTTTTAAATATCTTTAAACATATTTTATAATTTCATCATTCATACGTTTTCTTTGTACGAATATACAAGAAATTATTTCAAAATTAGATCCAGAAACTTCAATCGCTATTGAAAAAGCTTAAAATATTATACAAAATGAAACATTGAAAAATTTAATTTTCATCTCAGTGAATTTTAATTTTATTGCACATACAATTATTTTATTATTTTATTATTACAAAGTTAAGGCGTGTTTACACGGTGACAGTACAGTCATGACAGCACTGTAGTATAGTAATGCGACAGCTACTGTCACATGAAGATGAGCGTTTATACGGTGACAATAATTGTCATAACAAATATTGTGTTTCGTGCGATAGCGAATTAAAATTGACTAACAGTGTCACTAGTTTATTTTATTATTCACTTTATTATAATTTATAATTAACTGATTCACTTATTGTTTTAATTTTGCCTATCCTTAAAGTCAGGTATACATTTATCCCATAAACAAGGATGTTCTTCGTAATATTTTAGAAATTGAATAGTATCAAAAACCATTTTGAATTATAATTTCATTTATAAAATTTTCAATTAATTATTATAATTAGATATATATTATTATTTAAACATTTAAATTAATTGAATAAAAACTGTAGGTATATGTGATAACAAGTAATAATTGATAACAACAATACAAAAATCGTACTACGGTAGTAGTTGACAGTGTGGTAGTCACTGTTTACATGATAGAAGTGGCTGTCACACTGTCAGCTAGTTACTGCCTACTATCTAGCAGAGCTAGATAGTTCGACAGCTGGCAGTTGACAGTGTGGCAGCAACTATCATTATGTTTACACGACGACAGTCTCACGACAGCGACTATCATGACGGCGACTGTCGAGTGCTATTGTCATCGTGTAAACGCGCCTTTAGAAACAAAAAATATGTCCTTAAATGATAGTAAGCAATTTGTCGAACCAGCGATTGAAAAATTAAAACTCGTAAGCAGATCAATAGATGTTGAAAAAAAGAAAATTCATGCTGTTACAGAAAAAAATTCAGGCCAGCCCCTATTTTTTAGTGAACCCCGACATAAAGCGTGTAGTCCGAAACTGGAAGTGAGCAATACGGATTCGAGAATTTTGTACTTACTAAATACTAATAAATAAAATCACTATAAAGGTGTTTTTAAAGAAGTCAATTTAAGCAAGACAGCTGATGAGGACTTAAATATATCTATTTCATTTTAAATTATATGTTAAAATTAAAAATTTGTAAATAGTTTTTAGATTTATATCGGTTAAATATATATTTTCAGTTTAAAAAATAATATCAAATTTGGTAGTTACTTAATTATAATGTGCAATTTGATTAATAAAAAAGATCTGTTACTAAAAATTATTACACCCTTCTAAAAATTTGGAATTATCGCCTTCTGATATTATCAGTAGCGGCTCGTGGTGATTTGACAAAGGGGTGCGATAATTTTTTTTTTAATTTACTCAGAATATTAAATTAAAATTATCAGGTTATTTATTTATTATCTATATAAGTATATGTTATTTATTATCATTTTTCATAATATATGAAATAAATTCAAAACAAAAGTTACATTAAAATTTTTTCTTCATTAGGTTAAAATTTTATACTGGAAATCAAGACTCCTTTCCTTGATGTCACAAAAGTTATTGATTATTTTTTTGTTGAAATCAATATCTTCATTTATTATACGGCTCTCTACACTTAACATAGTCAAAGCATTAAGTCTGTCCTCACACATTGTACTTCTTAAGCATGTCTTAATTCTCCTCAATGTTGAAAAACTTCTTTCGGCTTCAGAAGATGTCATTGGTGTGACTACCAAAACTTTTAGTAATTTATAAACTTCTTTAAATGTGTCTTCCATGTTATTATTTTTAATATAATTTATTGTAGAAATTACACCTTTTAAATTTCGAAAATCATCACGTGAGTAAACTACCTCTAACTCGGTTTTCAAACGTTCTTGAATAAAAAATGGATAGCATTCGACAGTAATATTCAGAGCTTTTGATGGAAAATTATTAATATATATCACATATTTTTCATTTTGGAAAAGTTGAGCTGCTGTTAAATGTTTAGTAAAATCAAAACGTCTCTGAGCTTGAATAGATATTACGTCACATACTTCTAAAGTAGCCAATTTTTTATTATTCATAGAATCTTCTATTCGTTTTCTTTTGGAAGAACTTTCAATATTCGATATTTCTATAAGAGTTGTCAAATTATCGCGAATTTTTTGAATTTCTATTTTAAATTTTCTAACAGAATCTTGAACTTGTACTGGATCAGTATTCCTTGTTTGAACAGCATTATACAAACAATCAACATGAGGCATAATTTTATGAAAACAATTAAGCCAAAAAATAAAACTCGTATCTTTTAGAAGTAGTTTAAGTCCTGTTGCTTGATTAATAGAACTAGATTGCGAGGATGCATCAATAATTTTCTTCATACATTCAATCAACGTATCTCTATGTTCATAAACCATATTTACTGTTCTAATATTAAAATTCCAACGTGTTTGAACTGTTTTTGGTAAACGAGCGCCTACTATTTCATCTAGTATAGCTACTCTCTGTGGAGAATTCGAAAAAAATGTTGGAATTTGAGACAAATTTGAAAAAAATACTTTTACTTGTTTATTTTGGGAAGTCGCTTGAGCCATAATTAAATTCAGTTGATGAGCGTAACAATGAATAAAATAAGCATACGGATATTTTTCTTTTATTCGTACGTTAACTCCAGATTGGTGACCACTCATAATAGCAGCTCCGTTATATGCTTGTGCGATGAATTTTTGAGGATTTTTTTCTATTATAGGATCGATTTCATTTAGAATAATTCGGGTTAAAAAGTCTGCATCATGTCCTTTAGGATTTAAAAATCCTCAAAAACGTTCTACAGGAATCCCTTTAATTTCATAACGAAATATTAATGCTAATTGAAATTTGTTAAATATGTCAGTTGTTTCGTCCACAATAATAGATAAAAACTCCGAATTATTTATTTCATTTAATATATAATTTCTTATAACATTTAAAATACAATCCAATAATTCATTTTGTATGATTTTAGAAGTACCTTTGAAAACAGTAGATTTCTGAAAATGTTCCTGTAAACTTGGATCTAAATCTGAACATAAGTTAGTCAAACCACGAAAAACGCCTCGGTTTTTTGATGAAATTTTTTCATCGTGGCCACGTAATGGTAATTCGTAATTTCCACAACATTTTACACAATTTAAAATTTTTTCTAAAATATTTCGATTTTTAGAAACTAGCTCATTATGACGTTTAATCCCTAATTTATAACCACTGTCGATTCGACTTCTGATGTCCATAGTAACCAATACTTTGAAGTTTGCCTCATTTTGTAGATGTTTAAACGAATTTTCATGTTTATTTAATTTGACTAAAAGATGTATTAAATCTTTTACACCAGTTTTACTCCAAGATAAATCACCTCCAAAACATACACAAGGAAAACAAAATAAAGATACTATAGTTTCACACCCACAGAGCCATTTAAACTTTTGATAAAGCACAATATTAAAATGACGAGTATATTCTTTTTGTCCTTTTTTAGAAATATTAATCAAGTTGGATAAATTTGGTAGAGGTCTATCCAAATTTTTAATTTCCACTTTTTTTTCTAAAGTTAAAGATGACAATTTTAGTTTTAAAATTTCTTGAATCGAATTCATTATATGAGTAATAAATAAAAATAAAATATTGAAAATATGATATATATATTATTATAAAATATAAATAATAAATATTATTTACTATATTAAAATACTACTTATAATTCCAGTATACCAAACCGTATATAAAACGATTAAAATAAAAATATTCACCGTTTTTAATTTGATACAATCACAACAACCACTACACTACTACTGACAGCCGCGCCGCCCGAATTGTTCGACAGAAATCGTGGCATATCATAGTTTTACGGCCACTGTCAATGCCGATAAAATACAATTATATTTAGGTATGGTCTAAATACTGTGCTTATAATATGTGTGATTCGTGGAAAAACACATACACACGACCATAGGCGTGTCTACGGGGGTGGCAGGGTGGGCACCGGCCTCCCCAGCGATGTTCTTGGCCTCTTGGCTTATAATAGTGAAACCATGGATATATATATATATATATATATATATATATATATATAGTATCTATATCCGTGGCTGAATGAAAGGTAATTTTAAGTAGAAGGTAAATTTAAATTTTAAATTTATTGAATTTTACTATCTGTAATATTTTAATAAAAAACTGTTTATTGTGTAATAATTGTAAGTAATAAGATGTGTAGAGAAGGTTTATGTATACATGATAAAATATTTATAAAAAATAACTAAGTAGTACAATAGTTAATAGGTCTTATTTATAAGTTTATAGTTGTAATAGCATAGGAAACCAATTTTAAGATTAAAAAAATCTTTAATTTGGCGGGGCGAAAAAATTCTAGCTGCTATATACTTTCCATACAACAAAAATAAGTCACAAATATAGATATAGGTTATAGATCGCTGTAGTAAATAAAAAATTTTATAACTGGCCTCCCCAGCCATGGAGGTCTGGACACGCCTATGCACACGACCTATTGTAGTGATAGCAACGGGTCGCGTTCCACCGCCCGAATTGTACGACGGATTTCATCGCATATCATACCCATCATTGACTTTAATCAGCACGATCAACGTCGACTATAAATAAAATTATAATCGTATTTAGGTTTATCCATTAGTGTGGTTATTTGTATGATTCTATTCTTGGATAAAGCACACCTACACACACACCACCTAATGATTGTAACGGTCCCCGTTCCGCCGCCCGAATTGTACTACAGAAATCGTCGCACATCATAGCTTATACGACCGCTACCGCCGCCGCCGATAATATGATGTTTTATCTTCTATAAAAACCGGTTTTTATATGTGCGATTCACAACGTAGCACACATCACATAATATCGACAGCCGCGCTGTAATATATTCATTACTATATACACACGTATATATTTATTATTTATGATAGATATAAAATAATAAAAATAATAATAATTCTTATAACAATATTAAAAATAAAATCAAATATTATATTATTTCAAATATTTTGTAATTTCAGTAGGGGGTGCGATTGCACCATCGCACATAGGCACGAGCCGCCAATGGATATTATGCGCTTCAAATATACTTCAATTACATTGGTTGACGTGGAACGATCATTTAACCGTTTTAAAAATATTTTGTGATCCAATAGGAGACTTTTAACATTCGATAATTTAAAAGAAATTGTAATGATTCAATGCAACAAATCATTTTGATATTTTAATAATTATAATTGTATTTTTTTTTTTTAATTACATTTTTTCCCCACGTATTTGGATGTTTTTAACACATATTTTATAAATTATACTTTCATATATATGTACTTACTTATTACATATAAATTCGTTCCCTAGTTATTAGACATACTAGTCGGCAGACGTACAGTCCGTCGACAATTTTTATTGTTTCCGTTTTGGATCTAATTATTCGTGGAAGCGATAACAATTACGTAAGCTAGTTGCGGGTGAACACAGAAGATAACATAGTATAGTGAGGGAAATCCCGCCGTCGCCATCACCACGTTATAGGTGGCGGCAGCACATGAGGGATATAAAATAAAATTGAATAATAAAAAACATGCTTTCAGAAAACTAACAAAAAGGCATGGGCGGATAGGTCTACCGGGAAGCCGAGCATTTCCCGGTGGGCCCCCATTCGTATTTTGGTAACGGGGCCATTTATTATGCAATTATCTACTGTTCGTGCCAATATGGCATTATTGCATGTGTGTAGATAATCGGTTTTCGTATCGATTCTTATCGTGCGTATTGCCGTGCGCCGGCGTGCAGTCGACGACAGCTTTCGTGGGTTGACCGCCCAGTGCGCGCGTGAGATTGTTACTTTCCATGATTTTTGTTAACGAATGTTACCATTTTCGTGCGATGCGTAGCGGTACGTTGCGTATCCGCAGCCATCGTCGGCGGCGGTGATAAGCCTCCGTGTGCGACCGGCCGGGTACGTAATCACATTGTTATCGTCGCACGTAAATGTATCCGTTATTTCACGTTTTCATTATTTGTCGGTTATGTTTCAAAAAAGTCAGTCATGTTCTCAATGCCACAAAGTTTCATAAGTTCTCGTGTTTTTTGCTTTAGTGTGGTGGCACTGAGACATTTATCTTCATTTTGTGGTGTCCGGCGGCCAGAGCCTTCGTGGTGAATGTCAGTGGCACCGTCTCTCTCTCTCTCTCTCTCTCTCTCTCTCTTCCTCTCTGTTCGTATTCGTCGTGGTGTGCACACCAACTGTGTCATTCAAGTGTTCGTTGGTCTACATTTTTGTCAAACCATGTTTTCTGTGTTTTCGTGTCGGCTGTCTGGTAAGTGTCTTTCTACACAATTAGTATTTCCTTCATTTATAGTCATCGTGTTTTAGGGTGGTCACTCACCAACAGCCATTGTGATTAAGGGGATTGCATCACACGTATTTTTCGTACGTTTTAGACCAATAAGTGGTGGTAAATTACACATACTTCCAAATTTCCAATTTCAATTTTTAATATATGCATGAATTCTTTAACAAAATATCTAGGCATTCTAGGAAATTTTAATTTTTCAATATTGAAGGTCCTTAAAATTAAGATATTTTTTTAAAAAAATTTCATTAAGTGATTGCATTACATTTGTATTTATTTTGAGCACATCTGGTTTTAAATCAAAATTGTGGTTCCTACAAAACATGGTTAAGAAGTTAACGAATTCAATCCTTTTTTCGAAGTTACAATCGAAGTTCAGGAAGTATGTTTAATTTACTATCGCTTTTAGTAGTTTTTATAGGTTATGAGTACAAGAATATATTTTATTTTTCAAGATTTATTGACATTTGCGTGCGCGTGCGAGAGTTACTTTCGCCAGCGTAAGAGCGATTCTCGGAAACAACTAGCCGGGGATTACTGGATTACTGGATAGGTATATAAAAATAACGAATGGGCAACAATAACAATAATTATTTCCAAAATGAATATATAATATTATATACGAGTACAACCCATAAAAATTATATGTAAATAGGAAATATAGTACCTATGATTTATGAATCGTTTAATTTCAACACTACGCGCCGATCATCAAAGTGTCCGTACATTTCTAGTGTTTTGTGTTTTTTTTTTAATTTGTTGACAAAATGGGTAGTCTACTAAAAATCGGCGTTTTGGGCGAAAAACTAGACGCAAGCTTAGTGCACCTAGCAATGGCGTATACAAGGGGTAGACGTAGGGGTCAGATCCCTCCATTATTTTTATATTATTTAATTATTTTTTATTTTTCCTTACATTATGTAGTGTATCATAAAATATTTTGTAATATTATGAATCTATCGAGCTATTGAATTTTGAAAATTTCATCAATACTGAAAATCATTATAATTTGGTTTATTTGGTATATTGGTCGAAGTGGTCAATGACGACTATGGTTATATTATACTTATTATTATATTACTATATATATAGTATAATATATTACTATATTATACTTTATTATAACTTATCTTATTATTTATAAGGACAAGACTATGTATGTAACAATATGTATGTAAATTCGACTAAATGGGCTTCCACTGAATGTCCGTATTTAAAATATTATTTGATACTATCGTTGTTTTTAAGTTATGAGAAATGTGAATGAGATCATTATCGCTACGGATTTAGTTCACTGCGTATACGTAGTACATACTATTTATCTGAATACATACTATTTATCTGAAATCTAAAAAAAAAAAAAAAAATTCATGGGATTATTAATAATTTATAGTACCTATCGTGGATTCGTGGAGAAAAATAGTTCATAATTGTACCTACATTTACGGAAACAGTAGTGCTGTCAGACGTCAATGCAATATTTCGATTACTGAGTATAAAACACTATATCAATTAATCCAGTTTTGGTCAAATTTACGTTATTACTTATTGCACTCGGTGCGTCAAAAATCCATTTATATCACCTGATGGGGATCTGTATACTCATAAAATATTAAATTGAGTATTGTTAACTCTAAAATTCAGTTTTAAAATGTTTGCCATGGAATGCTCATCTCATGCATATCTATGTTAATGTTATGTTTAATAAAGACCGTAATACCGTTATTCTTATTTTTTTTTTTTTTTTTTTTGATGACAAATATAATTAATTATAGTATTTATTATGTTATAGTATATTTAATCAATTGTATAGGATAAGATAACTATAAGATAACCCACGCATACATACGTAGGTAATGTACATTTGTAAAACATTTTAAAATATATCATTATCGTAGTTCCGGGAATCCATAAAACTGTCGACCGGTAGACAGTGGCATGTGATAATGTATTACACACACTAATGTTTGTTTACTACTCACACAATAACACAGTTCAAATGTACATGTGATATGAATTGCCCAAATATTACTCCTTAAAACGTGCTATGCTGGAGCCCCCTTGACGTGGTTTTCATTCATATTGTCTTAGTCTGCTTTGTAGACCTTCCATCTTCGTTGGTGACTGTGCTTGGGTGGTCGCACGTACCAAGTCTGACTTATTTTCATCTATTCAAAATGAAAAACTAAATAAATTATTTTTAAAATCTGTTTTGTTATACATTGTTGGGTTATGTGTTATACTTTGTTTTGATGTGGTACTTAATAAAATGCATATAATAATGTACTTGAGAGAACTTTTTTTTTTTAAGTGGGAGCCCCTTTTTAAAATTTCCTGATAGGCCAAAAATGGCCTATCCGCCCATGTAAAAATGCCTTTAAAAGCGATTTATCGGTTAAAACACCTATTACTTTATTTGTAGAGAATAATAATTCAGGGTTAACCTCATAGGGGTATTTTATTATTCTAAATTAATATTACTTTATAATAAATACAAAAAAGCATTTATTTACTTTTTTATAATCATTGCAACTTTTATTCTAATGAATATTTTTCAAAACGTGTTTGCGATTTAATCAAAAATATTATTTTCTATCAATTGTATAATAGGTGTTTTCATCCTAAAATTACTTTAAAAGACATTTTTGTTGGTTTTCCGTAAACATGTTTTTACTAAATTTAATAACCGGGCATTCCATTATCTATAGAACAAATAATTGATGAATTTAGTGTAAAAGCCAGAAGGATGAATTTCCACCTAGATTGATTTTTTTTTTTTTTTTATAATAATAAAGAATAAAGATTTAAAATAATACATTTTTATTTATAACGTCCCCCCCCATACCAAATTCCTACGCACGCGACTGAAAGTCTATAACTCTATAGAGTGTGATACTACTCAGAATTTGTACAAGGTTGATGGTATATATGATTGGTAAAAAATACCTCTGCCCACACGGACTATTTTTCATCAGTCCCTGGAAATCTGATTACTTTAACAATATTTTGATAAATATATATTGATGGTTATATACGAATAGAAATAGTAACCGGAAACAGTTTAGTATCTACTTATCTAAAATCGGTCCGTCATAGAACAAAGTGATTTATTAATCAAAGTATCAATCTGATTTTTATCAAACTGCCATTTGAATAATAAGTAAATAACATACATATTTGATTTAACTTCATCAATAGCTTTTTTTTATATAAACAAAATTGAAACATCACTACAATAAAAAATAATTTTTATTTTCCCTCTATTTTATGATAAAAATGGTAAATAACGACATATAATATTAGATGACAGAATTAGATATAATAAATAGAATATTAGATGAAAAGGTGTATTTGAAAAATATTTTAAGTAAATGGGACCACAAAATTTAACTTGAGACATTGTCCTAAGCTTGCATAAAATTTATTTTTTCATAATTTCTTGATATTTGCAAAAACTGAAATAAAATTAATAATTATAAAATATTGTTCTTAGCCCACGGTCATTTCTACATTTATTGTCGAAACTTATATTTATAACCAAAGTATAGCAAGTCGTGTGCACATCAAATTTTAACATGATTTGTTATTGAACTAAACTTTAAATCTATATTAATATTCATATAAAGCAGGGCTTCAAACCGGTTTTATTGGAAAATGTGTATAAACGAAAATAAAAATGGAACCACATTTACTAATTTTATAGAACGAAAACAAAATAGTTAACCAGGAAAATATTTTTCGTTCTCGAACGGAAATAAATACATTTTCAATTACGAAAAATAATTAATATTTAATTTTAGTTTTTACACATTTTGTTAAGTTGGTCAACTTGTTTTGTTTGACATAAGACAGGTAAAAATTATTAGATAAATATAAAATAATTTGCAAAATAAAAATTGAACAGTTTGTAAGTGGGACTACTGGTTGTAACCATTACTGTAGATAATACGTGAACACGATTATTGACAACCAGAAATGACATTGTTTATATTGTACAATACCACTTTTAATGGACGATGGTATTATCTTAAATTGTATCAAATATTTGTAAATTTGTTCACATTTTGAATTATATGGTTCTTCTTTTTTGTCTTACACGATAATAAATATTGCAGTTATGTTGTTCATTATATGTGTTAGTATATTCAATATTGTAATAAAAACTTAAAAATGTGTATCATATATAAATTATGAACTTATTTTAAGAATATCTCACGATAGTTTAATTTTTTAATTAATTATTTCATTGGGCCCTAGTGTCCCAAGTAACCTGGTTTTATAAAAATTATAATTTTTTTTTGTCACCATAAACATTTAATAACATTACCTTTTAATAACTCGTACGCTAATGAGTAGTAGCCAAAATCATCGCTTATAATTTAAAGCAAAAAGATATAATAAGGCTATGAATACTCTTATATAATCAATTATGGCAAAATAATACATCCATTATGCTTGAAAAATATTCATAAACATTATTATTTCATACTATACCTTTATACTTGAATAATTTAGTTCTTTCAAGCATTTAAAAGTATGGATAGAAACTTTATGAAATGATTTGAGATTAGTATCTTATGAATTGCATTTTATTAATTTCTAAATAATAAATACAAATATAATGTAATAAGTTTAGTCTAAGTTAGGTACATATTATTTATGCATACATTTATACATTGTAATATATTACATTCACTGAATTTGAATACAATTATACATAAATTCCAACTCCAATATATAATTTTTATTTCCTATATAATATGTAAAATTATAAACAATTAGATTATTTTGAATATATCTTATTCCGTAAGTCTAACTTATTTAAAAATATTGATTGTCGTGTTTTTCAAAATATACATGAGAAGAAATATTGAAAGAATTGTACAATAGTAACACTATATGAATATATTAGTTAATACTAATTTTTGAAAACACTGAAACGTGTTTCAAATTACGAATTATGTGTATTATTTAATATGTTTGATTATAAAATTTCACATAGAAAAACTTCATATTTATATACATTATTTTCTTTTAAAATTAATTTGAGTAATTAATGAGCGTATCGTGTGAGCATGACGGTCCTTTAGATGGCCAATTACAGGCGCTTAGATTCTCGTCGAAAGCGAGATGAATTGGACATTTGAAGTCACTCAGTTCATACTTTTGTGTCCACTTGTCCCAATTACATGAGTAAAATTTGTTACATTGTTTCGGATCCCTGAACAAACCTGCACGGGTACACAACTTTTTATTCGATGGCTTTTTCACTTCTTCCAATATAACTTTAGTCTTCGTTTCGACTTCTTTTACGGATAATGATTTTTCGTCGTCATCATCGTCGTCATTGTTTTCGATTACGGTCCGGGTCGTAGTTGAAACGATTGTTGGTTTCTTTTTTTTAGCACAGTCGCATTGTGCTCCCAATTTGCCAACTAGTAGAGGGCTAGTGTCGCCAACAACCAGCACTTTTCCGTTTTCTTCGCTCTTCAAGTTTTGTCTTATTCCTGCTGTGTAATAACGCTCAAACTCGGCATTTAATTCTGGACTGACCGGTTCTACAATTATTGGTCTTAGAGGATAAGCTGGATAAGCCCCACGTATATCATGTCCGGCATCTTTTTCGTATTCTCTGGGAAGAGTGTAATTATTGGCGTAAAGAGAGTTTCCAACTGGAGCAGAATAATACCTAGGTAAAGGTGAACGATAAGCTGAATCTAAAGATGAATGGATGCTATGATAGTAATTTATCAAATCAGAAGCTGTGCTGGTATAACCAACTAATGGTTCTGGTCTTTGTGTATAAGTAACTACAGGAGGTCTTACACTAAACACAGACTCAAGCGATGGTATATATTGAGCCGCTGGAGGTGATATTTTTAACGAAGCTTCAGGTTTACACGTAGTTGATTGAACAGGTAGTGCTGAATACGATTCTTCACTAAATGTCTTAGGTTCCTCAGTCGAAGTTAAGTAAACTGAGGTAGGTAATGGTTTAGGTACATAATCGTTTGAACTGTATGACACAGCATCGGGTTTATAAGATGTACTTGAATATAAAGGTTTTGGGGTAGAATTTTCTATTGATTCGGAAAGTTTTGCTATGTATTCATCAATGTCGAAGGAATCATTTGGTACGTAGTCTCCGTCATGTTGTGATGGATAAGATGGATAACTGTTGTATAACAAGTTAGGCGCACTTGTCGTTGAGTAAGTGGTGGACAATGGAGTTTTGGATAATTTAGAAATCAATTCTTCAACGAAAAGAGCATCATTATTAGGTGCTGTAGATGAAGGTGTATAGTAGTCAACCGTTGGCTTGAACGTAGGTTTGTATGCACTTGGGGTAACCGAAGGACCGTATTCTAGAGGAGAATAAGTTGAAGAAATGGATGATTTGTAATCTGTTGATTTTTCAGTAGTTACTGGGTATGATAATGAAGAACCGTAATTCTCATTATATTCTTTAACTTTTGGTGATGTTGAATACGACGGAGCATATGATGTTTCTTTATATGTACTCAATTTAGACGATGGAGAGCTGTAATATAATATAGTTGGTTTTGGAGTGGTAGAAGAATACGTTGGTATGAAGTTATTTCCATGAACGGACGGTGTATAATCAATTACTGGAGTAGTTGACGGATATTTTTGACTAGAAAGTCTTGATAAATAATCATCAAAATTTAATTGAGTTATAAACTGTTCTTTATATAAGCTTGTATCGTGGTATGTAGGTTTTTCTGTAGTAGAGGAAATTAGATAATCGTTAAAGTTGTTAATTGGGGACGAAGATACATACGATGAACTAGTAGTAGAATATTGTGATTTTGAATTTTCGTTCAAACTTGAATAAGAACTTCCTTGGGAATAATCTTCAAATGGTTTAGAAGTTGGTTGCAAATAAATATTTGAGTACGAGTATGATGGTACATCAGGATATTTAACAATGGGTTTTTGAGTGGTTGAATATGATTCAAAATTATATGATGGCTGGTATTTTTCATTGATTTTATGAGAATCGTATCCATTTGCTCCTCCCAAAATAGAATAAGAATGTTTGTTTTCATTATTTACATAAGGTATTGATGGGTTTGAATAAACGTTAGATGAAGAATAACTTTCTGAATAAAGTCTAGCATTGGGTATTTTATTCAAAGGTCCTTGAGTGGTGGAATATGTTTCATAGTCTTTAATTGGTGGATATTGTATATCATTTTTATGTGAGTCATAGTTTTTATTTACTGGTATACTTTGAAAATTGTTTTGTTGGTGAACAAATCCTGCGTGATATTGAGAACCAAGTTCTGAATCGTGCTGTTGATGATAGAGTATTCCTAAAGGCGCATTAAATTTATTGTATTCCGGTCTGTATCTATTCAAATATGGTGATCCAATCGGTTGATTTGGAATTACATATCTATCAGTCTCGCCATATGAATATTGTGGTTTTATTGTAGTGGAGTAAGATTCTGAAGGTCCGTATAAGAATTGAGGTTTGCTTGTAGTAGCATAACTTTCGGTTGAACTGTATGGATATTGAGGTTTACTTGTGCTAGAGTAGCCTTCAGTGGAGCTGTAAAAGAATTGTGGTCTACTTGTGGTAGCATAAGATTCCGTAGGTTCATAAGATAATTCGGGCTTTTTCGTTGTAGCATAAGTTCCAGTTAGTCCATAAAAGGATTCTGGTTTGGTTGTGCTAGATTCCGTCGAACCATAAAATATTTGTGGTCTGATAGGATTAACAAAATTTTCTGATGAACTATATGGAATTTGAAAATCGTTTGGCGGTGAATACGATTGCGCTGAACTGTACAAAAATTGAGGTGCATTCGGTGCTCCATAATTTACTGTAGAATCATATGTTAATTGAGGTTTGATTGTGGAAGAATATGGGAAGTTAAATTTACCAAAAGGATCATAAGTATCAATGGATTCAAATGGTACTTGAGGTTGATCTTGATTATATTTACCATATGGAACAAATGATTCTTTTTCGTATAAAGTGTTAAATAAATTCGTCTGATAAGGTTGTTCTCCGTAATTGTTTGTATATGATCTACCAGAGTTTCCTTTAAAAAATAAAAAATAAAATACAATAAAACGTTAGAATAAAATAATAACGATAAAAATTAAAATGTTATATTAACTTACCACAAGACCCCACTTTCCATTGCCAGTCACATTTTAATGTATTCTCATCAAATACTAATCCAAATGGACATCTGAATTCGTACGCTGTGAGAGGAGTATAACCATCTTTAGCATGATCAAGACAGGCGAAAAACCATCGACAGTTTTCTGGATCAGCATAATATCCCTCTATTGGTGGACAGATAAATTGGTTTCGTGGAACAGGAGCTATTTCACTTGAGCCTTTAAACAACATTTTCCACAGTATTGTTACACAATTAAATTAATAATGATATGCAGAACATCAATTCAAATTCCAACAAAAATATTAAATTGTGTTAAATTATTTTTACTAATATATCTGATTTAATATGTGACTTTACCTTGACAAGCTCCTGTATCGGATAAGGATCCGGGCCATACGCATACCTCAACTTTTTCATCAAATGCTAGACCATCAGGACAATCATATTCATAAACCGTGAAGTAATTGGACTTTTGATCAAATTTTACGCAACGATAAAATCGATTACAACCACTTGGATGCCTAAAATAACCTTGTCGTGAACATTCGAATTCTGTTTTTGTGTCTTTTCGAATTACATGAACTTCACCATCTCTGGTGACCACTCTCTCTATGTAATATGGCGAATAGTTGATTTCATCTAATATTAAATGTATTCATGAAATTATTAAATTACTTAGTAAAATTATTTTTATAAAACATTACTATTGAAATAGAATCCTTGGTCGGCCGGTTGTTGTAACTGTTCTTGCAAGCTTAATAACTGAGCAGATCTAGATTTCCTGGCAATTTCGGTAAAAGTTTTCGCAAGTTCTTTCAATGGTTCTACATCCGTTTGGTTTATGCACGTTAATTTCCAATCCAACGCTTCAACGTCAGTCACTACAGCTCCAGCTAAATCTCGTAACAATATGTATTTTCCCTGCGGTATTAAAATATTTTAATTTGTATTTATAAACATTTTAAAATTATTAATGCATGCCTTAATGGATACGCTGACACTATCATCGAACGACATCCATGTCGTATTCATAAACGTGTATGGAGCAGTTAAATCCTCATCTCTTTCGATTGTCCAATTACCTTCTTTCATTATTTCACACATCTATACAATTTAAACACGTAGTGAAATTTCAAATATATTTTCTAATTTAATAAACTCTATTGTCGGAGGAAATGTAATTTTATAATGTACTTGTTGTCGCGTAATTGTTGTTGGAAAACCAACGGCTGGTGATCGAGGAGTATTTTTGGTTGGATCTTTAAGTTCAAATTTACTTGCTGTCGAAGGCAGTGATAAAAGTATTGATGAATGATGAACACCAAGTCCGATAACAAGATCGATAAGGGCATCCTGAAATTTATAAAGGGCATTAATTAACAATTTCAAGTTTGTTAAGTGCTCAAGTAATATTATTTACAGCATTCAGTAAATCATCGGCTCCCATAAGTCGACTTGGGTGGTAAGTATAACCTTGCTCAGAATTGTCTACAAGATTATGTGTTGCAATTATAAAGAAATCCACAAATCTAAAGAAATAGAATATAATGAATATATTTAATTTAAAGTTTTATTATATTATTATAATTCTTACTTGGAGAGTTTCTTGAGATCGTAGTATTTTGTCATAATAGCTACATTTGGAGGAAGAACTAGTTGTATTTCTTTTGTTTGTTTAAATACTTCTAATGAATTATTCGTTAATGCAACTTTGAACTTGTTATTGATTTCAGACGATAATACCTATTTAAATAATTATTATTAGTTATTCGGTTTATATAAATAAATAAAAATAATTAAATAATAAAAATTTAAATAATTAAATTAATATTTTATTGTCTAATCTCATCACTATTATTTGTTTGTGGATATAATTTCATATTTAAATGTTAACTAGATATATCGTCATTACCATTTAATGTTTGACGTATTTTTGATGAATTGTTAATAAGAGTACTTTATTATTATTAAGAAATTAAGATACTTAATAATTATTAACGAACTCAAATGTATTCGCCATCAATTTGATTGCACAATACACTCAAACATGTTTTTTAATTGTTATTTTCCAAAGTATCGTATCACTGACGGACAATATAAGGTAGACAAAAAAAAAAATCATAAAAATTGCCTTAAAGGTTTTTCAATTGGAATCAGTATAATATTTCTATTTTTTAATTTTATATAGGTTTTATGATTGATCGGTTCGTTTGCGTGTGACCTTAAACTTCATGGTAGTGGCGGCGTTGCGTAAAAATAACGTGCGCTAATAACACCGTTCGTACCTATATTCATAATATGGGAATCATTTATCTTCTGCGGTTTTAAAATACGGTTATAACGAATACGTTTTTCCTTCTTTTTTCTTTCTCTCTCTCCCTTTAGAAACCATCTACTCGAATTCTAATCGTAGAGTATACGGTGCATATACGTATACGTGCATATAAATTACTGCATTGGTTGTGTGAAATTCAAGTTTAAGGCTAAATAATCTGTGGCGCGCGTAAAATTCGTATCTTCGTAATAATAATAATGATGACGAAATTATAGAAATCAATATTATAAAATTATTACGTTCAGGCGCGATTAGCTGCTGCACACTACATCACACAGTAAATTATGATGTGTTCGCGTGCAACCTAATCCATATGTATGTATACGTTATTATCATCGTCGTATAACGTCGCTCGGCCGGGCACGTTCGCTTCAGTTGGGTATTACATTGTTGTTACGTATTGCGATACAGTTTAACGCTGGAATGATGCTCGGAACGTTATTAGTAGGGTGTGCCATTAATACCAAACTCGTTATGGTATTGTAATGTACACGTGTTGTTGACCAACTCACCTTGAAGAAATGCACAACGAGCGATTTATCCACGGATACTTCGGATTGCCGTAGATCCAATTGTATTCCGTCGTAGTGCACCAACACGTCGACGATCTCTTTGCAAATCTGGTTCGTCTTCTTTGCAACATCTTCTGTGTACACCGAAACGGCGGCCAGTGATTTAAGATCGCCATTGATCTGTTTGTACGATTTGATTGTCGACGTCGAGTCTATAGGTCGCAGCGTTTTATTGTCGTACGATAAATAAACATTGCTTTAGAACCATTTTAACGCATAATAGCCCGACCGAAGTCGAAATCTTCAGCATCTTACCCGGGGTCTCGTCGTCCTTTTCCGATTCCAAACTAACAGGAACCGCTATATGTGTGCACAAGCAAGTGTTGAAGTTCAGGATTTCTTTGGCCGTTCCGAACTCGCAGACGATCTGTTTCATAGGCGTGTTCTCGCATTTTTGTGTATTTTCTAAAATAACAATAAAAATAACAAAAGTGCACGAGCTTATAACAATTAGTAATCCAAAGCTGATATGAGTTTTATGTTGTTATATTCATTGATAATAGTTGTTTCGACTTTTTTTTGTTAATATTTATTATCAATGCACCCAATCATTTGTTAAATAAATTGAAGTGAATAAAATATACAAATATACTTATATACTAAGAATTTAAATCAATTTTTAATGTGATTTACGTTTAATTTAAATCATACTAGTAAATATGTACCAATATTTTCAGAAAATTTAAAGAGTTTAAGGAATACCTTTTTTTTTTCATGTAAGTTTGCTTAATCTTTAGTCTTTTACGGAGAATATTTTTTCGTTCTTTGTCGTTTTAAAACAAATCAACGAACATACTTTGTTTTTATTGAAGTCGATTATTTTCTACTTTAAATGAGTAACATTGTTAAATTTATCTTTAAAATGAAAAATATGTGTTAAATCGTTTGCAAATAAACATATTATTTGGTAGAATATATTTATTGAAGTGTTGGACTTTTACGCCTATTAGCTCATAAATACAACGAGAAAACAAGATACTTACCAGAATGTGCCCAATTGATAACAATTAGCACGAGCAGAGTAGTTAATTTTAGTCCTTGGGCCATCTAAAATCAAAATTAAAGTGTATTTTGACGTTTGTTTACTAGACCCTTAGACGGTCCATCGATTTAAACTGACCTTCCGATTATTAATTGTTAATTAATAAATCGACCTTCTCGAAACACTTATAAGTGTACATAATTTATAACATAATATAATTAAGTGTTCATATATAGTAATAATAATAATAATAATATATAATGAGAACAAGATTTCTGGGCATTCATAATATTTATCATATACGAACCGTTTTAAAATAATTTTCTTTCACTTTCGTTCACAATTCTTTCATACATACGTTATGTCGAGTAATATTGCAGGTGCATTTTGCGTTGGCGCCCTTGGAAAAAAATAAAAAAAAAAAATAAAAGTTGTCATTAGTGCGTATACGTACGTGGGTAGGCTTATAGTATAAATGTAGAGCGGTCTGTGAAACGCTCGAGGCGGTGTTCTCAATACATTATAAACGTATTTTTTTTTTAATTTTTTTTTTCGAGAGAGGTTGAAAAATCCTTCGCAAGCAGCGTGTTACATAAGTAATGGACATCTCTCATAGCAAATATAAAAATGGCAATCGGGTTTGACAAGTCTCGTATGGACTACTTCTTAACTATCTCACCTGTCTGACGAATAATTAAGAATTGTTCATTATTTTCGAAATTTTATTCGTGTATTGTACCGCTACTGTAGTGACAATTATTATCATGCCGAAGGATAATAATACAGACAGACGTTGCATGCTGCATGCGCGCAGAATTAATTCTGATAAATAGTGCAGGGAAACTTCGTCAAAACAATGGTTTTAGTTATAACAGTAATAATAATGACAGTGATAGTTATAATAACAATGTATAATTTAGTAGCAGAAACAAAAAACGGTGTTTAAACTTATCGAATAAAAATGAGCTTTTTCGCGCGTTTCGTTTTTGCTCGCTTTCGTCCAATGTTTATTGCTTGTTGCGTATTACTTTTTTTTGTTAATAGTAGTTTAAACACGGAATAATTAATGGTGTCATAAATGTGTACGATAAATTAATATTTTGTACCATTATAAACGAGTAAAAGAAATTATGCGTCGCAAAAGCTATCCGAAAATTACGAAATTAATATTCTTTATTTTTTTCAGTATTTGCAGGATTTGTAATAATTGTGTTATTTTAAAGTCTTCGGATAGTGTTTAAGTTATAAAAAGGTTTTATCAGTATTTGATGGTATTAATATTTGTTGTTGTTATTTTGTATGTAATAACGATCTAATTTACCGTTCCTATTTACCCGGGTATTTAGTTATTAAATATTGCTGTTTTTACATCACAATTAAATCATTTTCTAAATACTTACCAATACCAGAATGCTTATTCTATCAAGTATCGTTTGAAACAAATGTTGATAATAATAATGTTTTGAACCGAAGTCATAGTGATATTCATTTAGGCTAAAAATTATGATTTAAAAAAGATGGCTGACAATATTATTAAATCGTTTTATAAGTAATTGCTATATTATAGGCACGATATGATGCTCTACGAAATATTTCTTGAATTACATTTATAAGACTAACAAATATTAAAAACACTTAATTTGTGCAGTAGAATAAAATCAGATTTAAATAATGAAACATTTACAGCTAGCGTTCATCGACACGATGAACAGAAAGTGAAATAAAGTGGTAAAACCGAGACGGAAATTCAAGAGATATTCAAGTGACAAGTCTTAACGATGCGTAAACCATTGTTCTACTAGAATATTATTATTATACCATATATCGTAAATTAATGTCATTCGTATAAAACATATACATAATAAATCTTTCTATGAGAACGTGTAATATTAACTTTATAGTTGTAAAATCAATATTAGCCCTTCAATACGTAATACTTGTGTAATGGAGAATAATAACTCGATATCATATTTCAGTTCAGTAGGTGTACATTTGATTGGAAATTGAAATCAAATCATCAAGTTGTATTAAAATGTAGGTAAATTATGTTTAAAATGTCATTTTGGCGTAAAATAATTTCCTGTTATGAGCATATGATAAATTATTATAAGATGACGTAAGCAATATTATTAATAATATTAATAACAGAAAATTTACATAAATGACTTGCACTTTGGCCACGTGCACAGTGTCTACATTTTATATTAACCAATCTTAGTTTAAAAAAACTAAGAAATGTTCATATCTTATTGTATATGTAGAGTCCTACATTTTGAAAAATATTAATATGAGTCGTATGCGTTCATAATACATACTCTGATCCACAATACAAACATCTAATAAAATATTATACGTGTTGCGAAATATTAAAATAAATTTTAACTTTCATTAAACGTTGTGTGTAGTACTTACCTACAGATTATATTCTAGTATAGTATAATTAGATAAACATATAGGTACATGAAATATATTGTACCACAAAAATCGTGATGAATTGTGAATACAAAAAACAATAATATAAAGTATCACATTAATATTTTGTAACACAAATGAGTTACATGTACCTACGATATAACATAAAATATATGCATAATTAGCTATAATAATGAAGTTAAAAGCAATATGAGTCACGTGTTTTTATGCAACCAGCTAATAAATTAAAATATTAACTTTTCTGTTTGACCCATTGTAAAATTGATTTATATTTTACAACACAGAAGTTTAGAGTATAATTGTAAAAAAAAATGTAATTAACTAAACAATTTTCTAGTAAACAATTACAATGTATAAAATAAGTAAAGATTTATTCTTGCATTAGTATACTAGTTTATATCATAAGGCTGTACTACCTATGAATATACCTGTACTTACTTATTTCGGATGTGCAATCGATTTAAAATAAATGGTATATGTATAAAAATATCGGTTTAGCCAACGAAATTCGAAGATATTAATAATAACTTTTATAAAAACGTGAAACAAATACAACTACCGTATAAATATAAAAGTAAAATAAATTACATAGTACCAACTAAATATTTTAATTAAGAACCCTCCAAATATTTCCATGTATGAATTTTAAAATGAAATAATTATGTTTTTTTGATATTTGTTTAAAATAGTAAAATGTATATATTTTTATAGATTGTATAATCAACAAACTCCTCGGTCCATTAAACCAAATATTTCTTACCTACTGTATTAAACTTCATTTTTAACATAAACATAAAATAAGCTCAAAAAATATATAGTCGAGAATTAAAAAATAGAAATCATACAGCTTAAAATAAAATGTGTTTAACTATTTAAAAAAAATCCAAATTTATTTTAGCATGCTTGTGACAGCTTATGTTATGTTTATTTTATTTTGAGTCATTTATTGCCATATAGAGCTGTATCTATACACCTTGTACGTGCGCAACATATTATTACATTAGTATTTCGGAATAAGTCATATTTTTTTTTCACGTTTCAATACTTATGTTTACGTGACAACCAAATCATAATTTTTATGTGTAATATACCTATATATAAATAACGAAGTGTCGTAGTGGGTCACAAAGAAAAAAAAATAATTTAAGATCCACGTTAAGATAATATTTAAAAACCGGATTATTATGTTATGAAATCAAATTTTATGAATTTATTTCATTATTGTAGTCGACTTATTAAAATACTATTCTCTTAATTCGAATAAACTTCAATCGATTCATAATAATTGTATTTGTTGTATCTTATAATTATTATGAATGAAAGTTAATCACTCCATATAATATAAATTTAAATAGTAATAAATGCTAAAGGTTTTTTATATAACATTTATAGTATGTTATACTTTTACTTTAATTTTTCTAATTTATAAGGTTATATTTAAGTTTTTTATACCATATAAGGTATTACTTATAGAAGTGGAAATATTAATATATTATTATCTACCACGCACATTATAAACGATGTGTTAAAGTTTTATCAATGTTATCAAGTTCTAGTCGATAGTAATTTAAAGAATAATATAGCCTTGAAAAAATTCGACAATCTTGTCCGAAATAGTATATCTAATAGTATATTAATAACATGAATTAAAAGAAAAGTTATTAAAAAAATTCCTTGTATAACTAATTAAATTATTTAAATAAAATTGAAAACTATAAAATTAGAACACGCTTTTATTATACAACAACATTTTAAAATAATGTTTTAACTTGAGATGTTTTAAATGAAATGTCAATTTTATAAAATACGTTTTTAATAAATTATTTTTTTCATTTTTTAGTTTTAAAAACAGATAGTTTATTCTTCGTCAATAATTTTATCTTTTTTCTCAACCTTAGCATAATATCTATAGAAATTAAATAATTTATTTGTATTTTTTATCTTTATTATTAAATAAACGTTTTTATAAAATTACTTGAACGTATCACTTTTTATATTAATGTTATATATCTGTATACCTGATTAATTTAGACATAAAGTACCTATAGTACAAATATTACAATTTATAATTTATCGTATTCATGTGCAATAAAAGTTAAACAAAAATTAAATTGTTTGGTTGTTAGTATTCTTAAAATAATATTAACGTATTTTAAAATATATAAGTAATTTATTCAAATTTCAAATATCAAAAGTAGAATAAAAGTATCTGTGTTACTATCGTTTATGGACCGGCTGGCCTGTATCGTATAATTAAATAAATAAATATATAAATAAATAAAATTTAAATACTATTTGTTAGGTATATTTCACGTTATAAAAATAAAATATTAGAGAGGTCAATTTTTTTTCGTTGTATATATATTTATAATCGGTTTCATAAAAAATATAAAAGCAAACTGTTATATTTAATATTTTTTAGTTATTTATTTCTTTAATAATTCTAAATTATTGGTCATAAATTTTTGACCAACGTTATGTTATTGCCCGCGTAGTTTCGTATTAAATATTGGAATATTTTCAAAATTTTAGTTTGACGAAAATAATAATTATAGCGATGAACTAGGATGATAACGATAAAAAATAAAACCGCTTTCCAATGGAGTATAATTTCAATTAGCTGATTTCGTTAACCACGAATAAATTATATTTTTAATATGAATCATTGATATTTGAAGTGCAAAGATCTCAATGATCTTTTTATTGAAACGTTCGACAGTAGTAAAATACGGTATTGAGTTTAAAAAGTCACTCAAACTTTCATGTAGCAAAGGCATGTTGTTGTTGTTTTTTTTTTTTTACATGTCCAATTAGTTTTCATTCTAAAAATGAATAGCAGTGTGAAATCGCACAAACCATTTCGATTGAACAGAAACAAATATTATAATGTAATTCAAAAGCGACTCGATATTTTCAAATATTCCAATGCTTTCTTTCGAAACGAACAACGGTATTAGTTCCGGCGGAAAATCGGAACGTTGGGCTAACCCGACCGTACTACGCGTGGAGGTTCGGCAGGATCGATGGTGAGACTTCGTGCCGAAGAAATGCGGAGATAAAGAAAAAGGCAGTACCTACCCAGGCCCGTAGCTAGACTACAAGCAAGCCATGCATTGCTTTAGAGCGTCGTACAATTTTAAAGAAATTATAGTAGCAAAATGTAATAAATATCGACAACATACGACAGTAATTACTGTTATGCATCTTCACTACTATCGTAGCTCCACTAGCTCAATGCGACTGTAAATTGTTTTAGCATATTATAATTACGATTTGTGATGAACAGCGACCGTACGATTTTCGCTTTAAGGTGGAATATATCTTACGACGGGCTTGTACCACGTACCGAGATCGACGAACGGGTGGTTTGGCCGAGGGCGCGCGTTTGAGTTAGATGTTAAAATCGATGTTTTCGTTGAAAACAAGCGCCAAAATAAGATTCGCCGATGGGGTCTCGGAGGTTGGTTGCGGGGGATCGCGAGGGACGTGTTTTTTTTTTCTACAAATTGTTTTCGTTCGCCGAGGTACGCAATGCTAGTGACGACGCGTTCTCGACAAACGGTGCGCGCACGTGCGCGGATAGTAAGCCATACGGGCGAATACGATATGCGGTGAATACTCACGTGGAATCAATAACGTTGCACCGGTGCAGAGTATGCGACAGCGCAGGCAGAGGCGGTACGGTGCGCGCACCGGTTGAGATTGTTGACGCGATTGCGTTCTCCGTTTACGCGATGCCGGGCGGTGCGGCGACAAGTGACGCGTGCACTAACCGCGCCAAAGCTCTTTGGGCCCGCCGACGCCGCGACAGGTGAAAGTGACATTGCGCGCGTGGAGGGTTTCACGTGCCGCGGTAGGACCGGCCGTCCCCGGTGCGCACTACTGCCGCGGCGAATACGGCGCACCACTGCGCGTACGACCGATCGTGTCGCATCGTCCGCGTTCGCATCGCGTTTTTCCCTCGTATGAATCCGGACGACGACGACACCGGGTCATCGACATAGGCGCGACTAGGGTTTTATTTTTTCGTCAGTATCGCTTTGGTAAACGGTTTTTAATCAGACAATTTCTACTTGCGTACTTGTTACGCGGACAATAGATAAATATTTGGTGGAGCTGAGCTACCCCCTTCCCCTCTAAAACCTTCCTTAGTGTTCCTATGGGTCAGGACGCGACGGATCCGCGTCCAAAACCTACTCGTTCTGCGTCGCGATTGTCATCCATTATGTTTCAACGTCACGTTTACGGACGCGGTGCGATCGACCCCGGGCATACCGAAACATGACCATCCGTCGCGCGCAATCGCGTGGGTTTTTCGAGTCGAATTTTATCGAACCCGTCCACACACGACGGCGTACCGTGTATGCAAATTCGATGCGTTTGTGTTGTTCACTGAGAGGCGAGAAAATTAAACGAGTCGTATGAAATCGAAATGAAACGTTTCCGCAAGCGATTCACGTGCTCGAGCATTCCCATGGTCATGAACGTCCATGGCCATGGTATGACGTGGAAGCGCGCAGCAAACGGTAACGTCTTCGACACTTGCTCGTAGAATCGTCACGCAGTAGGTAGGTACATTCGTTAATGCTTTTAGTTCGTTTTGTTAACGCGCAATATGCGTTTAAGTCTTGAAATTATCGAACACACCCGATATGTAAACATAACACATGATTGTGATAATCTAAGCCAATGTTCAAATCGTTGACTGTAGTTACCGCGATAGGTGATTTTTTTTTCAATAATAATTAAAAATTCTGATTCGTTTTGCACTTGATCCAACACGCGTATTATGGTCTATTATTATTAAAGAAATTGAATTTTCTAACCTATTAACGAATTATAAAATCCACCATTGTGTTATGTATGATGTATACATTAAAATTGCGATTTCATATGAAGTATTAAAAACATCGGTTTACCTATAATACAAGAAATACATGAGCAGTATTGTGGGTTGGACCAGGGTGTTAAAAGGGTAAATACATTCCAAGCCTTAACGGGTATAAATCATCATCTTACGACTAATGATAAAAAAACCTTAAACATTTATCATTTTTATATTTAAACAAGATATAATGATTACATATGATTATGTATGTTGTTAACATTTTACTCTTGGTCTGGTACATTACGATAAAACTACGGTCATTAATACGGATCTTATTAAAAATAATACATTGAGTATTTGTGAAAGCTATTTTAAGATCACCTAAAGATTTTATAAAGCCTTCAAAATTGTATCATTCACATTTGTTCAACATGTTGTCATGGAGGCTCGACGGTATAAGTCTTGATATGTAATTATAATAAGCATTAACAAAATTTAATTTCACAAAGTACCCCCGTGTGATTTAGGGCTCGCAGACCTCATAAATATGAAGTAATATAGGACATTGGTTTTTCATAGCAATGGGACCCTTAAAGTGACCTGCAGAGTCCACGAGTATCAAAAATTAAAAACATTATTGAATCATGCTCTATACTGCGTTTAGTAAAAGTATATTCAGTTAATCAAATGAACCTTCATAATCAAAAATTTTTTTTTTTATATTTTTTTAATAAATGTTTGTCATTAGCATGCGCAACCAGATCACGATTCTCCTCTTCATTGTCGTTATTAATTATGAACGTGCCACGACATTTCGTCCGAATTAGTCAACGTAAACTTGTCTTAATAAAAATGTAGGTAATAAATTATTGTAGATTTTTTAGTTTAGGAACAAGTTTTTTCTAGAACAAGTGGTGGTGGTATGTTTTTATAGTCCTTTTATAATCACTTTTTGGTTTTTGTCGTACTTGCTTCCGCTAGTTCCTTTCTCCGCGGACTTATCTTAAAAATATCTAGTTGCAATAACCACTCGTATATATCAGGTACATAGGGTATGTTACTTTAGAAAATTACGTCCCAAGTAACAATTGTCGATAAAAGTAAAACAGCAGTGAAGATGCAATTTGAAATGTACAAATATAATTGTGTTTCATTAGCCGATATCGTTAACTTTTAAGCATCATAATATAATAAAGCGAGGTTGTATAGATTCTCAAGTATCATCAGCATTATTTTCTTCGACAGTAATAATACCTTACGGCTCACAGCTCTCCGGACATAATATATCATCCGGCACTAATATATACATTTACATATACATATACATTTATGTATATATAATATAAACATAAGTATATTACGTAGATTTATGTACTCCAATATTGGTACGTAGGTTTTCAACACTTGTGACCTTTCAGAAGTAAACGTACGTATACGAAGGATAGCGTAAACAATAAAATAGATACGTTTAAATAATCATGTCAAGTACGCAATAGGGATACTTGATACAGTTTTACAGCAGGTCGGCTCCCAAGGATATTAGGTATATAATATGATATATAAATGATACGCCCAGCGTAAACCGAGTATTTATGCATTTAATATTTACAAGGTGCCTTGAATGTCTTCAATTTGCATTTTATCGAATAAAAGTCAAAGTTATTCGACAAAAAGTGTTATTATATTATATAATTGTTTTGAAAATCAATTTAGCGAAATTAGAATGCGTGCATTATGATTAATAACACCACAATCAGTCTTCGGTTGAAATACTTAATTACTATCTTAGGATTATTATATGGTTAATATACATAGTGTGCTAATGTAAAACCAAAATCGAGGAATGTGTTTTAATGTATTTCTTGGCTTACCCATAGTCGAAATTCATGAACGAAAATTCACTGTATTCGGCAATGTATTATGCAATACATTTGTATTTTAGTATTAAGTTTAGAAGTGTTTATTTGTTTACATGCACACACACACAAACATATATATATATATATATATATATATATTGTACATATATATATTGAAAATATAACACATCAATGGAAAACGATTATACGAATCAAACATGGATAATGTTTTATATTACTGCGACTTAAAAGTAATGTTTTTTTTTACTATGTAATAATTTTCAGTCGTTTGCGATAGTTATAAGTCGCTTTAATTAAAAAAAAACTGGTCGATTTTTTATATTCCTGTTATTTTACTAAATGTATTTAATTGACTAAACACAATTATTTTTTTATAAAAATATACACTACAAGCTCTTTAATTACAATACGAATATTATTTAAGCATAATTATGTCATTATTAGTCAGATTAAATTACCACACAAGTTCGTATTTATATTCCAACACCTATTCATCTTTCATTGCACGTGGTTAGTTATTAGGTATCGAGTATGAGTAAGCACTTGATACATAAATATATTTTGCAATGACTAGTTTTTCGATTGCAATCGTCTTTCTACGAACGAGTAAAATACCATAGTATAAATATCAAAATCAATATCATAAATATCAAAATATTTAAGTTTTGGCTCGACTATAGTTATGTAATAAATAATATTGACAGTATTCTTATTTTGGTATATAATAAATAATATTTGATGTTTTATTGCTGAGACAGTATCAGGCACAATCAATTGTTAATACGGTAATCTCAATTTTAATGTATACATACGTTGTTTTATCATTGATATTTAATGCAATATGACTGCAATTATAAAATGAAAAAATCTATTTAAAATATCGAAAATATATATTAAATTAACTATAGTTAATTTCATAATTAATGATTTTTGTAATGATTTAGTTTAAATGGGCGTAACCCGTTTCAACCAGGTATACGTTTCGACTAAATTTTTTGTTTTTTAAGATTCCCATTCTACCTAGACTAGTTTAAATAAATGTTAAATTAAGTAAGCTATGATTATTTTAAATTATATAATATTTTAATATTTGTGTATTATTTAGCATTATCCAAAGAACACTATGAGGAGGCGGTACTCTTTGTTTTTCAGTTCACAAAAATGGTACATTTACAAATTTAAAATTTAGTCCACAATATTTATAAAAACATATTATTAAAAAATCGAATTTACACAATATTTATGAAAAATATTTCGGTATGCACTTTACAGGCTTTGCTGGATCTAGATTCGAAAAATTGTCTAAAAAATAAAATATTTTATAATATTGTAAAAATACATAAAAGGTATGAATTAATAATTATATTATAACTATTATATACTATTAATATTATATATAACTATTATTATTATAAATACAAATGAAGAGTTATTACCAATAAAAAAGGTAAACGCCTTTTTTTGTTACCAGTTTATCAATATTTTCCTTAGTTGTTATTTAGTATTTTTATTTATTGATAACAACGCTTTACTGTCACCTTTTTTTATTCTGGGGAGGAGAATGGGTTGAGACCCGGGAACTTCCTCGAAAATACGCAACTGAGTAGCTAATGATTGTATAACCCTATGCTGATTTAAACATATCATGAATCTTTCTTAATTGAATGAAACTTAGTATATGCGTATATAATTGTAAATAAATATATTTTATTAAAATACAAAAATAAAAACAACAATGAAAAATAGAACCTGAATCATATAGTTTTCTAATTTATTATGAAACGAAGCAATATACGTACGAGTACGTACCTTTTTAATGTATTATTTTTTACGTATAGTTGAAAGGAAAAGGACTCAGTTTCTTTGTAAAGAGCTCAGATTAGTTTTTATTAAATCATTATAGTTCGGTAAAGTATTTATAGAGTCATAGAATTTTCTACGATTATCTATTTAAACGATGCACGAGTATATAGTACACACAGCATGGTTAAATAATAACCATCTTTGAATTAAATGTAAGATTTTGAAGTTTTTTGATTTTTATTCATTTTTATTTTTAATAAAAACTTCAGATTCTATGTCGAAGACTTATAAATATATAGATAATTTATTCGATACTTCGAAAATCACAATATTGACAAAAATGATTCAATAGCATAAATTATATACCATTTAAGGTAATATATATATACCATAGAAGATGATTGATAACTTAACTGTATATGTCATTATATTTATAATAGGTATATTAGTAAATATAATTATTATTATAGTATTTATTAAAACAAATGAAAACAAATATTTTAAATTGTATTTGTTAAGTCAAAATAGATAAGTGCTAATTTATAATATATTGTAAAATGTAAGCTGTTACAATATGTTACAATTATTATCATATATACATGTATAAGGCGTATAAATCTTATAAATCTCTGTAAATAATGAATAAATTATAATACATAAAGGTAGTACAATGTCATGCTGTGAACTGGTTTTGTTATATTCAATTCATATAATTATAATAATAATGATTACAAATTACCGTTGGTCATTCTTTATTTATTTTTCAGTGTTTAGTTATAAATTATTTACACAAACGTTTTATTGACTAAAATACAAGTGTTATCTGAATACTTAACTTTAAAATAATACAAAATAAAATATTTTTTTGGTTAATATGAAAATAGTATTCGGATTATTTTTCGATCTAGAAAAAATAATTAATATCAAAAATATATTTTAAATCATAATATCAACAAAATTTATTAATTCACTTGAAAATTTTCGAATCAGTATTACATGAAAATGCGTTATATTTAATAGATAAGAGTTAACATACAAATACGGCATGATGTGGATTGGAAATACAGAAAGAATCTGATTTTATAATGCTATAATGCTGATTACATTTACGTGTTCTGAATTTATTTCATTCATTGCCATAAAACTGGAATTTTATCATTCATGAGTTATGTTTATGGCCGTTTGAAACGGGTTGAATATGCGACATTATAAAATATGTATTTTGAGATTTAAATTTATGTTTTTGTACTGGTTCATTACGGAAATATCTTCAAAACTAAATCGATTCGGTGATTATATTTAAAATGATAATGAATTTCATTACATAATTTGTAAAACGTAAAAAATATTACCTATAATAATTCTTTGAATACTAGTATTATATATTTTGTTATTATCTCTAACTTAAAAATTATAAAATCAATTGGAGATTATGTTTATCTCTATTATCAAAATATTATATATTGTTTTCCAATATTTTTATTTTCTGAAGTACTATAGTTTTAATTCACATATTTTTAAATTGAAAAATATCTATATTTTTTTTTTATAAAAACAAAGATTAAGAAACATTGTTGTGATTTTAATTTTACCTATTTATATCAATATGTAGAATTAGTATTTATTTTCATAATTAATTTTTTATTATAAAATAGTTTTAATATAGATGATCTTTAATGGTTTAATAAGTAATAAATTATTGCATTACAAACTGTATTATAAATTCATACATATTCTATATGTATGCCGAAATATATACATATATATAAGTATATAAATATTTTAACGAGTTAGTTATAAATTAACTTTAGTTATTCTTAAGGTGTAATTTTTAGATTACAACGGCGATTCATTTAATTGTTCCTATCGTGTTGGTCCATATGGTATGAAATAAATTTGATAAGCATAAATACATTTTTCATTTTTTCATTTGACAATTGATTTAATAAAATAGCTTTTCGCCTTGTTTTCTGCATTCCTATTATTTCATATTACATACTATATGAAATAAATACATCTATGAAAAACAAATAAATAGTTACAAATTGCATTGCATTTATATTTAATTCTAGGAAGATATAAGGTGAGTTAGAGAAAGAGGTAGGCCGTGACCAATCAAAATTTTCCCCGACTGACCCGTAATGTTTTAATATTGATAATTTATATCTATATTTCTTATACGTATATTAAATAATCCAATGTAACTAAAAAAAAAATATGTATTATTTATTTACAAACGTTTTCCGGTTGCAATTTCTATATCTTTACATATATAAAAAGTGATTGAACTGTTACGTTAAGATGGAAAATATATACCGTTATACGCTTAGCCCATCCGTTATGAAATTGTGACGGCATTTGATTCGAAAATTCCATCAAACCCGATTGTGCGTAATGTTGTTTTCCTTGGTCATGTTATAAAATGTTATTGTTTGTATTAAACGCAGTCAGATGTGTCCAGTGTGTACGGTTATCATATAGACATCGTGCGTGCGATACAAAATGACAGATTTGTTCAAATTTTTTTTAATAACATCTGTAGTGGTCGTATCTGGTCATTTAAATATTCATTCGCAGTTATGGGTCACGAAAATCTTGTCTGACACCTTGGATGATTACGTACCCGACGGAGGAGCAATGTGCAGACGTCACGGAGTAGAATATCGTGAAGGACTGAAAAACCTCAAATTGTGGGCTACTCAAAGTAAGTTTTATTTATTAAAATTAAATTGTGTTGTGTCCTCCAATTGTGTACAGCTCGAACAAATATTAAATACAATTTATAAACAATTATAATAATAATGATGAAAACCATTAGATCAAAATTTAAAATCAAAGAATAATTATGTTTAAAAAACGTAACGTGATTTTGTTTATAAAAAACTGTTATTTGAGAATAAATAATATAAATGTTCTGAACTGTATAAAAATGTAATTAAAAAAATATTCATTGCTTTAATTTTGTTTGATTAAGTATCGAGTTCGTATGTAAATTATTTGGCACTTAAACTAAACAAGTCCACAAGCCCACAACATTTTGTATCAATAAATTATGTAAGGCGGACAAAATAATTATTAATTTAGACACATTTAATGCATGTTGTTTTGATTATTAAAGATATATGAATAAAACATTCTATTTCCAATATATTATATTTAATGAAATTGAAAAGTTATATATATATATACATTTCAAAATTACCTTTCAAATAGTTCATATTGCCCCACCCCCCTTCCCATAAAAACGTTTCATTACTAATGAAAACGATACAAAAAATGTTTTAGACAAATCGAATAATTTTAATTCGTGCCAAAAAGGTCTGAAGTTATAAAAATGGAAACATCTTTAAAATCATTCATATTTTTGTAATAGAATTCAACATAACTCCATTAAAAAAAATAGTACAAACAATTCTTTGAAATATAAATTATAGAAAACTTAAGTTAACACTATTTATTTCCAACATCTTATAATGTATATTTTAAATTTTTTTATATATTCGAATGAAAAATGCAGTAAAAATAAATTCATAATCATTATCGGTCAATTGCTCAAATAAATATGTCTGTGTACCTAATACATGTACCGGTATTTTGCGTATTACGTGAAGATTATTTTCATGACTCATTATGCCAATCATGTATCAAATAACAAAAGTATTATTTATACCATTGTAGATTATTACTTTTTGGACTTACGTGTTATCGAGATTATTAAGTCATTATATATACTGTCAATTATTTTTTTGTGATTTATTGATTTATTTCTCATTTTACTTACAACAACTAGTGTTATACTTAAATTCTGAGGGATTAGTAATGAAGAAACTAAACAATAATCTTATCTTCTGAAACTTTTAAATACTTGCTAATATTTGAATTGCTTAAGAGTTGATTTAATATGTTTCGAAATTCCAAAAATTTATAAAAACACTTGAAATAAGCAGTTAAAATGTTCACAAACATTATCTAATTCTGTCATCATAATTGTAAATGCCTAAATTGAATGAATTCTTTAACGAACAACTCGTGATTTCAAAATCAATTACTCGAATTATTAGTTTTGATCGAAATCTGATAATTTTTTTTATTTTCAGTGTATGATGCATCATCCAAGTTTCCGACAGGCATTTTAGCTGGGAGATCATTTGACTTTGGAAACTTTGATGAATGTTTAAAAACTTCTACAACTGGATTGGAATTCTATCCACAATATTGTATAATTAACATTCGTTTTTCGCCTACAGAGAAGTTGTATCCTCACCATTACAATAATACACCTTCTAAATTAAATCCATTAGACTCTGTATGGAAAGCAACAAAGGTTAGTTTTCTATGTAAATATTTGTTTTATTTTTTTATTTTAATAGTATCTAGTTTTAATAATAATATTTATTTATATATTTATATAATTTATATATATATATATTTATATAATTTATATATATATATATATATATATTAATAATATAATTTTATAATATAATAATAATTTAATTTTAATAATATAATTTAAAGTGGTGATTTAGTTAACCATCAATTTAAATAGTACTTACTCTCTTTAATTGTTAATTTACTTACGTAATTTGAATCTTGATTTTATAAATTAATATTTTGTTTTGACTGAATTGTATAGGAATTGTAGTTTTTTCTCCTCGCCAAAGGCAAAAATAGGGATTGTCAATGGGGGAGGGGCTTCAGCCCTACCATTTTTAATCAAAATAAGTTGATGCTTTGTCCCCATATTATTAAATTATCCAAAATAATAATTATATTATTACTATTAGTTATAATCACTAAGAGCTGTAATGTTGAAAAACAAAAGCTTTAATAAATAAAAAAAATCACAATCACTTAATTTATACGATATAAAACGATAATAAATACGGGTGGCTGAATTCACATTAGGGGGCTTAGTCCCCCCAAGCCCCAACCTTTTTGCGCTTATGCTCTTTGTTAAATCATTATTCGATTAAGTGTAATATAATTGAATTTATCAACAGTATTTTAGTTTAAATTAAATAATGTAATGAGTTGATTATTATCTTTTCAATTTCGTATTCCAAACATATTTTAAGAAAGATCTTATAAGTAAAAAAAAAAAAGTGGAAATACTTAAATAATTTTTACTTTATTAAATTCAAATTATAATAAAGAAATCATGTAAATATTCAAAATGTATGGTAAACAAGTTCTAAAATATTAAATTTACGTGTGTTTAGTATGATTCAAGTCCGATAAAAATTGAATGCAACGAAATCAACACAGCACTTTGTATACCTTCTACGTGTACTTATTCAGACATTCAAACATCATTATCACCAAAAATAATTACTGCGTTTCAAAAATATCATATTATAGCCAATGTCACTGTGGAATCAGTTTTTTGTACCACACAGCAAGAACTCCAACCGCCAAAATTGTTGGGATATCGAATATTTTGGTAAAAAAAACATTTAATCTACTTTTTTGTAATAATCTATGATGTATATATTATTTTAGCTTTATTAGGTACTTTAAAAATTTTGAGGGGTTGTCTCAAAACTTCGTTACTACTAAAAAGTGAATTAAAAAAACATTCAGTCAGAGGACTCGATCAAATTTTCTATTTAATGGCATATTTTTAATCAACCTTAAATAAAATGAAATGTGACCAAATAAATTCTTAAATATTTATTTTTATTATATTATATTTATTAATATTATTTTTATTTTAAATTATAAAAAAAACAAACTTTTAACAAAACAATTTAATAAGATTTTCTTTAAAGTTAAATTTAGGAATTCAATTTTTAAATGTTATCTCAATTGAATTTAAAATCTATTCTTGACTTTATTTTTAATCTATAATTTAGAAAATCAACAAATCATATATTATTTGTTTTTTTAATAGGGGTGTCTTATTGCTTGTTTTATTGATGACGGTTATTGGATCATTATGTGACATATATAAGAAAGAGGAAAATCAATCACATTGTAGTAAGTACAAATATAAAATGCAATAATTTAATGAATGTGTATTTCCAAAGAAAAAACATAAATACAATTCGTATAAGACTCACATATTTTTTTGTTACTTTCAGAATCATTTTTTATGACATTCTCATTTCCAGCCAATATCAGACGTTTGTTTTTGGCAAGCAATAAAACTGATAATCTGTCTTGTATTGATATTTTAAAAACTCATGGTTGCGTTCTTGTTATTATTGGACAAAGAATGCTGTACACCACTAGCCAACCACTACAAAATCCTTCAAAATTCGAAGAAGTACCAAATATACATTAATAGTTAATAAATTAGTTAAATAATGCTAATTGTTTTAGGTGGTTTTACATTTGTTATATGCTATGATTCGCAATGGATCGTTGGTAGTTGATTTTTTTTTTGTTATAAGTGGTTTCCTGACATTTCATTTTCTTTACGATGAATTGGTTAACACAAAAAGAATTAATGTACCATTGCTTTTGCTATGGAGATGGTTAAGGTAAAATTATGGTGTACACTCTAGTATTAAGATTAACTACAATTATAAATTATACTTTGTTAACTAATTTTAATGATAATAGTTGCTTTCACTTCTAATTAAATTCTGCTTTTATTTATAAATGGTTATATTATTTACGATAAAGGTTTCATAATTTTTTATAATAACAACAAATAAATGTATTTGATATGTATAAATATTAAAAAATTTAAATTAAATTTATTCGAATTTCAGTGTCAATTCCAATACATATAATAATATCGTTCAAATAAGTTGTATTAGTAGTATATATATAAATCAATGATATTATATGTTACATATTCGTACTTATACCTAATGTAAGTTAAAACTTATTTTTGAGTAAATATTATTTCAGATTAATGCCTGTATATGGTTTGATGATAGCGTTTCATACGTTTGTGTTATTGCACTTAGCAGATGGTCCACTATGGAAGAAAATAGCCATTCAAGAATCAGATTATTGTCAAAGAAATTGGTGGAGCAATTTTTTGTTCATAAATAACTACGTTAACGCCGACCATCCAGTATGTAAATATTCAAGTTTACGTACAATTACGTTCTAAGCCAAGCGATTTTCAGTGTATTATCCAGTCGTGGTATTTAGCGTGCGACATGCAATTCTTCGTCGCAGGAATCGTACTTGTTTATTTTGTGTGGAAGTACCAAAGGTACGGAGTATACTTGATGTGGGCTACGATATTTGTATCATTGTTGATTCCGGCTGGCATTGTGTATACTCATCAGTTTTATCCCATGCTTATAAATTCTATATCGTAAGTATTTTATAATCATCGAGGTATCACATTATCATAGTACAAAAGTATACTATATTCGTACTAAAGGTATTAAGTTGAAATAAAACAAAGGATGATTTTATGGTTGATTTATTCAAGTTAAATAATGTTATTTTCCAAATATTTCCAAAATTTCTAATGCATTGTGTAACATAAAATACTTGGGCAAACCATGTAGGTATATTTACTGTCGAGATAAAATATCTATAGCTAATATTTCTTAATCCTATTATTGCTATAACGCTGAGCACGGGCTGATGTAATATATCTTTATATTGATATAGTATTGGTATATGCCCATCGCAAAAGCTGTTTAATTGAGTTTAATATAATATAGTAATATATTGAGTATTATAATAGTTTTTTCAATCGCTGATTTATGAACTCACGTAAATCGGGTATTCACGTGTTAAGATGAAAACTATCAAAGACGAAATTAAAAAGCACCAAAAAATAAAAATAAATATTTTGGACGGATTTTAAAGTTTTCGCGTGCACCAATCTCTATATAATATGTGATTAAATTTAATAATATCAATCTTTTAAGGTACTTTAGGTATTTTAAAATGTTAATTTTTATTGTTTATAATCGGCCGAAGAATTCCATGAAAATAACTTCTACAGGCAAAAAATTTGGAGGTTTCTACGATACACAAAATGATGTATACATTAGTAAATGAGTCGTATCAGTGACAGAAAATACGAAATAAAGTGTGTAGCCATGGAATTTAATATAATGCTGATAGGACATTAAACGAATACTTTTCTAGGTTTTTTTAACATTAAAAACTCATTGATTCCTGTTAATAAAAGTTACTTATTATATATTTGTAAATGTACCTACGAACCTTTTGTTAAATGAACAACGTTATGAAGCATTTAGGATTATTATTTTGTACTTGAACTGAAATCCTATCTAGAATTCTTAAGATTAGCGTCGTGTTTCAGTCGTGTTCAAAAACGTAATTTCAACATATTTTGATGGCAATAATTCGTTTGAGTAAAATAATAAGTGATTCTCTGATTGGTGTATATTTTTACAGGATATTCAACTATCTGCCAGAACAAAAGAGCTACACTATGCTGTATATACCTAGTCATACAAGATCGACGCCATATTTTGTGGGCATATTTGCAGCGTATGTGTACCGATACTTGAAGCTCGACAAACCAAAGTTTCGATTCCCATACTCCAAGACTTTACTAACGATACTTATCGCTGTTTATCCGCTATTTCTCATGACCATTCAGGTGTTTTACGTTCGAGAATACAATTTATGGTTAAGCGTAATTTACATGTTCATGTACCGAATAACGTTTGCCATCATCGTTTCCATATTCATAATAATATGCGCCATAAATGGACTTTTCAAAGGTATAAAATCGCATAGCTTGAGAAAGTTTTTTATATGAGATAAAAATAATAATCATCCATCCCACGGCGTATTGAGTAATAAAGTATCTATAATTTTTACTAATTGAAAAGTAGTACTTGTATAGTAAGTACTTGTAGTATAATCCTATATATTTACAAAAAAAAAAAATACCAATAAATTAATTTATATATAGTATTATTCAAATTTCAAATTTTATATACTTTTTATACAGTGAATAGGTGCATTTATTAATTATTTTTATAATATTTTTACTATAGAAAAAAAGGAGAAAACGATGTTTTAATTTGTATTACATAGGTTTATGGCTACGAGTTTTTATGCCGTTAAGTAAATTAACGTATGGAGCATACTTAGGAGGGCTATCGATGCAATTATTACAAGTATCATCGATGCGTTCACCAACATATTTCAACGATAGCCTTTTAGTAAGTAATTTAAATAGATTAAAAAAACTAATTAATTATATAAGGTTATTTTGAAATAAATACTTTTAAAAGTACTTAGAGCTGCCTGTTTAAATAAAGTAAAAAATATATTAGATGTCCACAGTATATTAATTAATCATAAAAACTTTAAAAAAATAAAAATAGTTATTATTATGTTTTACTTTAAAACTAATTTGTTCTAATAGACTTATAAATATATATACGTTTTTCACAATAGTCAATACAGATTTTATGGTTTTTTTAATTTTATTTTATTATAAATCGGTTTTCAATGACAGTTTTATAAAACCAATATTCAACATGTTATACAATAAATATAGGCAACAAATTATACATTCACGTGTATTCACATTCACTGCGGTTTCGAAACGGTCAATTTTTTACTTAGTCTACTTCGAAAAATAAGTTATAAAATTAAATTAATATTTTCGAGAATATATATGATAACCGTAATTTAATCAGTCACTGTAACATAACAAAATAATAAATAAATAAAATTATAATTTTACTATTTCCCCAAATTATAATTAATATTAATTGTATTATTTTTTTTTTATAGCTTTGGTTAGCGATTGGAGATACCGTGTTCGGCTTTATACTTGCATTTTTGTTATACACATTGATCGAATCACCATTTGACATATTATTAAAAAAAATTGTCATCGCCATTAACTCAAGTAAAAATATATTTAATTACATTAATACACCAATCAGCAAATTAACAATTACAATTTATTTTTCTTTCTTATTCATTCCTTACTATGAAAAATTATATACTATTAAAATAAATGATCTAAATAATTATTTTACAAAATATTTAAACTGAAAAGAAAAAGTTTATTTATATTTACTATTTTATTAATAATTATTAGTAAAATAGAGAAAAATGTAATTGTTCTATTTTATATTGTAGTCAGATTATGGACTGAAAGTAGTTGAGTCGGATTTATGATTAAACTTAATAACAATTTGAAATTAAAATTTTCAGGTATAAATTTAAACCACAAAAAGACAACAGGTTCTGTAGTTCCTGGAAAAATAGCTCTTAGAACATTACGCTCAAAATAATATTAGTTTATAAAATGATACGTCTATAATAGCAATTGTACCACTAAAAGTATTCATTACTTAAATTATCATTCGTTTTTTTTAGTAATTTAGCACACAGCAATCGGTTTATTATATTTTATATTCAGATAGACCAACCCATTTTTTATTCAAAAATTTGTATTACAAGTTATAAGTTATTTTTGCATTATGTGCAGCTGTTGATGTAAATAATAATTAATTTTTAATATATAATAACTACATATGTTTTTGTAATAAAAAGATTCATAACATTTTCCTTTTTTTTTCTTTTAAAATATAAATATACGTTCTTAAACTAAAATATTATATTTTTAAAATTATATAATAATATTAAGTTGAGTTGTATGCATCTACATATTAAATATGTAAAAAACATTATAAGATTTATTATGTTTATTTTCAAGCTTTTTTTTTTATGTTTTCGGTTTATAATTAATAATTTATATTGAAATATGAATACAGAAATTCTTGTTGCGATCTCCTATCGTGAATTTTAATATTTGAAATTGTCCTATCTAAATTTATTTTTGAAATCAAAATCATCAATAATTAATTTTTTTTCCTTTGTGCGATTTAGTGTATATTATCAGCTTTCTTTAATGTTATGTTTATGAACTTAATATAAATTACTCTTTTAGGATTCAAAATAAAAAATGGTTAGTTTATCAAACTTCGACCGAGTTTGGCATAAAGGCCTGCCTTAAAAACTAATACAGTTCCTACCCGTCCCATACTTCTTAATAATCAAATCTTATCTTAAAAACCGAACTTTTGTAGTTCGGCAGTTTAACTCCTTTTCCTACTACTTTTGTATTCATGCTGGATAGGAGTTCTACAATGCAACAACCTCTCGCCCGACTTATTCAACAGATACACTGCCGATATTCCAAACTCAACAAACACAACCATAACCTAATATGCAGATAACACAGCAATAAACTCCCGATATTCATAAGAGATGGTATAATTTTTTAGATTTGTTTTTTGGTGTTATTTATCGTTATTTTAAATTTTCATAATTAGAATTATTCATTAAATGGCAATAATAATTGAAGGATTACGGAAAAAACGATAAAAGTCAATATTTCTAAACTGTTTATTCTTGCAATTTTAAAGTTTAAGAACTAAAAAATCTTAGAGATAAATTTCGAAATAATTCAAAAAAATTAATTGCGGTAAAACGAATACAACTAATTTTTTAAAAATCAATAAAAATTAAATTTACTTTTAAAAACAAATGATATAATAGATTTTTTATCTTTTTTTGACTATTGTCATTTTTCTCCGTAGCCCTTCAATTTTTATTCAACTAGAAAACTCAATTAATTAAAAATAAGAATTAATTGCATAATTTAATACTTACTTTGATTATTAAAACTTAAAAAATATATAAACAATTTAAAATATTGTATTAATTTTTTTAATAATATGAATGGATAAACTTTGCAATTAAAAATTGAGAAGTATTAATTTATTTTTTACTCCAAATACCTACATTTTTAGGTGAGTATATATTAAGTTTTACTAACTTTTTTTATTTATATATAATTATAATATTTACATACATGTATAAATAGTTGCTAGGGAATATAGAATACTTTTGCAGGCCGTATACTTTGTTTTATGTAATTACATATATATATAATTCTACTGTACGTGTGTGTATGTCATTGAATTCCCAAACGGCTGGACCGATTTGAATATATTTATTTGTATACGTTTGAGTGACGTCCTGGATGGTTGAGAATAAGTTAAAAAATGATAGGCACAATTCCGGGAGGTGCTCAATTAAACATTTTGAGATTTACGATGGAAATTTTTGTGTGGTTGCTATTATTTTCAATAATAATATTATTTATATAAAGAAAGAAATTATTATTCCTGAAATTGTTGTTATTTGTACATGCGTGTATGGAATTATATGTATCGCATTTGCATAAATATTGAGCGTATTGTATTCAGATATAAGTTACGTACACAAAACAATGCCACGTCTTCGTAGACGAAGAGAAAATATTGGTCGACGGATTCGGAACTCACAATTAGTCCAGAACGGTTGGTTAAATAGATCGGCAGAAGATCGATTGATGGACAAAGAAAATTTAAGAAACCCGGCTGCAATCACACGTGCTTGTGAAAGTCAAGAGCAACGCAACGAACGTCGTCGATCTAATGCTTTGAGACAAAGACTGGCCCGTCTACAAGTCACCGACACATTCAGAACACGTAAACAACAGCGTTCCCAAGTGTATCGCATTGGCACGTACATCACTTCTTCACCTAGCGTTTGAATACGAGGTGGACATCGACTATTCGTCACATTCGAAAATTGTAATCGGTGCTATGAACAAACAATGCCAACACTGTCGTGCACCCAAATGCACAGGGGTGAATCGACCGGTTTCTGCTGCGCGTCTGGAAAACCCTGAAAAGATTACCATTTTCTATTCAACTGAAAAAAATAAAATATTCCTCAGATTGTGACATGTATTCATGTGAACGGTATACATAATTACTGTTCGATGTTTTTCTGTTAAATATTTACAATACACGGATTTAAAAGTTTTTAATTATATAAATGAAAAATAATTGTCCCTTCAACTCGAATTTTCACCGAAATAAATTTATGGCAACTTAGAAAAAGCCATTTAAAAAACTGCATGTCAAGTATGGCCAACAGCTGATATCAAATGATGCAAATTTTACCTAGTAGGTACAGACATGATGAGGCATAGAATAAAAAATTTAATTTTTTTATTGGTTTGGTATTCATGTTTATTGAAAGTGGTGTATTATTCATCTCTCGGATATAAACTTTTATTTTTAAAAAAATTGTATGTATGAACTATTGAAAATTTACCCTGCAAACAAAAGCTATTAATTATTTTGCAATTATATTCTAAATAATTGTTTAAATTGATTTCTGATCTCTGATTAATTAGTTCTTCATTTTTTAATATACGCCCTAATATTGTCATTATCATTAAAATACTTAAAGAATTTCAAATTAATACTTATATTCTTACGAACAGTTCGATTAAGCCAAAAAATAATTATAGGAGTGACAAAAAATATAAAATAAAATTATTGAGACTCATTTCCAAAATTAACAACAAATAAATATAATAATATGTAATAAAAAATTTAATAATGTGTTATTTATAACTAATGTATGTCATACATTTTTATCTAATTATTAATTTATAATAACATTTTTAGTTATTTTTAGACATTAAAAAATAAATTTAAATTATGTAATTAAAACATAAATTAATATCTGGAAAAAAAATTATACAACAATGTATACACATACCTGTGTATTATTTTCGTCCTATCTACATATAGCTCAAAAATTAAAATTATATAAAAATAGCAAACATTTTTTAATAATAACTAAAAATAACAATTTATATAAAACTATCATTTGGAACTAATTCAGGCAAGGTGGGTTCCAACCGCTTGAACGAAACTTACCTCTGGTAATAATTATTAAGTAAGTAGTATGCACCAATTTATTATTCACCATTATTATTAATGTAAAAACAAATCCATTATGCAGATTGCTCACCATGTATGTAAGACAGTCAATGAATACTCCTCGTTCCGAACCTGAACTAATTTACAAGTTATTTCAAGTATATATTATTTATAACGCACAACAAATTATTATTTTACAATTTATTTAATTATAATAATAATCGTATTGCCCTATGCACCAGTAATATGTTCTTTCCTACTCTTTAGAACTAATTGGTCAGAAAATCAGTATTATAAATAGTAAACTATCAAATTCTTACGATAAATAAATTTTCATTAATAATGAAGTTCTCCAAACTAAATAAAAAATGTTACATTGAAAATTAACACAATTATTTATTTATTCAAAAGATAAAACCTCTTTTCAAATTCATAAAATAAAAACACAAAGTAATACATTTTCGTAACTAATCATATATTATCATGCATAATACACACAACAATAAGTAATAAAATGATGTAAATAAAAATATGAT